TTAGCAATAGCAAATAACTAGCAAGACACGCACATACAAACATACATATTATTTGTATGTATATATGTTCCAAATTATTGATGTGAACAGAAAGCTTGTTAGTTTTTCCTACGCTACATTCAAAAGGCTAAAACTCAAGATTTATAGGTTCAGCTGGTATTCGTGGGTGTTTCGTGAAGAAATACAATAATTTAATGAATTATAACTAACGTGAGACCTGTGTAAGACCCAAATGTATTCAGAAATAGCCGCGGCCTGAATTACCCGCTATTACAAGCATGGCCCACCTCAAATTTTGTTTAGTGGGTGCAGTCAAACTGGGATTACCTAATAGGTCTCATTCTAAAAAGGCACTCAAGTACCTAACTATTATATTTATTAACTTAAAATTTACTATTTAGCAGTTTGTATTCCCAAGAAATTTTAAATTATACATTAAAAATGTAATGCAACATTTATGTAAACGAAACACGCAAGTATCTTGCTCGTTCTTCTTGTGATGAGTCTGCTTTGCGAATGTATGGTAGAATAAAAATTATTTGACTATTCAAAAGTGCTTATTTAACCGTCTTAGTGCCAAGGCGTGCGATCGCACACCTGCTCATTTTATCTAAAAGTGCCAGGTGCGCGGTAGCGACTCACGCGTCAGCGTGTTTTTTAGTTTCGGCCGCTATTTTGAAAATTGAAACATTTTTACAAAAGTTACACATTATTTTCTCTTACTCCAAAATTTCTCAAAAAAGAGGGTAATTATTCTTGGCATTTTTCACATATATTGCGAAAAAATGTATGGCACTAAGACGGTTAAGTTTATTTGAATAAAGATTACTTCTATGTCTATGTAATATACACGATAACTGCGGGAAATGATATATACCTATGTTGTTTTTGTTAAGTACATAGAATAGGAAACACTCTGACTTACCTGATGGTAAACGATATCCGTCGTAGTACTTAAACAGTACTTGAACAACACTATCGATCACGTTATCATGTGACAACCGTGATACGTCTCATTGGCACAAAATCCGTCTGCGGGTACCTCTGTTTCTACTATTTCAGCAGCCAAGCAGGTTGCTTTACTGTTCTTAGCTTAGCTGCTTTAAAGCTGTTTGGTTGAATGTAGATATAAGGCGATTACTCTGTAAACGATTATGTAGCAGACGACCTTATATGGTGTTAGTTGTGCAGACAAGGGATTTTATATTTAAAATATGTTAGTGATACTACTTAAGTAGTAGTGTATACTACTTAAATGTTATGTAAATTTCACGCTGGTAAAACCGCATGCACAGCTAGTTTCAGTAGATGGGGACGAGACATCCTAGTCTTCCGGGTAACGCATGAGTGCTTTTTATCAGTTGGGCTATCACCTAGTTTGTACCGGTTACATAAATAAAAAATAACGCATACTTTTGAATATATAAACCAAGAACTAAATATTAATCAACTAAATATTCTTGTGATATAAAAGCAACACACATTTTAACCTACATAATCTCACCGCCTGTATTTTGACGTTGTAAGGATTCGTCAACGATGTATGGTAGCTAATAATGATGGCAGAACCCTTGAACTTTTAGGGTAAATCAAAGTGCAATAATAATTTTGTGTAACAAACATTAAGGTAATTATTATGAGTCACGCTCCCAGGCTGGCAATTAGCAGAGAATACGGCTAGCGAAAACTCTATTGTGGTACAAGGTATTAAAATAAGCGGATAATTAGTCTGAAATACATCCCCATATAATTCAAATTCAAATTCAAAATATCTTTATTCATATATGTCTATTACAGACTCTTATGATATGTCAAATCTACCGTCAGTTCGGATAATATATAGAAGATAGGATAAGTCACACAAGTAATGCGCATTTTTTAGTAATCAGATTCCTCAGCATTCTGGCTTAGAATGTGTTCCGTACCGGCAGCAGCAGGCATTTTTTTAAGGATGATAACGGTTTGGTTTTGGAGATAAAGCTAGTAGAGCACCAGTGGAGGATAATAAGATGAGCTTGAAGTCAAATCAGACAAATTTACCAAGAACTGTCACCATGGTTTCTAGGGAGAACCGCGTGGAGAGCAACCTGACATGGTACCAATAAATTTATTAGTCTACATTACTAACAATTCCCTTTCGTCTCTAAAAAGCATTATATACGTGTTTTACTCTCCACTTTACGAAGAAGTTATTGTTACAGTTTAACTACCAAATTTCGTGATGATTAAAATATCATTAAGATTTGGCATATATAATGATTAAGTAAAGAAAGAAAATCAATGCGCCTCTCACATTTCTGGAGGGTCATCTATAGTATTGTAAAGTATAGCAATTAATTAATCAGTATTTATACTATAGGTTTGTATTAGACAATTAATAAACTTACTAAGTAGGTACATATTATAAAGGTCGAGCACAATAGATCTACGTAGCATTGCTACAGGTCCAAACATCTAACAATAGCCTAAACCTCTCCAATAAAAAATAATAATAGGTACTTATTTTAATAAAAAAAACATTGAGCTCAATACGAAAAAATTTAGTCTTGAAGACATATTATTATTTGGCAAACTACAGATTCATAACAATTCAGTATTGACGCGTTTTATTATTAAGCAGTAAGCTTTAGACTTGCACCACATTTGGTACTTAACTCATTATAAGCACGATACACTGAAGTAGTTGTTTTCAAGAAACTTACTGCATCGTTTATCAATTGGTGCTGTAACAAAAAGAGTTAGTAACATTCTTTGCAACATATATTTTTTTCAATGTATACATGTAGAATCTAACACCGTCTGTGTTAATAATACTACGCACCAGTAGAGAATAATAAGATGAAACCCTGTTCAGGCCTATCGTAATCGCTAGGAGTTAACGATGTTTTCCAGGAGTATGTAGAGATTGACCTGATATAACACTTCGCTAGCCATAGAACAGAGAAGCATGTTCTATGAATTTCTGTGTTGCAGTTCATATATTTTACACGTAGTTACATTTTTAAAATGTTTTTTTAATGTAAGTACCGTATTACTACTATGTGCATTTAGTGAAAACCTGTTAATTCGAAATACAAACGGACACTTCAATTTTATTTCTTTGTATAGATATAATTACGTAACCTACACCTGGTACTAAAGTTCATAGAGGTACGTCGACAAATTGTTTGCGATCATCATTTTCTAAAAATACAAACCCATATAAAGTCTTATTATTAAATTAGAAAACTGATACACTATTACTAGTCTATACCTGATTATTTCTTACAAAACTAACATTATTCCCATCTAATATGCGTATATTTGATACACAAAATTGCCTTATTTGATACCCACCGCTATTATAATGCGCCTTATTTCCCAAAACACGCAGTTATTGCCTTCAATAAAACTTTTCAAACGCGAGCAAAGTCGCTGCAAATCTATTTATATAATTATATACCTGCCGACATTTTATTAGACTGAACGACCCAATTATTATTAGATCAACATACAAACCACAAAATTAAAGATAATTAAGTCACGGTGCGTCATAAAATTGTGGGTAGATCATAAATGATGTTTACATTAACACCTAGTGCACGAAATTAGAAAAGTCTAATCTATATTAATATGTAAAGCGGAAGAGTTTGTTTGTTTGAACTAGTCTCTGGAACTGCCAGTCGGATTTGAAAAACATTTTTCTGGTTGATAGTCTAATTGATAAAGAAGATTATCAAACTTGATGCTGTAACCATTTGGAGCCAATTAAATTGAGAACCTATATAAATGATAAGAGAAAATGACTTCTCTTAGATAATTAGCGTGGAATTGAAGTAAATGATGCTAGGGAATGAGTAGAACGAATAGGAGGGCAGCCTTTTTTTTTAAATAAATAGTGCGCGAAACCGCCAATACAGCTAGTGTTCTTTAGAGACTAAAAGTCAAAATAGCACAATTACCTACACTTCATCGTATTTCTCGCATTCGTGTATCTAAATTAGCTAACCCGGATTCAATAGTTTATTTGCACTGCCGACTTCAAAGTCAGCAATAATCAACTTGATTTCCGAATCTCTTTAGCAATGAGCACCTGAAACGATGGAGCCACTTAAATTTGAAAGAAAGCGTATTTTAGTTCGTTCATCAGTGCTTACCTATTTCAAATACATAGTAACTGCGTGAGCAAATAATCACTTTGTTTTTCACTGGCCCAAATTCCATAGACAACCAACTAAATGTACAGTACACAGATTTTGAATTAATTTATATACTCGTATTTGTTGTAAGTTACCAATTTCCTACAGTAAATAGTTTGCTATAACTAGATTTTATTGTTATAGACACGACGCCCAAAAAGCCATTAAGGAAAAAGTAGAAAATAACTAGTTCTTTTTTTAATTTAATTTAAAATAATAAAATATTTTTAATTTTCATTAATTTCTAGGTTTTGTATGAACCAGGATTAGTTTTTAGGTATTCTGTTTATCCAATCTGAATGACAATTGTTTGTACCAAGCAATAATAAGGTGACGTTAAATTCCCGCCAATACGAATAATTTACTTTATTTATCGAAAATGCGTACTCAGTTATGTTTTGTTTGTAAATTTAGTGTTTTGGTGTTCTTAATAAATTTTAAAAATTAAAATTCTTTTACTATCCATTCTTGTTTGAATATTAATACATATATACAAAAAACAAATACATGTACAGTGTACAATATTATTTTTAAAAATAGAACATTAATATATTCCAAACCTAAGATGCGTACACCCATGTCTGAATATATACATGCAAGAATTTATATCTAAATTGATTACTATATTATATTTATATATATTTTACGGTGATTAAAGTTTTTTTTTAAGTTATATTGAGGCGACAACATTTTGGCCTATATGTTTTATTTGTTGTGTTTTGAAATTAGTGATTTTTCTATTCATTCTTTTTTCATATATTGTTGTTACCCATTTTACATTTTTTATTATACACTATGCGTTGATCGTTACAGACGACTGGCATGACGCCGCTGATGTTCGCTGTGAAAGATAATCGCACATCGTTCGTGGAGCGGCTCATAGAGCTCGGGTCTGATGTTGGCGCCAGGAACAATGTGAGTTTGTATTTACTGTTTTATGAAACACTAGCTGTATCCTACAGCTATGCCTTCATGCATTTGTACATAAACCTATCCTAGGTAAGTATATGATAATCTATAGTAATATTATAAATAGTAAACTCAGTCTGTCAGTTTGTTACCGGACTATACGAGTTACTTCTTAAGACTATAGTTATATTTTGACGACCTCGGTGGTCTAGCGATCTAGCACATGTCCGATGGTCGCAGGTTCGATTCCTCGCACGGCACAAACATTTGTATTCATGAGTATGATTGTTTGTATCGGTCTGGGTGATTTCTATGTATAATATGTATGTATTCACGAAAAAAAAATATCTATGTACTTGTATCAGTTATCTAGTACCCGTAACACAAGCTTTAGCTAGCTTAACTTGGGACTAGATGGCGCTGTTTAAATTGTCCTGAGATTATTATTATTATTATTTCATAATTTAAAAAAACATGAAAACCATTGCTTTCATTATATATTTGCACTTTTATATTTAAATTAATTTAAATTATGAATTAATAATAAGTATATAAATAACATATGTATATATTAAGTATGTAATGTATAAATAAGTATACATATTGTACGGCTCTCAGTGAAACATAATTTACAAGAGAAGAGAAAAAAGTCTTTTTAAGAAGTTTCTGTAGAGCTACTACAGAAACTTCTGTCGTATCAAGTCATATTGTGGATAACATGTGCTATTATTTAACTTAAAAAAAAATGTGTGAGTATTAGCATATGGGATAAAATATGGGTATATATTTATACTACTATAGTAACCAGCCCAATTCTGTCACTTATCTTACTTCATGATTTATTCTTTATTATAGTGTGTATTTTATTTTACTTAGAGTGAAATTGGGCAGAGAAATTACTCGGTAACACTTGTATACGATTAGATCGAAATCAAATTGAAAGTAAGCCAAATGGTATTCAAATATTCAAATTAAAATTCAAAATATCTTTATTCATGTAGGTCTATTACAGACTCTTATATGTCAAATCTACCGTCAGTTCGGAATGATATCGAGATGAGAAGAACTGACAAGAAAATCAGTTCGTATTTTTTTCAAATAATAGTGGAACATGTTTATAATAATATACAGTCATTAAAATTCAAATTTGGGAGAATAGAGTGACCACCAGCATATGCTATCGCAAAGAACAAAATTCATACTTAAGGCTAATTTCTAATTCAAATGTTAAAAGACCATATGAAACAAAACTCTAACATAAAATAATGATCATCAACTATTTTCATCCATTCGATTAAGTGCCTATGTAATCCTAAATTCCTAATTCGATCACGTCAAAAGTCAGTCTGTTGTTAGCAATACGCATGCGCAAGTGCCGAAGTTTGACCAATAGAAACGCATTTATGTACCAACATTTATAATAAAAATCCGTAATACAAATAAGAAGGACCGCCCCACTATATCGATATTCTGGCGCCATTAGCATTCGTAATTTAAAAATATTTAGCACTATCTTAATTTGAAGAAATCGTGGCAAATTCATCAGATGATGTTTTCAATCGTAAAACGTCATAAGTTGCCATTTCAGAATGCAAATTTGTTTGTTTGCCATGTAAAATAGATTAGCTCGTCAGTTACAAATTTATAACTCACTAGTAAACATTAAGATTAAGATAAATTTAATTTTGACTTTGACATATATTCATAAATGTGATAAAATGGATTATTTATAAATTTTGACCTTAAAATTCTTCTAAATTTTAAAATTGGTAATCGGCTGCTTCTTTTGGCAATCGATTATACATCATTAGCTTCAGTGGCAGTCCCTACATAATAGATTTTGCTAGTCTTATTATTTACATAAAATATGATAATATAAAGTATTACACAAATTCCTAGATTTCCTATATCCTATACCTTGTAGTTATGGAACTCTGGTAGACTTGCATCGCATTGGTAGTTATTAATGGGTTGGAGTTATGACTGTATGCATTTTCTCCTTCCTACTTACATACGTTCTTTAATGCATTTGGATTGACCTACATTTACTTATGTATATAAATCATAGTCTTATGACATTTATGCCAATGTTAATTACAATACACATGTGGACTAGACGTCCACAAGAGAAAAGAAAAGTAATAATTAAAAAATTAATAACTACTACTTAAAGTTTTTACGTATATGTAATGTTATGTTATTATTTATGCGCCTGACATTTTGACGTTGTTCAAATATCGTGTATTTTGGTTGATGTTTTAATAAATAATCTTGAATCTAGCTCTAACCACAGCTAGTGCTAACTCGTAAAAACGTTGAAAAAGTTAAATACCTTATTTATACAAATATTACAAAGGTTATCTGTACTATCTATAACTCCAAAACGGTTGGACCGATTTTTATGAGAAATTCGATTCTTCGAATTCTCAAACTTGTCTCCATCCTGAGATCGACTTAAAATTGATTTTCTCATTTACAATTTACATACCTCAAGAACGAATTGATTATAATTCGAACAAGATTCGAGAATAAGAACGAATTCACTGATTTCAGTAAATACTTAAGACGAGATGAAGTGGACTGATACATGTAAATTACCAATTTTTTTTGTGTTTAGACCCGACTAACAGTAATAATAAAATATACCAGCACTATCTATGGTTGACTGGTAGAAAATGCGCCATGGTGTTAAGTCCGCCAAATGTACTATTGCCCTTTTTATTGTGTGTATGGAAGTTAGAAAAATGGTATGTAATAAATGAAATAAAAAAATATGTGTACTAAACGCGAAAGTACAAAAGCAACTGTTTTCAGGACAATTACAATGTGCTGCACATATCCGCCATGTACGCCCGCGAGGATGTCGTCAAGTTGCTGCTGTCCAAGAGAGGTGTTGACCCGTTTGCTACAGGAGGGGTAAGGTTTCCTAACCACTGACAGGGGATCATTTTTTTTCCTTTTCCTGAACTAAAAATATAGACATAATAGTGGACGCGATAATAAAACGTTATTATTATCGCGACTTAAAATGAAAAGTATTAACACTAAAGAACATTTACATTTTATCTCTGGTGATCCATAACAAAGTAAATTATTCCGATAATCGAATGTGGCCATATCCCGGAATAATTTAGTTTGTTCTAGATATTATTTTATTCACTACGTGCTCGTTGGATTCAAATATATCCAGAGAAATGAAAATATGTAAAATGTTGCTTTCTTTACGGCGCGACAGTTCATAATTCTTCTGACTATCCTATCTGTGATGATCATGAATATTTTATTAAATTTTATTTTAAAGACGATAGATTTCATTCTTTGTTTACAATGGAAAAAATAAAAAATATTTATCAGACCGTCGCGTACAGCAAGCAGCAACAACATGCAACACCGAAGAAGCGTCTAGCATAAAAATCTTTCTATACATAAAGATAGTAATTTTTAATATTGCATAGACCATAATTTATTTACAATTTATCACAATATATAATTTATCAATTTACACACATGCTTCGATGAATTCAAAGTTTCTTTTGTATTATTTTTTCATTATCTCCATAATCTCTTCAGATATATCGGGTAGATCTAAACAGCAATGAAATGAAACTATTAGAATGGCTTTTTTTTAATATTCTTTATATCTCAAGAAAATATAACTTCATATTTATTAAAGCCCAAAATTGTTACTGAAGGCTGTGACAAAATTCAAAACATAGACTAAACACTGATAGTTTCTGACCGCTTTTTTTTAATACTCTTTATTCTGTTATTGGTATTTCAGAGCCGCCAACAAACCGCGGTCCACCTGGTGGCGAGCAGGCAGACCGGGACAGCCACCAGCATCTTGCGAGCACTCCTCACAGCTGCCGGGAAGGATATACGACTGAGAATAGATGGGGTGAGTCTATTACTAAATTAAAAATTTTAAACTAACTTGTTAAGGCCGAATACCTATATCAATAACTAGCTGTGCCCGCGACTTCGTTCGCGTGGTTATCAAAAACACTATCGCGATTTTCTTTATCACCCTCAAATATGATAATTTTCCCCGTTTTTGCAACATTTTTCACTTATGCTTCGCTTCTATTGGTCATAGCGTAATGTTATACAGCTTAAAGCCTTCCTCGAGAAATGAACTATCCAACACAAAACGAATCTTTCAATTCGAACCCGTAGTTCCTGAAATTAGCGCGTTCAAACAAACTCTAGTATATATGAGAAAATTAGTTATCTACTTAATATAGATTTTTCAGAATACAAAAATCGATGTTTTAGTCATTTGAGGATTGCAATGACGACTTATGATCAGGTGAACCCTTGTCTTTAACCTTTTCCAATATCCTTGAATGCTACTCTCGTTAAAAATATTGTTAGGTATATATCTACGTAGAGAAGTTCTTATAATTTACTATAGTATAACAACAATATTTACGATTGAGATGCGCTACAAAGTCTGTCTGGGAGGTCGCGTGAACCGTTAAACTCAAATATTTTTGAGTCGCGATTCCATTTATTTATGAATAGACGGGGATGCAACGTCGTCGCAGCGATCGCGTGCAACCAGCCGACGGCACCTAGCCTGGCACCACCAGCACCCGATGTTTCAGGAACTACCCGTAAACACTCGAATACAACCTGTGAACCCAACCCCACCCCTCAGTTTGATATAGACTAATAGAAACTGGCGACTTCAACATTATATGGCGTGGCTGGTTGTCATTTGGCAAGTATGTTGTATAATGTTAATTTCATACCTGATTTAACTAATCATCCGCCTCCTCAAGGCTGTTTTGAAGACATTCCGACAGTGCTCGCCCCCACTCCCCCTCGAATAGAAACTAGCTAATTATCCTGCGAGCTTTACTCGCAAAGTATACGTCACCACGCGAATTTGCAATGCAAATGACTTGCGGATTATTACTTTCACGTCAGTGGCGAAATTCAAAATTACTAATTTTAATACACCGAGTTTCAGTCGGTCTCTCGTCACCACTACAGCAGGCAAGCTTTGCGATGCCTCATTTAGATGTTACTGTACTAGCATAATACAAATGGAGGAACATGTACGTATATAATCCGCATCGGAAATAATATTATTATGACCTGAAATTGTTTGGGCTATGGAATTCGGTGTGAAGCACGATAGCAATCGATTTACCATTTTGTTGAAACGGCTGCGGAGAGATTGCAATATAAGTCGGAAACTTAGTCTGTGGTGTCACAGTTTGGAAACGATTCGTGCAGTGGCATACCACGACTGGAGTAGGTTGTTTGTGCTTAGACTGCATCGAATGGAGTTCAGTTTGAGAGTGAATTGGCGTGTATTTAGGGGAATAAATAGTTGTGACCGCTATGTCTGACAGCGGACGGGACATTTCAAAGAGTGTGACCGCATCATCAGCTACCCGTAGTCCACCAGCAAACGTGCTGGCCAAGGACTTGCAAAAGTTGGAGCTCAGCTATATAGAGCTGAATAAAGAGCGCGCCAGACAGAAAGAATGGAAAAAGTTAATTAGAGATGTGGTGTTGCAGAGGGGCAAGGTCCCGCTTCTGCTGGCCGTGGAGGCTGGGAACCAGAGTATGGTACGCGAGCTGCTCAGCGCGCAGACTGCGGAACAACTCAAGGTACGCGTGCATTTTTTTATTATTATTTCTTTAGTATACAGGAGCTTTTGTACGTGCTAAAAAATAAGTCTTATTGTACCGTAAAACTAATCTACGTGACTCCAGCGGTGAGGTAATTGCCTTAGCCGCACTGTATGAATATGCGTGTATTTATATTTATTTAACAAATCATAAATACTTCTCAGTCTTTTTGATCCTTAAATATTTTTTCTACAAATAACTATCGCTAAATATATTCTATGGCATACAATTCTGAATTCATAAACTGTTAAATAAACTAATAAATATACACATTTATGCTACTGTAATGTTATTACAAGGTCTTGACTAAACATAATCCTTCATTTGGAAAAGTCCGTATGATATATTAAGTTTTATTGCATGATAAAGTAATACACACAAATGAACAAGTAAAGAAAACGTTATAAGTTCGTACAAATATGTCATAAAAACTAATTCTACTCAAGTATCTACCAATTGATTGAATAAGTTATTTGAATATAAAAGTAGTACAATAAAGCCACGACTCTTGCAGTACGTTTCAGTCATGTCAAATATACTGCAGTACCATTGCGTACATACATTGCACTACCAATATGTTATAGTCATTTGTATTCGCTAGTCTAAACTTTCAAATTTTATTGACGGGTCTTGTTTTTAGTACAATTATTATAGAAATAATGCACTCATAACTGAGTGCATTATTTCTCATCATCATTACCTTGCCTTTATCCCATTATTTGGGGTCGGGGCAGTATTACATGTTCTTTTCTTCCACTGATCCCTATCGACGATACTCTGCATTATTTCTCAAATTTTACTAAAAAAAAGTACTTAACTTTTAGTTTTTAGTAGGTACATGATAATAGAAATAATGCAGAGTATGTTTATTCTAGACCGAAAATTTAATTCTAAAGCTAAAAAGTGCAGATATTAGGGTCATAAAAGTAAATCTTAAGTAGTGCATATATTATGGGCACTAGATAACTATTAGAAATATTTAATTAAATACATATTTTACAAAAGAAAATGCTCAGATATAATAACATTCGTTCTCATGAATAACAATGTACATATACAAGTCATTTGTGAGAATCGAACTAGCGATCATCGGTAGGTCGCTAGACCACACTAGACCACTGAAGCCGTCGTTCGTGTATATAAAACTTGAATATATTATTAAAATAACTGCATGTGCAACCTTGCGATGCATAAAGTCTGTCACTAAGTATTATGTTTATAGTTTTTTAGTTTCTTTAGTAGTGCTTTAAATCCCTCGTTTTCTTTTCAACCGACTTCAAAAAGAAAGGAAATTCTTAGTTTGTAGATTTTTATATTATCTGTATTACCATTTTATATTATTTATTTTTTAATTGACAATGTTAATTCTACTTTTTACACCTCACTAATTTCAATTTGATTGTATTGGTTTTTCTTCCAATTTTATTTTCAGATGTTTTCTTTGCTTCCTTGTAAAAATAGTCGAAAAACCAAGGCGAAAGCTGTAACTGAACTATTTTTACAACTTATTGAGTTACTCCAAATACCAAGTCTAAAAATAAAATATGTACTCTTCTTACTACATTAATAAATTACTGTGTATTTAAAAAAACAGGCTCAAATATCTATAGTTTTTAACTTAACTTCTTGGTAACGATTGTGCAGTTTCGCTATTTTCGCGACTTTCGCATTCGCATAGTTTATACAACTGCCCCTGTCAATTTTAATCATAATCATATCCCTAGACCATTCTCATAATATATCTATCAGCTTATACTATGTATGTACTTGACTACTGGACTACTCCAGATATATTCATGAATTCACACCAATTTGTATGCGGATATAAATCCGTAATGATAAAGTTTTGTGGCAAAAAGCCATGTAAATATATATATGTATGTATGTGATACAAATGGTGTTTCTCTAGGCATCCACCCCCATGGGGGATACGGCTCTCCACTTGGCTGCGCGCAGGCGCGACGTGGACATGGCCAGGATCCTGATAGACTACGGTGCAGCCGTGGACGCAGTCAATGGCGCTGGGCAAACCGCGTTGCACATCGCAGCCGCGGAGGGGGACGAGCCTCTCGTCAAGTACTTCTATGGAGTCAGGGCAAACGCCGGTATCGCTGATAATGAAGGTAAGAATCATAAGATATATTGCATCTCTGTGCATTTTTACCCCATATGACCGGAATGTATTCTGATTTTCTACCGCATATATAATAGACTGTGGAACATCAGAACAACTGTCACAGCAACATGCAGACTGCAACACTATGTCGGGCAATTACACATCACCTTCATCAACATCCATTGTCACTCCGGAACAAACAAATATACTACCCAATGTTGTTAGTAGTCACCACACATGTAAGAATAACACTGTAATATATTCAGATAGTATAGGAATAAATCTAGGATCACTCATGAATAACTGTTTGAGTGAACATATCCAAAACAATTGTATGCCGAATGCCCCATTTAATTATATAGTTGATAGAATGTTAAAAAATCAAAATAGTTATACTGAATACACAACTATTGTGTTATTCATTGGAAATAGTTTAGGTATCACTCAAAATGATTTGATGAACTTATTTGAATCTGTCTCAAATATGAGAATTAAAAAATTTGTAATATGTACATTTCCATACTCAAAATCATTATCAAAGAATAGAAATAATTATATCTTTAAACTTAACACTCATATATATAACATGAGCTGTTATAATGACAACATTCATTGTTTTGATACAAATAAATTTGTAAAAAAATTTACATTGACTAAAAATACTTTGTATTTGTCACATTTTGATAAAAGACATATAGCTACTTTGTTGGCTTATAATATACACAATCCTGTTATAAGTAGTATAACGGGTACTTATTCTGACTGCACAGTTTTTAGTAGTTTTACTAATGTTTCTGTGCAAGAATCTTTAAACTTAAGTTACAGACAAAGAGAAAGCCATCACAACTAAATTTAGTACATCAAAATATTCAAGGCTTTCTTGGCAAAGAATTAGAGATAGAATTATTTATAAGTAAATTTAATATTGACATTGTATGCCTCACAGAACATTGGTTGAAACAGTCCAACATGGTATTTCAATTACCAAATTATGAAATATTGAGTACATTTACTCGGCAAATTTCAATTAGAGGTGGTTCAATTATTTTATTAAAAAATAACATTAAAGGGAAAGAACGTAAAGATATTGTAGCACTTTCAATTGAATGCATTATAGAATTATCATGTGTAGAACTAGAGAAACACATAATTATATGTGTGTATAGGCCTCCTAACTCAGACTATGAAAAATTTGAGTCTACCATGGAAGATGTACTGAAGTTAGCATTCAAAAGTAACAAATTTATTTTGGTATGTGGGGATTTCAATATAGATCTTCTTGTTGATAGTCCTATAAGTAATAAAATTAGAAACCTTTTTAAAAGTTTTGATCTGGATCATATTTTCTTTGAACCTACTAGGATTACATCCACTACGGCAACATGTATTGATAATATATATTGTAATTTTAGTATTTTAAATAAATCGATTATAAATAGATTGCCGTCAGACCATTGTGGACAAATAGCAACATTCACATGTAATGAAAAAAACGAGATTATGTATAAGTTGTACAGACCAACAACAGCATTTAAATTACAGAATTTAAAAAACAGATTAAATGGAAGTTTACCGTTTTTGATATTTGATAATATTGATCCAAATATATCATATAATCGTTTTTTCAATATAATAAAAAATCATTTTGATAAAAATTTTACAGTAAAGAAACTTAAAGTCAATAATTCTAAGTACGCTCAATGGTCAACATTAGGTATCAATATAAGTAGGGAAAATATGTATCAATTATATGATATTAGATCATATAAATTAAATAATGTAAATTTAATATTGTAATGGGTGAAAACTGTGATCGGTACAGCCTATGCTGTAAATAATATAATTGACGTAGTGGAGTAACCTGAAACAGTCATGCTCGCTATAAAGTTCAAACTTGTGGCGGCGTGGTGGGCCGGGTCGATGTGCTCCCTCAAATATGGTTGAGTACAATGATGGCTGGCTCATACGTCATACTCGTGAACGGGTGCTGCTTGTGGGGACTGGTCTGTTCAGGTTGTGAACACTGATTAAATTTTTTGTTCTTTGCGATAGCATATGCTGGTGGTCACTCTATTCTCCCAAATTTGAATTTTAATAACTGTATTTATCATAAACATGTTCCACTATTATTTGAAAAAAATTACGAGCTGAGTTTCTTGTCAGTTCTTCTCATCTCGATATCATTCCGAACTGACGGTAGATTTGACATATCATAAGAGTCTGTAATAGACCTACATACATACATACATAAAGATATTTTGAATTTGAATTTTGAATTTGAATTTGAACTGTGTTCTGAGGCCTTGCTCTATTAATACCAGCTGCTGAATTCACCAACGTACTACCTGACATAAACAATAAAATAACTAGTATTATTATATTAATACGTGAAGCAAAAAACTTTGTACTGTACATAATTTGCACGGAGGAGCATGAAAAACTAAAATGGGAAAACTGCCTAAAATATCATCGTAATCATCTGAATAAATAAATGGTGGTATTCCACTGTGCGTTTTTCCAGAAACTATTTGCCATACAACGACTTTGTGAAATCATCTTCCAGCAATGGTATTTCTGAACCAAAATATTATTGAAACCTTGAATTATAGGCCGGCAACGCGCTTGCAATTCCCCTGGTGTTGCGGGTATTCATGGGCGGTAATAATCACTTACAATTAGGTAAGCCGTCAGCTTGTTTGCTTTTACATTAAAAACTTACTTCTTACATTTCAGACCGTACACCTATGCATCTCGCAGCCGAAAATGGACATGCAGCGATCATTGAGCTCCTCGCCGACAAGTTTAAAGCGTCAATTTTCGAGCGGACCAAAGACGGGAGCACCCTGATGCATATAGCCTCGTTGAATGGCCACGCTGATTGCGCAATGATGCTATTCAAGAAAGGAGTTTACTTGCATATGCCTAATAAGGTAATTCATTATCTTCCTTTCATCATTCTTTATCCCAAATTATTTGGATTTATCCATTTGTTTTTCTTCCATCTCTGTCATCTCAATAATCATTCCCTAATGAAACTGGTTTAACACGAATAATTTTCGGTTAAATAAAAGTATTCTCGTCTTTCCTTTCTAGACTCGGCTATGTTGCATTAGTCGTTGTCATGAGCTGACTCTAAGTCAACTTTATTTACCCTAAAATTATTTGTGTTAAGGTCCGTTTAATTATATTAATAACGCGGAAGTTTAAAAATAAATAATCTAGATTTTTACATTTAAAATAAGTCAACAATTAGTTAGATTATTATATCTTGGACGATTTAATATTATATATTAATTATGTATAAGAAGGAAGCACTAATTTAACAACTATTAATCAGAATAGGTAGTCTGAGACGTCAGTAAAACACGGGACACCAAGCTTTTCCTATATATATTTATAGTGTTTATAGGCTTGTTTACTGATTAATTGCTGTCTTTACAGTGTAATTATGTATGTCTTGTAGGATGGAGCTCGTAGCATACACACGGCAGCTCGGTACGGTCATGTTGGGATTATAAACACTTTGCTTCAAAAGGGTGAAAGTGTGGACGTCACTACAAATGTAAGTACTTGCGCCTTGATTAACATTCTTATTTAGTACTAACATATATTTTTATAATTTCCCTTATAATTAATAAAATTTATCCAGTAGGCTCTAGTGGCTTCTAGTGTCGTCTAACTGTAGTCTGGGCGCGAACTGCCATTACTACAAATGTAGAAATATTAATAATATTCACCCTGGATAGTGCACACATTATTATATAACTAAACAAAGCTAGTAGATTGTTTTTCTGTCAGATGTTTAGAACTAGAACACATAGTGTGTTCTAGTTCTAAACATCTGATAGAAATACAATAATACATTTTTTTGTAAATAATATTTATAGACAAAACAAACAATTGTGTCTAACGAGAATCAAACTTGCTATCAAATTCACTTAAGACACGCAAGTTAACACTAATCTATAATTAATAATTTTCTACGTAAGTGCATTTCTGTAAAATAGGACATATAAATCTTCAATAGAAACTAATTCTATTATTTACAAACTTCACTTCTTAATACCTAGCTTGGGACTAGATGGCCCTGTATTACCTAAACTTCATATTATTATGTCTTAATAGGATAACTACACGGCTCTACACATAGCAGTGGAGTCGTGCAAACCTGCCGTTGTAGAAACTCTATTAGGATATGGAGCTGACGTTCACATTAGAGGAGGCAAACAAAGGGAGACACCTCTACATATTGCTGCCAGGATACCTGATGGTAAATTATTTTAATTTTTATATCATTGCATTTTTCACCAACTTTCTACATCACAGTTTTCTGTCCTTTTCTTTTTTTTGCTTCTCCTACCTTATTTTTATGTTCTTTCTGTCGGCTGTTCTCTCTATTTCGTTGTTAAAATATTATATGGCTTATGTTTGGTATGCATATATATAATATAAATTTCTATGTATATTTTCTATCTTACTACAAGTGTATTATCTTACTACATTTCTTGTACTTTCTACTACATTCCTCTGCATAATCTATGGTTTACTAGTAGAAAATGCCTTGAACTGTTAAGTCAGCCCATATGGCTGACTTAACACTTCAAGGCATTTTCTTTCATTCATTCTTTTACCTTTATATTGCATTAAAGTATATAAATAAATAATTGCTATCCAAACTTATAAACCTGTAAAGTAGTGGGATATAATACCACTAATCATTACTTAATTTTATAACAGGCAATTGTATAAATATGTAATTTAAAATTATATAAAGAAATCCAATTTATTACAGGAGATAAATGCGCCCTGATGTTGCTGAAATCAGGAGCGGGGCCCAACAAAGCCACAGAGGATGGTATGACTCCGGTGCATGTAGCAGCTAAATTCGGCAATTTAGCTACTCTAGTACTACTCCTAGAGGATGGTGGTGATCCATTAAGAAAAACTAAAGTAAGTAAATAACCAGCCATAACTTGACTAGCGACATGTAAAAAAGATTGTACTTTTTGGTCAAAATTATCAATATGGAAAGAAATATAGTGAACAGACTATATTTCTTGTACTATACTAATAATTTTGTAGAAAATACTTCTAATTGAATGGTTGGTTTGTTGGTCGAAAAGAATCGAATACTATTTCTCATAAGAACAATATTAACACATGTTTTACAATTTGTTATTAAAAACTCCCAATAAACAGTATTGTAATTCATTTATACACATCTGTCTGACCGAAATGATACAAACTAAGTATCTAGAAGCAGAAAATGCTTTTTCTATGCACTCAAATCACAATTCACAATTTATATTTCAGACTGGTGAAACTCCGTTACATTTGGCATGTCGAGGCTGCAAGCCAGATATAGTACGGCATTTAATAGAGTTTGTTAAGGACCACAAAGGCGAAAGTGTTGCTATATCGTACATAGACGCCATTGATGAGGATGGGGCCAGTGCTCTACACTTCGCCTGTAAAATAACTCACGAGGAAGTTAAAATAGCGTCAGCAGATAAACAAGTCGTTGAATGTCTTATAGAGAACGGTGCTGATGTCACTTTAACCACAAAACATAATCATGAGACAGCTTTTCATTTCTGTGCTATAGCTGGAAACAATGATGTTATGACTGAAATGATAACTCATATATCCGCTGCTGATGTTGGCAGAGCTCTAAACAAACAAAATTCTATTGGCTGGACACCCCTACTTATAGCTTGTCATAGAGGACACATGGAACTAGTAAATACACTTCTTTCCAACCATGCAAGAGTAGACGTTTTTGATATTGAAGGTAGATCAGCACTACATTTGGGTGCAGAGCATGGATATTTACAAGTTTGTGATGCCCTCTTAACAAATAAAGCATTTATTAACTCTAAGGCTAGAAATGGACGAACAGCTCTTCATTTAGCTGCTATGAATGGATATGCGCATTTAGTTAAGTTTTTGATACGAGATCATAATGCAATGATAGATGTATTAACACTTAAGAAACAAACTCCTCTACATTTGGCAGCAGCAAGTGGGCAAATGGAAGTTTGCAAACTTTTACTTGAACTAGGTGCCAACACTGATGCGACTGATGAATTAGGGCAAAAGCCAATTCATGCTGCAGCCCAAAACAATTATTCTGAAGTTGTTCAATTATTTTTACAACAACACCCAAATTTAGTAATGGCAACGACTAAAGATGGAAATACTTGTGCGCATATAGCTGCTATGCAAGGGTCAGTGAAAGTAATAGAGGAACTAATGAAGTTTGATAGAACTGGTGTGATATCGGCGCGTAATAAGTTAAATGATTCTACACCTCTACAGTTAGCTGCGGAAGGGGGTCACGCAGATGTGGTTAGGGTTCTTGTTAGGGCTGGTGCATCTTGCACCGACGAGAATAGAGCAGGCATGACTGCAGTGCATCTGGCAGCTGAACATGGACATACTAATGTGTTAGATGTTATGCGGTCGACGAACACGTTACGGATATCTAGTAAAAAGTTAGGATTGACGCCACTTCATATAGCGGCATACTATGGGCAAGCAGGTGCGTTCTATATGTTCTAATTGCTTTCCAAATATAATATTATTACAAGTAACGCCTAAAAATTATGTATAGCAATTTTACTTAATACTTGATTAGTTTATTATATACAGATAGACAGATAATTGATGTCCTTAGTCATAGAGATATCTGCATTAAGTATCTATTTACCTACGTATTATTTGTACCGACAACCTCGGTAGTCTAGCAGTTCACACCGCTTTACTTCCGATGGTCGCGGGTTCTATTCCTCGCATGGTGCAAACATTTGTATTCATGAGTATGATTGTTTGTATTGGGTGTTTTCTATATATATTATGTATGTATTTAGAAAAAAAAATCCAAATATGTATATCACTTCTCTAGTACCTATAACACAAGCTCTGCTTACCGTGGGACTTGATGACGCTGTGTTAAGTATCCAAGGTTATTTATTATTATTATTATTATTTTATTTGATCTGAGAAAATAATAAAACATTTTCTTTCAGAAACCGTGAGAGAACTTCTATCCTTTGTATCTGGGACCGTCAAATCTGAAGCGCCAACAGGTGTATCATTAGTCCCAGAATTGGGTGCAGAGTCTGGTTTGACACCTCTTCATTTGGCTGCCTATAATGGTAATGAGAATGTAGTGCGGTTGTTACTCAACTCCGCTGGTGTACAAGTCGATGCGGCATCTAATGAAAACGTAAGTTAAATTGTATCTATTTTAAATGCACGTTTACTCTAAAAATAAATAGTCAGTAGTAAAATATAAATAGTAAATGTGAAAGGTAATTAATATTTTCATGTATATTACAAATATTATATTACAAATGTAAAATTTCTTTGCAGGGTTATAATCCGCTACATTTGGCGTGTTTTGGAGGTCATATGTCCATTGTAGGTCTAGTATTGAGTAGATCAGCGGAATTGTTACAAAGTACGGACAGGCATGGGAAAACAGGCTTGCATATCGCTTCGACGCATGGCCATTACCAGATGGTCGAAGTATTACTAGGACAGGGGGCAGAAATCAATGCGACAGATAAAAATGGGTGGACTTCATTGCATTGTGCTGCAAAAGCTGGTCATTTAAATGTAGTGAAGCTTCTATGTGAATCTGGTGCATCACCAAAAAGCGAAACAAACTTAAACTGTGCTCCCATTTGGTTCGCTGCATCAGAGAATCACAACGATGTTTTAGAATATTTACTTCATAAGGAACACGATACACAATCATTAATGGATGATAAACGATTTGTTTATAATTTAATGGTGTGTTCAAAAAATCACAATAATATACCAATAGAAGAATTTGTATTGGTATCCCCTGCACCTGTAGATACGGCAGCAAAATTATCAAATATATATATTAATTTATCTACTAAGGTACGAATTGATTTAACTTATCTATTCTTTATTTAAAATTTGAGTAAACTAAACGTGAACTTTGTAAAACGTTTCTAAATAAAACTTCTCATCTAACAGGAGAAGGAGCGTGCCAAAGATCTCATAGCAGCAGGTAAACAATGCGAAGCTATGGCCACGGAATTACTGGCGCTGGCTGCCGGTGCTGATTCCGCCGGACATATACTTACAGCGACAGATAACAGAAATGTAGAATTTTTAGATGTGTTAATTGAAAATGAACAAAAGGAGGTCATTGCCCATACAGTTGTCCAGAGATATCTTCAGGTAAAAAATAGGTAACTTCGCCTATTACCAGACAATAAGTATCAAAAATAAGATAATATCGACATTTATTCAAAATGCTTTGTTACAGGAACTTTGGAGAGGGAGTCTCAAATGGACAGGCATCAAAATAATGTTCCTCTTTTTTGCATTTATAGTTTGTCCGCCAGTTTGGCTAGTGTTCTCTCTTCCAGTAGGTCATAAATATAATAAGGTCCCAATAATTAAGTTCATGTCATATTTGACTTCTCACATATACCTCATGACATTGTTAGCTCTGGTAGCTATCACGCCCATTTATAATTCAATATTTAGGGAGAATTTAGTACCTAGGTGGTATGAATGGATACTGCTCATATGGTTGAGTGGACTTCTATTGTTTGAACTGACTAATCCAAGTGACAAGTCCGGGTTAGGTTGGATCAAAATTGCAGTTTTACTGCTCGGGATGATTGGTGTAGCTACACACGTTGTCGGTTGGATATTTGTGATGCCCAAGTACTGGCCTACTTTAATGTATTGCAGAAACCAATGCTTTGCATTATCTTTTTTACTAGCTTGTGTACAAATATTGGACTTCTTATCATTTCACCACCTCTTTGGCCCTTGGGCTATTATCATTGGTGATCTGATGAAAGATTTGGGTAGGTTTCTTGCAGTGTTGGCAATATTTGTATTCGGCTTTTCAATGCACATTGTAGCACTGAACCAGCCGTTTAGAAATATCAATAAAGCAGAGGACAATAAGCACGCCCGACAGGCCAGGAAGAAAATCTTCTCGGATGGTAAGAGAAACAATAGTATTTTTAGTGAGTACAAACACAATATCACTTTTTATGATTTGTACACATTTAGAATTTGTTTAGATATTTATGTGTGACAGAAATAGGATGTGACCTATTTCTGTGTTACCAAGTGTGCTAAATATTCTACACGTAGATTTAAGTCATACATTTTAACTATATACTTGTTACACATAGATGATAGTCAGCGATCAAAACAATCAAGCTCTGGTTCGCGGTGGAATAATACCTTTTTTGGGGAGGTATACCGGAGGAAACAGACTGTAACTGGACGTAAGTCCTCGATAGTGAAGGTTACAGCTCGTATGGTTGTATGTCATCCACAATATGATGGTTGCATTAAATCTCGATGGTGTTTTGGTGTTTTTCTTTTTTATTTTTAGTGTACCGTACCAAGAAAATTTTAAATAAAATATATAAAGTTATTGGTACATCAGCCTAATAAAAATATTGCTAGAAAATTTCCAATTTTCATTGTACCTTCGTTTTGCCACCGTAATGGGTAATAAGGTATTTTTACTGGCCTATGATATTCTTAAGATAAACATAGGGAAGACTAAAGTTTATCAAACCTAAGTCTCTGCCTATGAAATATCATGATACATTGTTCTCCATACATAAATTATCGATCAACCTTTGTGATTACATTATTTTTACATTAATGCATATATTATTGGGCTAATATGCCAAATATATTATTCTAAAGTTTCTATAATAAACATATAAAAACATGGAATCAATTTAAACCTAAACATTAATAGTCAAAATAAAATGTGACCATTTTTAGTACAAAATAAAATTACCGTGTTATATTTAAATTTCTATAAGGAAATATTAAAAATAATAAATAACTGATAATTCAATATTAACAACATTACACAGACTGTGTGCTAAAATGTATATAATGAAAATATTAACACAAATCAAAATTTATTTAATAAGGGTTCTGCACTAAATTGTATCCTGTTATCTCTCGTCAATGGTCCACTAAAAAATATATCTGTAGCTGTATCCCCATATATTCCCCATATACATTTTAAATTTTGTTAACATTGGCTAGGAACCGTATTAGATTTTATTTAAGATAAGTAAAGATTTTTATTATTATTTTATTTACATTTGTTCTAGTATGTATCTTATTATTAATATAAAAATTAATATGACCACACTAATTCAGTTTGCTATAGCTTGTATAACACACTATGTGTATATATACAATGTAGAAACAAAACAATTTCAAATTAAACTGCATCATATGATTATTTATTTTATTTGTTACTTTCATTCAAGTATAGAAAACACCCCGAGTGAAAAGGACATACTAATGAAAAGGTTAAACCAATTTATGACCAACTTTATAAAAATAGCAAAGAAACAGATGTTTTTTTTGACCCGCAGAACCCGCACCCAATATGGACAATATCTCTGTGTAATGTTGTGAAGGTGGTACGCTACACTAAATGCTCGAAGTTTTGCATCTGACAGATTTTTTTTCTACTCATTCATCAGCTTACAGCTGCCATATGTATCGTCTCAATGTATGTAATGAATGCTCTCATTGCGATATGGAACATATACGAACATTGTATATTATAGCCAGCCGCTGCAGAGGAATGTGGAATGATCTAGAATGTATAAAAAACACTTCATCGCCACTATTGATGATTTTCACATAGAAAACCGTCAGTGGTGGTCAATTTCATAATTAGAACTGGCGTTACACAATTTTTGCTTTGCTTACCTATTTATAAATATTAAATAATTCATAATTACACTTAGTAATTAATTGCGTATATTCTTTAATAGAAATGTGATTAAAATATGATAAACATTTCAATACTGGTCATCAAATGTTTACTACTGCCAATAGATGGCGTTGCGATACTAAATATGAGTAATATGAAGAGTTGATTGGAAAAACGAAGGGATGTAGCAGCGTGATGGTAAGAGCGCTGACTCTAACAGGAGTCTCAGGTTCAATTCCTTAATTTTTTCAATCATAAATATATTTAAGTTTGAAATATTTATCATATTTCTATACAAAACATTATTTCCATGGTTGGACACGGAAAATGCATTGACGCGTCGCCACCCTAGTTTAGTGGAATGAGTGGCCGATATCACCGCATTGATAGAGCAAGTTTGAGTTGCGCATGTGGTGTCTTCGTGAAAGTAATTTATGTTTCGGATGTTTGGCTGTTTGTCTTCAATGTGACTACACTGTCGCTCACGCTGTCTGTCCGCTCGATAGCTGATGTAGAGGGTATAGGGGTAGGTTGATGATTGTAGGTGTGGTCCGCTTCTATCGAACTCCATCGATGCACTGTCAATGCACAAACTACGGCACCTGAAAAGGATTTTAAAATAATAAATTTAGCCCTTATTTGCTATAAAACGAAAAAGGCTATTCTTTATACCTAATTCTTAACATAAACACATACAGACTGACATAGTACTATATAATATTTATGTATTACTATAACGTTTAGTAAATCAGGCAAGCGACAGTCGGAAAATAGCTTCTTTTATATTTCCGTATTTTATATCAAAATATAATTTTTTCATGAATTCTGGAATTGACTATATATATATATTTGCTGTAGAATATAGAAATTTTAATTAATTTGTTTATATGTACTAAATTAGTTTTTATTTCGTTTTTTATATACATTTTTCCCGTAATAAAACTAAAAAGTTACTGTAACTATAAGGATATTAAGAACAATAATACACAACAAACTTTAATAAGATACTTCAAGGGCACGATTAGCATCTTATCAAAGTTCTCATCTTATTAAATAAAAGAATACATTTAGAAGTTACGAAAAATACACAAAATTAGTACCACCGACTGGCGCCCGCTGACAAATTATAGTATAAATATAATTAATTGAATCCCCATAAATGTTCATTGCCCTAATTTAAAATTACGACTTTGACCATTTTTTTAATTACGATTGATAATTTTCTATTATCATATTAATTGTTCAGTAAAGAAAACATTGAAGTTACTATCTGGCTCAGCATCATAACCTCTGCAATCATTAATCTCCACAAAGTAATGCACGAGACGCACAACCTACCCCTATCCGATTTTGGTGTCGCAAACATGTTCAGTGAGAACGTCGTCCATTTGAGTGTTGTCTTCTAGCGACATTGTCACCGTACGAGGCCTTGGAGAAAATGTTCTTCGCCCTTTTCGGCCAGATTAATTTGTCTGACCTGAACTACATCTCCAGCGTGCGCCCTTCCTGGACGCAGAATCTGTTCAAGTGCATCTTCGGTGCCTACATGCTGATGTCGGTCGTGGTGCTCATAAAACTGCTCATTGCGATGATGTCGGACACTTTCCACCGCATCCAGGTAACTACGTGTTATCGCATGTAAATCGCTTTTGCTTCCAGTGGTGATGAACCCCCTATTATCGTTCGAGCTTCTCTTCTTCGCGGTGTTCGGTCAGACGACGACGGACCAGACACAAATGAACAGGAACGACGCGAATGCCCAGCCGAGCTGGACCAAGTACCTGTTCAAAATTGTTTTCGGAATCTACATGTTGGTGTCTGTGGTGGTACTCATCAATTTGCTCATTGCTATGATGTCAGACACGTACCAAAGGATCCAGGTAACGCATACCTGAATACATAATGTATTGCATCATTCTAAATTAACACACACATTAATATGCGTGAGTCGTGACACAGAAGTAAATCAGAAGAACTGATAAAAAATAGTAATTAATATAAACATATTATTAATATAAATACTTTAAAACATAACAATTAAGATTACTTTAATCCTTTTATAGGTATTCTATGATTAATAAGTATAATAGATATTTTATAATAGGTTTTTGTTTATTTCTAAACTAATAACCGGAACAGTGGCGTAATCGTGGACCATGGCATGCCCATCAGATTGGGCCCTATATTAAAAAAAAATCACGTTCTAGTTTCTTAATTGAAAATATAATTAATAGTTAATTTTGTTAATAATGTTAAAGTCGTCGTGTGCCAAACCAACTAGAACTGGCCCCCGTGGTACTTGCCTGCTCTACCATTCTATTCTTACGCCACTGAATTGGATTTAATATTTAATACTTAATTGTATGTGTGATAAGAATTGTCTTTTCTACAAAATATCTAATTGCATCTTGTACACTCTACTATAACTTAAACCTATAACTTTTCTTTTTAAATATATAGTCATAATATTTCACTCTATTCTTCTCTCTTTCTCTCTCTCTTTCTCTTCTGTATTCTCATTCTATAGAGAGAATAAGAAAAAAAACATTGTTAAAAAATATTTCAGGCACAATCGGATATTGAATGGAAATATGGATTGTCAAAGCTAATTAGGAATATGCATCGGACGAGCACTGCGCCGGCGCCGATCAACTTGGTCACCACTTGGTTGATGTGGCTAATAGCTAGATGCAAGGTATGGAAGTATTTTTCATGTAATAACTCTACGAACATCATGCTATTATGCGACACCTGTGATACTGCTCACGGGTTGCCATTCCGAAGGACTAAGATGCCACGCCTCTCATCCTGTAATTTTACTATCCAATTTATATCTTGGCGCAATAGATAAACAGAGGTACCCATACAGATGACTTTCTACAAAGCTTACTTCGGTGAAATTACTTATTTTTAGAGAAAAAGTTGTACCTTAAGGTTTATATTTGCGCAATGCATAAGGTATGATTAATAATACAATAATTACACTATAATTTTACCGATTTTGTTGTTTCTATTTGCACTCCATGTGGCTCTAACACCATACTAATTTTGATGACATTCTACAACACCATCTTGTCCATCTGGTTAAATGGTGGCCCTACATCGTGCGGTTTTCTAGAAACTTTGAACAATCAACCACATTGTGGAATCACCTTTCAGCAATGGTATTTCCAATACGATATTGAAGCCTTCAAGAAAAGGGCTTATTCCTTCTTAAAAGGCCGGCAACGCACTTGCAATTCCCGTGGGTTTCCCCTGCTCATGGGCAGCGGTAATCAAATACCATCGTGGAGAAGGGGATTGTTAGTAATGTGGATTAATAACCCCATTGCTAGCAATTTACAATTTAAGGTTGACCTCCACGCGTTTCCTCCTGAAAGCCACCGTGGTAATTTGCCATTTGCCAAGATGAGCTAAGTAACTTGACTTCATGCTCATTTTATCAACCTTCACTGTTGCCCCGCCAGTGTAAACCGGTAGCTCAGGCGTGGGTGATTCACTCCATTATCATCCATAAAAAAAATTACCATCAGGTGAGCCGCAAGCTTGTTTGTCCCGTACGCTATAAAAAATCTATTCATCTATAACTACTACTCGTTAGGCATATTTTATTATTTACAAATAAACTAAGCATTAGTTAAGCATAGACATATTAAACAACAAAGCTAGTGTTATATGTACTTATATGCAACTAATAAAAATACTCAAGTACTTTTTTTTTTTATAAATTACACACTAAAGGCTATTTACATACTTATTTCTGTTGTTGCCTCATTCATAAGTCCACTCCAAATATTCTTTACCTATCCTTCAGACAATTATGTGATCTATTTGATTGTGACACTGAGTGTTGCAAGCATTTACCTATAAGTAAAAAAACATAAATCTATACATATAATATGAATGTAACTGATGACTGTCTGCAGATGGTGTATATAATAATAACCCTGGACAATTCACACAGCGCTATCTAGTTCCAAGCTATGCAGAGCTTGTGTGTATGATATAAATACTTAAATACATTTTTTAAATATATACATAATACGTACATAGGAAATACCCAGACTAATACAGTCATACTCCAGAATATAAATGTTTATACTGTGCGAGGATATGAACCCACGCCCATCGTAAAGTAAGGCGGTGTACTAAACCGCTACACCATTGAAGCCATCAATATATGTATGTATGTATGTGTATAAGTACATATTATACATAGAAAACACCCAAACCGATACAAACAATCATACTTATGAATATTTGTATCGTGCGAGGAACCGAACCTGCGACCATCGGAAGTAAAGTGGTGTTGTAAACTGCTACACCACCGAGGCCCCCGATGTAAATTCAAAGATCAAAATAATCATCTGTTTGGAAAATGAATCACGTTTTTATTTCAGGAGCGTCTAAGTAAAAAGAAACGGCCGAGTCTCGTTCATATGATCGGATTACAACGACAGGATCAGTTGAGTGCCAGATCGAAAGCTGGGGCTAAGTGGCTATCTAAAGTGAAGCGGGGTCAAGTCGTTCCAAAAGGTAAATATATAGTCTAACTATTAATAATTATGTCTGTGTTAATAGTACAAAAAACAAATAGTATCTATTATAGAAATGCAATTATTGCAATTTGATGGCTCCTTTTTTATAATTTTCAATGTTTCCAAGTGGATTTAGTAAACTAAGGAATTCATAAACTTCATTTAAAATTTCATACTGATTCATTATTAATATCATCTCCGATTGAAAACATAATAAAGAAATGTAGATATAGAGCATATAGAATAGAGCATGCTCCATATACAAGATATCATTAAAAAATATTATAAAATTGTGCTGCCATTACTTCAACAACAGTTAAAAGTGCTTACTTTAATTTGCTTTATTAATCCTTACTAATATTATAAATGCGAAAGTAACTCTGTCTGTCTGTCTGTCTGTCTGTCTGTCTGTCTCGCTTTCACGCCAAAACTACTGAACCGATTTAAATGAAATTTAGTACGCAGATAGTCTAGACGCAGAGGAAGGACATAGGCTACTTTTTAATGCGTAAAAAGGGTTGTAAGGGGTTCAAAATGGAAATACAAGGTTATCTTTATGCGGTTGAATCCTTATTCGTCATCTTTTCATTTCACTAGCTAACAACCAATCAACACATCGCGTGCGTTTGCGCCATTCGCCATCTTTTCATTTCACTAGCTAACAACCAATCAACTCATCGCGTGCGTTTGCGCCAATAAGGTATCCATCACAGAGAACAAAACCACAGATAACATAATGTAAAACGAAAGATCTTGCCGGAAACATGACGTTGACGTTTAGTGAAAATTTTTTTTTTGACACTTTTTTATGATAAAATCGTATATCGTGTGTATGTGTTTTTTCTTTAAACTTGAAATTGGCCGATTGCGAGACAAATTTGGCCATTTTTTTTATTAATTTGTTTTACGGCTCTGGATACAAGTCCTGTTTAGCCCAACTTAAAGTTTTACAATATAAATTACAAAAATTAAAGTCAATGTCAAATGTCAAATAATAATAAATGTCAAATGTTGTTTCTCTGTTCTGACGAACTTATTAAAAAAAACTTAATAACAATCACAATTTCTTCAAATTTTATTATTTACATTTTTTAAAGAATGTTGTGGTGTGGCACTATACGAAATTAAATTATTTACCCATTTTTGTAGGTTATACAGAAATAATGTGTGGGTGTTTATTTAAAAAGCATTAACACAAAGTTAATAAAGTATAGGTATTAATAAATATATGGTTGTTGTATCAAAATAGAATTTTCTTATTTTTCACTAAAATAAAAACTAACTGTCTTTTTTATAAAATAAATGACCTTTTCATTGTGCCATATATTATGGAACTATTTAAATTATTTAGCTGATTGTAAGAAACAAAATGTTGGTTTGTAGATTAATACTGTAAAATTATTATTTGTACGGAAACGATAAAAATATATTTTTGTGCTGCGACAAAAACTAATATTATAAATGTGAAAGTAACTCTGTCTGTCTGTCTCGCTTTCACGCCAAAACTACTGAACCGATTTGAATGAAATTTGGTATACAGATAGTCTAGACCCTGAGAACGGACATAGGCTACTTTTTAATGCGAAAAAAGGGTTGTAAGGGGTTAAAAGGGGGGTTGAAAGATTGTATGTAAGAATCGTCATTTTTGAAGCTAGAAGCTTGAAACTTATTTTTGAGACTGTTGATTAAATATAAATAAAAATGACATTCAATGTTTGTAAAAAATTACCCTTAAGGGGGTAAAATAAAATAGGGGATGCAAGTTTTTATGTAAATTCGTCATTTTTGAAGCTAGAAGCTTAAACTTATTGTTGAGACTGTTGATTAAATATAAATACATGACATTCATTGTTTGTAAAAAAAATACCCTTAAGGGGGTAAAATAAAACAGGGGCTGCAAGTTTTTATGTAAACACGTCATTTTTGAAGCTAGAAGCTTGAATCTTATTGTTGAGACTGTTGATTAAATATCCTTATAATATTATAAATGCGAAAGTAACTCTGTCTGTCTGTCTGTCTGTCTGTCTCGCTTTCACGCCAAAACTACTGAACCGATTTAAATGGAATTTAGTACGCAGATAGTCTAGACGCCGAGGAAGGACATAGGCTACTTTTTAATGCGTAAAAAGGGTTGTAAGGGGTTCAAAATGGAAATACAAGGTTATCTTTATGCGGTTGAATACTTATTCGTCATCTTTTCATTTCACTATCTAACAACAAATCAGCACTTCGCGTGGTTTTGCGCCATTCGCCATCTTTTCATTTCACTAGCTAACAACCAATCAAAACATCGCGTGCGTATGCGCCAATAAGGTATCCATCACAGAGAACAAAACCACAGATAACATAATGTAAAACGAAAGATCTTGCCGGAAACACGACGTTGACGTTTAGCGAAAATATTGTTTTTTGACACTTTTTTATGATAAAATCGTATATCGTGTGTATGTGTTTTTTCTTTAAACTTGAAATTGGCCGATTGCGAGACAAATTTGGCCATTTTTTTTATTAATTTGTTTTACGGCTCTGGATACAAGTCCTGTTTAGCCCAACTTAAAGTTTTACAATATAAATTACAAAAATTAAAGTCAATGTCAAATGTCAAATAATAATAAATGTCAAATGTTGTTTCTCTGTTCTGACGAACTTATTAAAAAAAAACTTAATAACAATCACAATTTCTTCAAATTTTATTATTTACATTTTTTAAAGAATGTTGTGGTGTGGCACTATACGAAATTAAATTATTTACCCATTTTTGTAGGTTATACAGAAATAATGTGTGGGTGTTTATTTAAAAAGCATTAACACAAAGTTAATAAAGTATAGGTATTAATAAATATATGGTTGTTGTATCAAAATAGAATTTTCTTATTTTTCACTAAAATAAAAACTAACTGTCTTTTTTATAAAATAAATGACATTTTCATTGTGTCATATATTATGAAACTATTTAAATTATTTAGCTGATTGTAAGAAACAAAATGTTGGTTTGTAGATTAATACTGTAAAATTACTATTTGTAGGGAAACGATAAAAATATATTTTTGTGCTGCGACAAAAACTAATATTATAAATGCGAAAGTAACTCTGTCTGTCTGTCTCGCTTTCACGCCAAAACTACTCAACCGATTTGAATGAAATTTGGTATACAGATAGTCTAGACCCTGAGAACGGACATAGGCTACTTTTTAATGCGAAAAAAGGGTTGTAAGGGGTTAAAAGGGGGTGAAAGATTGTATGGAAGAATCGTCATTTTTGAAGCTAGAAGCTTGAAACTTATTTTTGAGGCTGTTGATTAAATATAAATAAAAATGACATTCAATGTTTGTAAAAAATTACCCTTAAGGGGGTAAAATAAAATAGGGGATGCAATTTTTTATGTAAATTCGACATTTTTGAAGCTAGAAGCTTGAAACTTATTGTTGAGACTGTTGATTAAATATAAATACATATGACATTCATTGTTTGTAAAAAAATTACCCTTAAGGGGGCAAAATAAAATAGGGGATGATAGTTATTATGTAAATTCGTAATTTTTGAAAGTAGAACGATGAAACTATTTTCATTGGTTCTTTTGGGGTAGATTTTTAAATACCCCACTAATGTTATAACTGTGAAAGTAAGTCTGTTTGTCTTTCTGTCAGTCTTACGCTCCAAAACAAAACAAAAATTTAAATGAAATTTAAAAAATTTAAACACAGTTAGTTTACACCCGGACAAAGAATATAGGGTACTTTTGAATGTGAAAAAAGGATTGTAAGGGGGTTGCAACGGTACGCTGTATGGAAGAATCGTCATTTTTTAAAACTAGAAGTTTGAGACTCATTTTTAGACATTCAATGTTTGTAAAATTTTTACTCTTAGGGGGAGGGGGGGTAGTAAAATAAAATAGGGAATGAAAGTTATTGTGGAAATTTGCTGTTTGTGTGGTTGTGGAAGCTAGAACGATTAAACTTTTTTCTTTGTCTTTTTAGAGTTAGTTTATTAAATACCCTACTGATATTATAAATGTGAAAGTAACTTTGTCTGTCTGTTTGTCTCGCTTACACGCTAAAAATATTGAACCGATTTAAATTGAAATTTGAAACAGACATAGATAGACTAGATCCTGAGAAAGGACATAGGTTACTTTTTAATGTGAAAAAGGGTTGCAAGAGGATTGAAAGGGTAGATCCAAGGTCATATAGATGTATCGTCATGTTTAAAAAAGCTTGAAATTTATTTTTTAGCCTATTGATTAAATATTTATTTTTATTTTTTATCATTTTTTAAGCTAAAATGATGAAACTTATTTATTTGACTTATATTGTGTTAATTGAGTTAAATATTTTTTCATTATTTACGCGGACGAAGTCGCGGGTACAGCTAGTATAATATACGAAACCTTTAATTTTCTTTAGACAAATGCGATATCAAATTAAATCAAAATATATTCATGTAGGTATATCACAAACACTTCTAAGTCAAATTTATCATCAGTTCAAAGTAATTTCAAGCTAAAAAGAAATGACAAGGATACCAGTTCTTATACCTTTCAAATAAGCTGGTACAGGATTATAAAAATATGTTTGAATTAAAAGAGAGAAGAATTCAAACATATGCTATGTATAATAAAAAATTATGAACTAAATTTTAAATTTAAATTTCAGACTCGACTCGCCTTTCTGTAGTCCATCTCAGTCCTTTGGGTTCTCAATTAAGTTTCAACAACATGACAAGGATAGAGAATGTTGTGGACTGGGAAGTTATTGCGAAAAAATACAGAGCCCTCATGAGAGATGAAACTGAGGAACCAGTAGTTAAGGAGAACGAAGCAGATGCCGCTGACAATACGTCAGAAATAGTGCCTAACAATATTTCAACGATACCGCCATGAACATATTAAAGTTTTCTTCATCAGGAACGAGATAATTACAAATTGACGTCGTTATAGCGTCCACAATTAAATTTTATATACGTATAATAAATATCTATTTCATATTTTGAGAGCCAAAATTAATTTTACTGCCGTCAGAAATTATCCATGTCAGAAAGAGACGAGAGGTGAAATGATGCAACAATAAATATTTTACCAAATCTGTATTTGTTTACTTTTAATATAACAATTACTTTATTACTATTTATTAAAATGCATTTTTTTTAAGAACTATTCTAATGCTGTTGTTTGAAAAAGGCCTTTACAGGTTTACCGAACAATAGGGGGCGAGTGCAGATGCCACTTCAAACACGCGAAAGGACATAAAATATAATAAGTGAATGAATATTGAAAGGTAAACCTGTCTGTTAACCAACCTGCGTTTATTGTCCAAGGAAAACAAGTCACTAAGGATGGATGAAAGGACTTGCATGAAAACTGAACAGAAAGGCTATCGTGATACTTTAGAAATTAAAAAAAAATCTTCTCCGCATTGCACTTGGAAATAATCTGGTAACACTGGCCAATCCTTTCATTGTAAAAAGAACCCAAACCATCAACCCCGCTCTAAATGGGATCTCCAGGTTTCATCATTGTCAAGACAAATTTTGGTATATTTAAGTTGCTATTGATTCCAAAATACATTTTATATTTAAATATTTTATACATAAAAGAAAAAATAATAAAGACGGAGTAAGTTAGGAGGAGTATTGTGAAATAAGTGGAATGTGCACTGACTATAATAGCCGAATACCATTAACCATTGCATTTCTGTACAATGTTTATTGTCATTTTGAGTTCATGACTTTCATGATTTTTTTGCATTTTATGATCTAATTATTGCTATTATCATTATAATATATTCTGTAAGAACCAAACAATATACCTAAAGGCTTCAAAATGTCCTAACATTAAATAATAAACACTACCTGGACAATTAAAACAGCGCCATCTAGTTCCACGCAAGAGCAGAGCTTGTCTTATGGGAACTAGGCAACTGATATAAATATTTTTTTGTAAATACATACATTATATGCATAGAAAACAACCCACGACCATCGCAAATAAAGCGGTGTGCTAAACCGCTAGACCACCGAGGCCGTCTATTTTAAACCTTAGAATTCGTTGAGAAACAATTCTCTTCATCGAATCGCGTTCAATTTCTTTACTATTGTTATGGTTTTATTTAGTTATTTTTAATTGCCATTATAACGAGTGGAAATATACTGTCGAGTATGAATATAGTTTCCATTCCAATCCGAAAGAGGCGACCAACACACGGAGTGTCACACCGCCCGTCGCGGTACTGCGCGACTTTCAAACGGCTCCTATGCACGGCGCTGTCTAACTTGGCTTGGTTAAACTTGTAATAGAACATTTCCGAATCCATTGATATTTTTAAATGTACCAATAAGTGCGCAGAAATGTACTATGTACTCCATTAAATAATACGTTTGTACTCGAATTCAATTAAAGCTTTACATTATTATAAATTTAAACCTTAAGAAAATAAAGAACACAAGAATGTAAACTAAATCACAAGAATAACGTTAGCAACGACTAAAAATACAATTTAGCTAGCAGAAATTTGATCACCATTACTCAGTAGATTAAAAAACAGCACTTGCCACTTCTAGATGTAATCGAATTAACATAAATGGAAATCTATTCAAATAGAAGACTGTCCATTTATAGCATTATTGAAAGTGTTTTTGTATTAATTTACAAATGTTTAGGTTGACAATTGGTTGTATTCAATTATAGACCAAGATCAAGACTGCCAGATGTCACTTATATTGCTCTATTAGATATTAAGTACCATATAGAAGCGACAGTGTGGTTAAAAATCCAGTACGAACATTCCAAACGCGACACCGTGCTCCGCTATGAAACGCCGTGGATGTAGATCACCTTATAGAGATATTGCAGTTCCGCGCCTTTTTATTGCATTACTTATACACCGAGCGTTTTAGTTGGTAACCTTTAAAGTATGGAGGTATAAATATACATAAGACGTACAAAGTTTAAAAATGTTAGGAAAAGGAAATATGAGAGTCCATATATAAAAATATATAATATATATATATAGGCATATAAAGAAATATATAGCAAAATACATAGAATAAAGCTTCGATTTCAAGGACGTTCTATTATCTAATAAAACATAGCCTAATTATTGTTACATAATAGATATGTTAAAAAAATATCTTTTTGACCAACTATTTTAATACTGGCCTAATGATTTTTTTATATCTGATAATATATTGTTGTGATTAAATTCATGTACCTTTCAAATTGCCTACTGTTTCATATATGTAAGTCAGAAAAATAAACAGAAAAATAAAATATATGTAATATAAATAATAAATAACATAAATTATTGTAGGATATTTTTATTATTAGTAATTTCTAGGATTTTTTGGCTTAAATTCAAATGTAGCAACTATTTCATTGGAAAGGTTGATTTCACCTGTTTTGCTCTTATAGGTCGCATACGACTCGAAGGACCAGAATTATTTGATAAACTCCACTGTACCTATGTGTAATCCCAGATGTGACTGTTTTTCCGAGTGAAGAACCTTGTACCGCGGTCTTCTAGATAACCTTGTATAATAATCCACACCACGAGGGTGCAGGCAGTCGCTCTATCGTCTAATGTCGAAACAACATACGTCCACCAACTGTTCCACTATCGGCTACTCTATCAACCACACTTAGTGTACAGAACACGTGCACAGCTATACGTATTAACTGGAATATACACTCATACGTAAATAAGAAACCAGTGAATGTGCGGTAGTGAAAAAATGTGTCGCTTAGAAAATTATTGGTCCAGGATTTTCATCTTTACGTTTTGTTAGTTTTCCATTTTCAATTTTATTTTATTCTACAATAATTTGTGTTATTTATTTATCGCAATATTTTTTATAAAGTCTAAAGTTATTTTTTTTTATTTTATATATTAATTAGGTTTACGATTAAGTATGATATATATTTTCAGTTATCGTTCAAATCACACAGTGCGCTAATTTGCGATGTTACAAAGGGTAAGTTATAGACATTTTTCTGTGAATACTTTTTATATGCAACATATAATAACTATATTATAATATAAGTAAACAATATTCAATATTCAATAATTGTTTACAAAAAATGTAAGTCTAAACAAAAAAAATCTCGACGGTAAAACTTCTTCTTTTTATATTTGAAGAACCATTCTTTGAACAAAATTATTTAAATTTCATGAATTACTAATGACCGTAAATAATTAGACTTTCATGTTTAAATTGCTGTCAAAAGTATTTGTCATCCTATTTGTGTACGGTCTATCTGTATAGTTAATTTTTTTTAAATCCTTCGATGCAGGCTGACTAATAAGTATGTAAACATACATATATATATATATATATTTACATTGCCAAATTCCCTTAAGAGTCATTAAAAAATTCTATCACACACAGACACAGGTCATAATAACTAATAATTGATGTTTAGTTTCCAATTGTTATTAAATACAAAATACTGTTTAAATAAAATGAACACAAATACGATTATTGCACTTTAATAGGATACTCATATGTATCCGATTCGATATTAAAACAGCCATTAAATATAGACCATTATATACTAAAACAATTTACACGTTTCTCTTTATTACACTCTGAAATATTAAAATATATATTTTTATTATATTTATTTTAAATAAAATATATATATTCGACAATATAATATAAATAGACAATAAAATGGTTTAGATTTATATTTCTGAAATCAAAAGATATTAAGTATACATACAAATTTTATTTTATTATTTCACATTTATCATATTTTCATGATTATGTAATAATTTAATTCTCAAGGACAGGGACTAAATACCACTAGTCCCAATGTAATATGTTAATGAAACATTTAGTATATTAAATACATTTATTATATTACTTATAATTTGCTATCATTAATCACACAGAATACATAAATTATATCACGATTATAATATCAAATATTTTAAATACAATAAACAAAAAATGGAGGTCAAGTTGCCGCCGTCGCTTAAGTAATGAAATGAATGTAAAATGTCTATTGTTGGCAGAATTGTGTGAAATTGTTTTACATCTTTCTAATGTAAAACAGCAGTATGTAAGTTTTTGCAAATACTGCAAGAAAGTGTTGAATTCAACCTATGACCTCTTGTGTCAGGTAACCTACCTAAATGTAACGAGTCATAAAATACTTGAACTGCCATTTCTATAGATATTTATGATTAAATAGAGATGATATAAAGTTATCCACAGAATACCAGGAACTTATTTGACTTTGCTGATTTGTGCTTTAAATCGTTAATTTATGATTAAATTATTTTTTAATGTGTTTATTATTATAACGTCAAGTCAATCTCCCCTAGAAATTATTGTGCTTAATTTCTAGTGAATTTGTAACAAGCCCTTACTAACTTCAACCGCATCGTATCATTTTACATTGATGCTCCACTAGCCTAAGGGCAAGTAATCACTACGTTTTTAATAGATTCTGAGAGACTAGGCAGTTATCCCATTATAATATATTAAAAAATAACAGTCAGTTAGTTAGTCGAGTAATGGCCGGAGATAAAATGCAATATAGGTGTATAGTAATTTTCCAATGACAGTATATTACCTCCAAATGAGGCAGAAATTTTGCCATTACTAAAAGGTTAAGGCCCAATATTAATACCGTCTAATAAATGTGTAAATAATAATTATATGTTAATACCGATAGTTCGACAATACATAATGTTTGTGATGGTTATTGGCCGCTGCCACATTATGAATTTAAATAATCTTTGGTGACGTTCGTTTGCGCGGGAGAAGGAAAATTTTACGTGTAACATTCCTTCTTTAGACAGTTCTTTTGTTCTGTTTTAGTTTATTGTTTATTATCTTATTAATATTATAAATGCGAAAGTTTGTGAATATGGATGGATAGATGGATGAATGCAACGAAAAACGTGAAAGAGCAACAAACATCTTGTTGCTTGTTCACGTAAAAACTACTGAATGGATTTTGATAAAACTTTACAGTAATAGATCTTATATATTAGAATAACTCATAAACTACAGTTTAAAAATATTTAAATTGGACGAATGATAATTGTAAAGTTAGTGTGATGCAGACGAAGTTGCGCGGGTCAGTTATTAACTTATATATAACCAGCTACTCGTCCCGGCTTCGCACGGGTGTACATGCTATATATATATAAACATTCCTCTAGAATCACTCTATCATTATTAAGTATACATAAGGACAGACAGCGACAGCGACTTTGTTTTGTATTATGTAATGATATAAGTAACTTATAAAAATAATAAGCTATCCTAAGTAATCATATATTTTTAGATTCACTAAGATAAAGGATTCCTATCTTATACTAGAAAACAACACAAGTTAGTATGTGCTATGTTAGTTTCAAAATGAGTTATGATTTAAAGTAATTGTTTTGAAATGAGAAAACAGTGACCTTTATTCTCGAGATATGTTAATCAAAACCAAATATTAGGATTTCAAATCAACCTTGTTTTACTTTATCAATTTATATGTGTATACACACATTTAAGATTTTTCTACTAATGGTAGGTTATTTGACCCAGATAATATTCATGTAGTTTTATTGCCTCGAATCATACTGTGAATGACATTTCGAAAATCTATATCACTGATAACGGTTTCATTGCCACTGAGAAAAAAAGCATGGGCATGGAACATGCATAAGTTACGGTCCTTAACATAGTAGGTATGACTAAGTTTTTTTTTGCTTATTTTTATTTATATTTTATGTAAAACAGCGTTTAGTACTTTAATCATTACATTTATTTCTCTGTCTTATAAATTATATTCAACAATATTTTATTCGCTCCTGCTAAACATCCCTTCGATCTATACAATTGCCACACCCTTTACCTTTACCTTCACCACCCTGTACCTTCTACCTAAAGGTCCTTAGCGATAAGACCATCTTTTATTCTAGTTATTGTATTTATTTTGGATTATTTAATATTTCTCTGTACAATTTTATCTTATTTTTCTCTCTCTCTCTCTCTCTTCAGCGCGATGGTAAATTGGTTTAAAATGCAAACGTTAAGTCTGTAGTGTAATTTGTTTGTGTGTAGAAAAATAAATAAATAATATACAAAAAACTTACTCGTTTTCAGTAATTATAATAACGCCCATACACCATTAATCCTAAATAAATAAATTTTATATAAATCCTAAATTATAAAAAATAAATTCATATGTACAACTACAAATTGAAATAACTAGGTAAAATAAAATAAAAGAGTAATACTTTAGAAATAGTAATTGTATACCTGTATGACATTAATCATGTCTTGTCACTAACTCCTTACACAACAAACAGTTACGAAAAAAACCGCTTCATTCTTAATCTCAGAATCTCGACTAACATCTTAATCGATGTAGTTAGATGTACGACGCCAAACAATGCAGTGCTTTATAATTTGTCTGGTGACTCTAGTTTTCGTCGTAATTTAAATTTAGTTACTAGTAGTTTATATTGATACAGAAATATATAAATATATTTTTTTACAATTTTTATTCAAAAGACTTCTAGCCAAGTTTTTGGCCATTTTTCTTTGGATTCTGTATTCCGCTTATCATTAATTATTTCAATAAAGATTACTTTTATTTCTCTTTCTTCTATTGTAAGCTCAAAAAGTAATAACAATATTTATTTACACACAAAAAACATTGACACATATATATTATACAGTGTAACAGAGCTATTTGGGCATGAAATTTAATGCTAAAGTACAAATTTGTGGAGAACTGGTACCTGTAAATATCCAAACAACCTGTATATTAGCTGACAAGGTCCCCCTCTATATCCTACGTTCTATATTATAAAACTTAGAACATAAGGACAAAACGTAACGGTTTGAACAATTCAATGAGGGATGAAGACATAGAAAGTTAGTTATGTTGTAAAAATGTGGAAGTATTTTATGAAGTAGATCATATGTATGTAAAATATACTTTTAAATTACTTCTAAAATAGAAACTACCGACAATCAGCTTCAGTTCCGTCAAACAATAAATAACCCCTTACTTTTATCTTTCGCTCTAATTGTAAATGTAAAAAATAAGATGCAAATGATTACTAACAAGATTTATTATCAATTCTCAACTTTCCCATAAAAAAATCATTAATGTGATGTAACAACGGCAATAGTTAACTAAACAACTCTTTGCTGAAGGTCGTACTGCTATTTGGATTATTAGGACGCTTATTGTATAATCATACATAACTATATATAATCGAATCCGACCACTTTCTTTCGGTCGGTCATTACACTAATCAGACCGGTTTTCTTACTACACAAAAATTACTTAATTTTTCATTACACAGCATACATTTTCGGTAGAACATGATTGATATGCTTGTATAGAGTTTACGTATAATTTCTACGATTGAGCCACATTGGAAAGGCTGGTTTGTTTTGATGTTAATGTTAGGTTACTCTAAGATGAAGTATTCTCATCAATCACTTTATGAAGTTGATTTAATACACCCTGAATCTTGTAAAAATTTAATTTAGCCGTCTTTTGTACCTGATAAATGTAACAGATACTTTATGCTTTAAGCATGCATAAGTATTAGATAGAAAATTTAAATCTTACACAAGAAAGAAAGAAAAGGAAATTCACCATCTTATTGTAAAACTATGTAGATCTTGTAATGTATATATGACTAATAAAATTACTGACCTCTATAGATCTAGGTATTTTCGAATAGGAAATATTCGATTCGAATATCCCGCGGCTACTCGCATGAATTAGGATAAAAAATATCCAATCTGTGCATGTGATCAATCTAAACAAATTTTAACATTATCGTGACCTTTTTGAAACCATTTTATAATAGTAATAACAATAATTCTGAATAAATAACACAGCGTCATCTAGGCCCAACTAGACTAGACTGCTCTATTCTAAAGCAGGATACCATATAAAAAGAAATAAAGAAAAATAAAGAACCTTAGCCGTCAGTACATGTATCAATATAATTTTAATTAATGATTTCAGGTCACTGGACAACTATACAACAACTTCACTGGAAAATGTCATGTTCCTCGCAAACTCGTCGTGCATAGACCCAACTTTACCTACCATCCTTTACACATTTGGGTACAGAGGCCGAGTGGCCGGCCCGGCCACCACTGCCATTTTGAATGCATACCTGGCAAAGAAGAAGAGAAACGTAGTACTTCTAGATTGGGAGGAAGAGGCCAAGAGTGGACTCCTTGGTATACCTTTGGGGTACGTCCTAAATGCCGTTCCTAAAGCAAAGAAGGTAAACAATGTAATTCTTAATTTATGCATTATTGTCATGTTGCATAATGCTGCCAGTATACTAACTAAATTGTTTGTAAATGTAAACAGAGTATGACGAAATATGCGTTTGTATTCAAATACTGTAGCATGTTTGGAACAATATAAAAATAAGTTTAATATTTATAATGCGAACAAAAAATAAGTTTCCGTTGACGATATAGGAATAACTTAATTAAGTAGAGTTGCGCAGATTTTATTACGGAATTACAACGCGGCGCTATGGTACATACTTTTTAGAAATAGAAATATATAGATAACTACAATAGAAAACACAATAAAATATGTTTATATAGACTAACATATAAATACAGACAGCAGATATTTTTATTGAGATTTTTCCGCATAAAAGTGGTAGTCCTTTGACCATAAAGGTGACCGTTCCTTTCTGTAAATTGAATGGTAAACGAATTGACAGTTCGCCTGATTGTAAGTGGTAACCGCCACCTATATACATGTATATGATATTATCGTGTCATGCCCATGACATCACTTGGTCGTGGTCATTCTGGAGGACTAACATTTCTTGTCTCCATATCCTGTAATTTCTTAGAAAACCAGCTTCTTGGCGGCTGAAATACGTTAAATAAAAGTACAGACAACTTTTTAAACTCTTTAAACGACTTTAACTTGGCAAAGTACTAAATAATTCATAAATATGAAAATTTGTTATTCTTTCTGATGGACTAATAATTCAACAACTGTCTTGTAAAAAATATAAAAAGAGAATCTTCATAAAAATTGAGTGACTCACACATTCCACTGGTATATTGTATTCAACGTAGCAGGTGGCTAACCAACTACCATGTAAGGGAATCATACGATTCGCTATCGGTGTTTCTACCACTGTATACAGTCAGAAATACAAATTAACATACAAAGGTTTTTTTGGTGTCGGGGCAGTAAACCATTAGGCCAGGCTTGTTTACATAAAAAATAGTTACTACTTAATTAATTACTTTTTTATTTATTCGGATACATAATTATTGTCAAAGACATTGCACAAGGGAGGGGAGAAGCAAAGTATAGCTTTAGTGACAAGGGGTTGGTGGAGTTGCAAATTGCGTGTAAAAAATCATGAACTTTAGGACCTTTGCGCCCCTAGGACACTTTGTGACGTCACATTTCTGTTTTAGTAATGAACAAACTCAACAGTTTAACATATACTGTTAAAATGTTGTGTCATTTTAACAGTATATGTTAAACTGTTGAGAGAAGGGGGAAAGGGGGCTATTATAGAGAGAAGGGGGAGAGGAGGATTACAAAATAATTATTTTGTTAGACGTAATTTGTAAACGGCTCATTATGATTATATTTTTTTTATACTATAATGTTGGAAACAAGAAACAATCAGGGGCCGTTTCTGATGGTAAACGGTTACTGTAATCTATGGACGCCTTAAACATCAGGTGTCATGTGCGCGTTGCTGACCATAAATATAATTATAATACTGATCATAAAACATCAATAAATATGATGATCTTTTTTTCATTCATGCTCTATTTCATAACAAGTACTCTTTGGTGACGTCCTTAAACCGTAATATAAATTATATAAAAAACGGAGTTGGTTATTTTAAAGACATGGTAATGATTGTTATTGACACAGATATTCAATATAGGTACAATAGATATCTGTTACCAATGTTGAAGAGCGTGATAATGTGTCAAGACAATTTACATCCACTGACTACATTGCAGTTATTCTCTTTAACAAGGCTTGTATCATGAACTGGCAACCCTTTTTTATTTAGTTTTGGGGGAACGTTCGCAAAATCCCTCATGGTGACCCGTTCGTCTCAAGGGTTGCATGGACGGGTACTGTGAGACTCCTACTCACTAAACCCTGCGGTATTTCATCTCACCACCATAATGCCGGGGTCGCGGAAACGAGTTCGCAATCGACCGCGATCCTACCAGCGGTTGTTTATAGTTTTGAATCTTTAATATTTTTATTGATATTTATTTTTATAATTCCATAAATATCAGAATAATTATATCAGTATATTAAAACGTCAAGTAAAAACTTTGTACTCCTTTTTACGAAAAAACGCGAACAACGAATTTCGCACACCTATAGATTATATAGAAAAAGAGTGCAGTATACTATTTTTTATGCATAATAAAAATACATTAAACCAATAAAGAAAACATTACACACACTATCATGTACTTGATACGCACACGAGTATAGTCTTTCACAATAGTTTAACATTGTTATTTCAACATTGTTAACGTTCATTAATTTAAATTATAAAATTTAAATTAATTATGGTCGACTTTAGACTATTGGGTGAATACTAGTCGGGATAATTATACATTTATCGTACCAAATAACGTGACCTCTGTATAATTGTTGTACATACTTATGGAACTGTTACAAAGTGTCTGATTAATAAGATGTGTACGTAAATAAGTTCGTGTACCTATAAGAATTTAGTAATCACTATTACAAAAATATTCGTTAAAATCCATTCAGAATTGTTAATATGCACTAAATACACAAACAGACAAAGACAAAGACATTTCACAAATAAGATTACAGTCTTATTAAGCACCTCCATTTTTGGATTTAGTTGAAATTAACTAAGATATCTTACCTACTTACCTACATAACTTTTAATGTCTATCTATTATCTAGTAATAATAGTCTCACTAATATGATGATGATTAAGTAAGTTATTTATAATATTATAAACGCGAAAATTTATGACTATTGATGGACAATTGGATGGATAGCTATTTGTTACTCTTAAAAACTACTGAACTGTTTACGAATACAGAAAATAGTAATGTAGCTTATACATCATAGTAACACATAGGCTATAAACATGCGAGTAAATCTGCTGGCACAGCTAGTGAAAAATAAATATAAGTAAATTTAATTACACTTTTAGATAGGTGACAATATGGGAGATGCATTGGTAAATCTTGCAAACGCTGGTTTCAACATGACGCAGGTCCATCTCCTCGGACACTCCCTAGGAGCTCACATTATGGGATTCGCTGGTAAAAGAGCTAGAGAACAAGGTTACGTCGTGTCAAGGTGAGATTTAATACACTGATTCGTATGTACTCCAAAAATATATGTTTGTGCACTTCAATATGATAATTCAGAATTGCAATATTTACCTACATAATAGCTGAATATAAGTACTTGTGTACTTACCTACTTTTTATGTAATTTTAATAGCAAACAAGTTAACAATCCGCCTGATGGTAAGCTGGAACCGTCGCCTATATACATGAGCTTCACTACGGACATTGTTATGATGTAACGTGATCCGTGATATCAGAGGATCTCGATCGTCTAGCGGTTTAGCCGCCTCCCTTCCGATGGTCAGGGATTCCTCGTACGATACTAACATTTGTATTCATGAGTATGATTGTGTATCGGTCTGGGTGTTTTCTAAGTATGTATGTATTTACGAAAAAAACTAGATGGCGCTGTATGAATTGTCCTGAGATTATTATTATATCACCCATGCCATTGCAATTGCCATTCCAGGGGAAGATTTCATTTCATATTTCATTAGTTAACCTTACTATAATAAATAACCTCTTAGTTCACTCCAGTGTAAGACAGTAGCGAAAAGTCTCAACAAATTAGCACAATGTCCATGTCTACAAGTAATTATTTTCATACGCAAATTAATCATTCTTATGTAAATTGGTTGTTCACTGTAATTTCTCAATAGTTATTTCCGCGTTAGGTTCCAAAACTACATACCTAATTATAGCAGTGATCGCGTTTAAGAACGAATTCATTAGTGATACGTGAAGGTACATAACCCGAGTTAGTAGGGTGAAAGGATTGTTAGTTAGGAAGTAGTCTAGTCGATTTCCCCGTGGAAACCCCCCTCCTGAAAAGCATTGCGGATAATTCTGGTAAATTCACCACGATGGGTTCAGCGCACACTGACTTTATGTTTTCTGACATCCTTCGCTAGTGATTAGAGTTAACGCAGGCAATATTCCATAGACATTATAAAATGATTATTATATTTTATAGTACTGTCTGTCTATTAGTTCATGCTAATGTCAGAAACGGCAGTACCGATTTTGACGGGACTTTCACTCACAGGTAGCTAATGTTATAAGGACTTTTATTTTAGAAATTCTATTTATTTTAATCAAAATAAAATACATTCGTGGATAGTTAGTATGTAAAAAAAATACAACAACTCATATCCAACAGGATAACGGGCTTGGATCCCGCCCGAGCTTTATTCGAAGGATCGTTCGCTCGCAGTGGTCTGGACCGCACTTGTGCGAGATTTGTTGACATCATACACAGTGACCCTGGTGGTTATGGTACCACCAAACCAACGGGAACTGTCGACATATGGCCCAATTATGTTGGCAGCGGCGGTGCACAACCCGGTTGTGCTTCTGGAGACTTCGAAATGTTCACTTCAGAGGGTAAGTGGATTTTTTTAACCACCATCGCTAATTTTATAATATTAACATATCTGTATATGTGTGGTATGTGTGTGCTTAACAAAGATTTTCAGATTTTACCAAATTGAAGAGGAAACACCACTACACACCGTATGTGGTTATAGCCCACTCATAAACAAGATATCACCTTTGTATAGTAGGCACACACTCTATCCTGAGGAAATATACACCATCACTCTAATATTTCTTCTAGATCTATGCAGGTCGCAATGCTACAGGTTCTCTTTAGCACTGAGTAATAGACCCAACCACTTTAATAAAAAAATCTGAAGCATCGTAACTCCTAAACGAATGGACCGATTATGATGCGGTTTTTTTGTTTGATTACTGACGTGATCGAGATTCTTCTTAACTAACAAATTGTATCTTATTAAATCGGAGGTTACATAGAAAACACACATACCGATATATTGCATTCATACATATGCATTAACAAAAAAATGTATATAAGTATTTAGTTGTCAAGGAGCAAGACAATCTCTGCCTAACATGGGACTAGGTGGTACTGAGTGAATAGTCCTGGGTTATTGTTGTTATTTGTTTTTATGTAATTAAAATGGAAAACAAGCTGCCACTCCATCTGATGGTCATCGCATAGTCGTCACCTGCATAGATAAACAGCACTACAGGTCATCGAATGACATGCGTGGTATTACTCATGCGTGATCATTCCGGAAGACCAACATGTCATGCCTCCTTACACTTGTATCTGCGCGACTGTATCGCATAAAACATATATGAAAGATACTTGTCTAATTATAACATAAACTATATTTCATTTTGGGCCAACAAACAGTGCATACAACGGTCGTTTCTTAATTATAATATATATATATATATATATATATAAATATATATCTCATTGTACCACTAACACCTTTATTCTACGTTTACATTCAGCCGCTTCCCCTGCCACTCGCGCTGCCGAAAATATTGCCGGGCGACAACTGAGCTAGAGGGCTGAATCTAAAAACACGCTGCCACCCGCGCTGCCAGACCTTTGACTCGCGCACGAAAAACCGACAATCGAGGGAGCGCCGGGCAGCGTGAGTGGCAGCGTCAATGGCATGGGAAGTGTTTCCACTCGTGTTTACACTCTCGCGCTGCTCACTTCCCTGCCCACTCGGGCTGAGTGCAAATTGGGCATTAGAGTGTAGTTAGGTTACCCACAATTTAAAATGCATAGTATTGACAATACAATTGGTATTTAGATATTGGATGCAATTTAACAAAAATCAATTCAAAGATATCATATTTCATCAATTTATTATTTAATTATCTGTGACTATTTTACATAATAGCATCTCTAATGTTTTTATAAACCTCTAAACTGATTTCGACATTTTTATCAAAGAATTCCGAATTTAAATTTACTGTGAGTCATTTACGCGAGCCAGTGTCGAATCTAAGGCCAAAAATAGACACGCAAATTAAGTGCAGTTATAAGATCTATTTATATCCATTTTTATGTTTATGTATGTATTAATGATCGTGTAGTAGGCCCCTATGTGATAGTGTATTCGGCATAATATTTCGTTACATCAAATTAATGAGGTTACTAAATCAATTAAACTTGAAACATAACCTCGGTGCAAGGTCAGAATGCGTTTATATATATTTTTTATTATCTGCTGCAAGAAACTGGTATGCTATCTAATAACGACATTTTAAGATTAGCGAAACTGTTAACAAAACAAGGCAATTAGCAGTTATGTAAATTGTCTGCTGTTATATATTTATGATAGACAATATGCTGTATAATACGATTTCTTTTGACAACCTTCATGTTGCAAAAATTTAACACCCGGTCTCAACTTTCGATAGTCGTGAGTTCGATCCCCATACAATACAAAGATGTATATTTTTTAATGTATGATAACGTCAAAGTATACGTTGGCAGGGCACCAGTGGAGCATGAGGTCAGGTCAGTTAGAGGTCTAGGTCAAGACTAATTACAAGGAATTTATGACGATGGTTTCCAGAGGGAAATTTAGAGGGTCAAATGAGTAGCAGATTAGTTTCTCTTCTAAACCATAAAAAAATCATAATTGCGTTTGCTTTGTATAAGCCATCGATGAAAATACATACTCAAATCCGTTAGTTGTTATTTATTTACACGTAATTGGATAAGTTAATTATAGTTGCTCAACTCTTTAGACCGTTATGTTAGTAAGACTACACTCACATTAATGGGTTCAGTCCGGACGAACCGTGCCTACGACCAGTGGTCAATAGGGTAGCGTCGCCGCGTCGTCGTCGACGCGAGCCGAGCGAGTAGCTTAGCGATGTAGTTGGTATTTATTTTTTACACAATACATTTACTATTTTATTACAAACTAGTTATTCGCCCCGGCTTCGCACAGATGTACATGTATTATACATATAAACCTTCCGCTTGAATCACTCTATCTATTAAAAAACCGCTTCAAAATCCGTTGCGTAATTTTAAAGATTTAAGCATACATAGGGACGGACAGGCAGCGACAGCGACTTTGTTTTATACTATGTAATGATGATATATATTTATGACTATTATTACCATATTACGTATTGATAATATGTGGTTATCCACACGCATATAATCTTTTTATATAATCATGATATCCTAAACTACTCAATTAAATATATTACTTAATTCATTCACACATGATTAACACACTATAAAACCCGTTCATCTTTACGTTACACATTGAGATAAATAAACAATTTCTAGCATAATTTATCGTAAAAGGGTCCATTTGAAATGGTCAAATCATTGTTTTCCGTTGATAAAATTATAAAAGTGTAATATAACAAATGGGTTAGTCTGCATCGGCATCTAACATGTTTTATATGAGTACTAGTGTAGTAGTATAGAGTGGCTAACTGGCTAAAAGTAGCACAGATAACATAATATTAAATACTAGTAGTAACACCTAATTTTAAAAAAATGTCTGTTTGTTTGTTCTGGCTAATTTCTGGAAAGGTTGGACCAATTTAGAAGGAACTTTCACTCGCACATAGCTAATGTTATTACGTTTATTTTAGTAAAAACAAATTATATTTTCCACGCGGACAAAGACTCGTGTAAAGTTGGTTTTAAAATCAAAGGAATTCACGGCGGTCGGTCGTCAACATGATTTTGAAATATTACAAAAATACCAAGATAAGATGCACGGGATATAATTCTTATATCACCAAGACCTTGAACTAGTATTAAGGTTCTGTGTCATTCGTATCTTGTTCACGTATTATATAACGTTTACGCATACAAATCACGTATACGAGACATCATCATTTGTTGAGCAAAGACCCTAACATTAATGAGGACGGCGATCGACATTCGATTGCATATTCAATGTATTTGTTACTCATATTTATAATTCTATTAATGGTCGCAGTTTTCTCACAAACTATAACAAAAGAACTTATTCCTCACTAAAAGGACAGCAATTCTCTTCAATTCTCATGGTATTGTAGAAACTTATAAACAGCGGTAAGCACTTACCACAATATGTGCCGCAAAATTCTTTACCCCCAAAATAAGTTTAATGTTTTTTTTAGTACAATTTTAAGAATTGCTGCTGCAACGTTTTATTATAAACAATGCGAAAATAATTGTTAAAATACGTAATCTTAAAAAAAATGCAATAACTAGAGGCATGTTAGTTAAATATATATTATTCTGAGTGTTATTACAGGAATTTAATCTTCCAACAGCTTCTAACCGAATGCACTTGAACCTTCATCCGGAACCAATGCGGATCGAGAGAATACTATTACTACACGGGTAGATGGTACTACTACCAATTACAAAACAAAAAAATAATTTGAAGATTGGATGGTGTTTTAAAAAAAAATTAAATAGAAATATGTCTATTGGGTTACAAATCCGTACTAAGTCGAAAAATGGAGAGTATTTTATAGAAACTAAAGAAATTTTGTAAAAGGAAGGAAATGTTTTCCACACTCCGAACACCCCAAACTACAGTTAAGCAACACTAAACCCACACATTTGCTTTGGAACGTCCCGAAATGTAGTTTGCAGTTTAAAGGCCACATATTGTAGGGTGTAGATTAATTATTAATTATATTATTTCAATATTTTTTTGTTTAAAATTATAGATTTGGAGCGTACTTCTAGTAAATTTTCAAATGTATTCTTTTTTATAAACTTAAGTCGACGTTTTTTTTTCTTGATTTTTTTCTTGCCAGTATTGTGGAATAATATGTCGCTATTTGTTCTATTGAGTGAGGCGGTGATACAACCTGCTTATATTAATAAAGTGTAGGTACGGAATACAGATAATAAAATATAATTTAAAATACAGTATACTTATTGCAATATTCGCTGTAACATACAACTTACTAAGTAACACAGCGTGCAATTGCTACGCAAGGAAATAACTTTTATGTAGGCACACATACTAACAATATATAAATACAATTTCAGCTGATGAAATCAACGATGTTAATATCAACAATGGAGTCAATTACACACAGTACATCAGAATTATCACAAAGATATTTCATAAAATGAAACCCAGTAAGTTAAAATGGCATGAAAATATGGAACGCATGGTTTATTGGCGGAACGAAATTGGTCATTATAAATACAAGCTTTAGGGTCTGGTTATTAAATGCGCTTGCATATCTGATAAAGTGTAGATATTATAATTGATAATTTGCTAAAGGGTTAATTTACTAAATGACTGCCAATTTCTTTAAAATTTTGAAATGCTGTGTTTGATTATACTTACTTAACAAAACTTAGATTAAGAACTGTAATTTGAATTCCATTGAAAAGTTCCTTAGACTGAAAGATTCCTTCGCTTCTAGCGAAGCATGAAACCTTAGTTCATAGGAATGACAAACTTATGACTTGATAACCCTAATTTAAAAATAATACTGCATTTTTATACACACTTACAAGTTCGTTTGAAAAGAATAAATTTCTTGTCAGTTCTTCTAGACTCGAAAGCACTCTTAACTGACGGTAGATTTGACATATCATAAGAGACAGTAACAGACCTACATGAATAACAATATTTTGATTTTATTTCATGTGATATAGGTCTAGTATTCTTGTATATTGCTATATACATAAAAATGCCACTTCGTCTATCGTCAGTTTGTTTGTCATTCCAATAATATAAATATTCAAGCAGCATGGACAACATAATAGTAATAAGCTAAATCTTTCTTTCATGAAGGAAGACAACTATTCTATAATGGATCGATAATGGGCTGTTACGTTAATGATTATTATAATTGTCCTATTATTCAATATATAGACACTTTAAATGTTGCACGTAGTAAAAGCAATTAGCACAGACTTCCTTGTGGAAGTCAATTGACTAAAATTGTGATGTATTTTTAACTTCATTCCAAATTCAAATCCAGAGTGGATTTGAATTTCAAATGAAGTTCAAGAGGTAGGTACTCTATTCCTAATATTAGTTTAATTAAGGAAGCTTTAAAATCTGGTAATTGTTAACGTTATAGTGATTGCAGGTTTAAAAAAAAATAATCACCATTATTTCACACTCACTAAAATTGTGACCATTGTTTTAGCACCATGCTTGTCCTATATGACTACCAATATACATATTTATATAAATAAATACTGTATATGATAAATAATATATCATTGTATAATTCAAAGTCTTAAACAAAATGTCCAGAAATTAGATCTTGTCGTTGAAATTGAAATCCAGATTGTATAATATTTTAATTTATGCTTAAAAAAAGCGAATAATGTCTTTTTTAATGGTTCTATTCATCTGTGGTTTATAGCTTTCAAAATTTCTGTAATCCAATATACTATAGCAGTCATTCCATAAATTATAGATTTTGGTTAAAAAATCACTAATAAACTATATTGATCTGTTAATAAATCTTGAACATGAAAAAATGATGACCACCTAATTTGTGTATCAGAACGCAAACTAATAAACCGAGTTTGTGTTTCAATCCTCAACCAGTTTATTGAAAACCAAAACAGATATTGGTATTTATATAATTATACTTTAAAATATAATACACATCCATCTCTACGCAGCACCCCATATACATAATTATATAAAATTAAACACATTACAATTCAAGGTCTGTGTAAAAATACTTATTTAAAAATAAATGTTTGCAACCATTTAATCATATACAAACTCACATTTACTATCAGTTTATATAATTCAATAACATATGTAAATTCAAAATATAGATATTTTGTCACCTTACGCTGCATACTCCTCTCCACACACAATATATACAATATATCTCTATAAGCACTAATGAAACTCAATATCCAACTCAAGGTCCAACGGATAAGGAACCTAATATCAACTTTTCACATTAGGCGGAATTTCTTTAAACAAGTTTGTTTTATAATTACATCTAACTGAAACATTTGTTTTTACCTATAAAACCCTGTTTTAGCTTTATGAACAATTCAAGATAGTATATAAAATTATAAAAAAATATGCATACCATTAGATTTACAATGTATATTCAGAATAACGAAACAAATATCTTTATATTTACTGTAATAATAGAGCAAGTAGAGGGTAACAAAAAATTATAAAGGCAAAATTTGATTGAAAGTAGGTATAGCTATCGCGCTTGGGCGAGGGATCACGCAAGGTATCTTTAAATAGAGATAAAACGAATACCGAAGCACTACCTACGACGTGATTTTATTGCGTCGGTCGATGCGCTACTCTTAACAATATATTAAGCTTAATATATCAAGTTGCAGAAGATATAAGAGTTATATTTGAATGTAACTAGTAGGTGTATCTACTGCTACTGATAACCTGATAGAAGAGATGTGCTTGCAACTGCTTTAATTAAAACAACGCTTCAGTTTTACACCACCTACTATAGACACGCAAAAATAAAATGCACCACCTACCAACCGCACCAAATGGTGTTTGATAACTGCATCAAGGTACAAGTATACCTAACACTATTAATAATAATTTAATATATACATAAGTATTATAAATATAAATAATAATATATAGATATATAGATATAACACACTATCAATAATATAACATAGAATTATATGATGTATATATTGTACATACGGAAACTATTTATTTATTGCTAAAAAAACATTTTTTTTAATGTTACATGTTACAATACTTTCTAAGTATATGAATTTCCCTAGGATACTGTTTTTTCCGGTTACTTCATCGAAATCACGCAAGAGTTTTTTTAAGATACAGGTTACACTGTACTAATAATAATATTGTGGATCCATATTATTATCCAATCCAATCGAATTCAGAACGAGCTGCTACTACTAAAACTCATTGCTTTGAACATCGTAAAGAATACATAATATTAATTATGTTTTTCAGAAGCGCACATGTTGTACCTATAAATATAGGCTACCTACTATAATTGTATTCCATGTTCATTATAGTGATGGAATACTAAAAATTATTATAAGTGTGTTCCAATTGCAAAATAGGCACGTAAGAAATCTAGTGTTTCAAACGAAACAAGCTACAGAATCTTTTTGCCGCCAATCACAATTATGACTTTAAAGGTGTATTCTTCCATCTTCCAGATTTGTGCAATCATGACCGTTCATGGCAATATTTCGTGGAAGCCATAGCCCACCCGACCATGTTCCCGGCCGCGTTTGCGAAAGACTACGAGAGTTGGCTTCAAAAGAACAATAATGAAGATGTAATATATTTAGGGGACCTAACAAATACACGGTAACACAAAAATGTATAATTAAAACCTTTAAAGCAGAGATTCCGGAAATGGTCTTCTGTAAATGCTCTGTATGTAAAAATATTATAAAATTCTTAATAATAAAAAATACAATATATGAACTATAAAAGTAGTCGGTACGTCAACAACATGCAGTTTGATAGAATTTAAAGTTGCGTAATGTTAGATCTACTCAATTGGCATACATTTTTTCAGATCTAGAGGCAATTATTACCTCAGCACTAACCCGAAATCTCTCTACGGAAAAGGACCTGCAGGTCTCCAGCCCGACAATCGATCAGTGACTAGAAGACACACAACATCATCACTCGCCAGATTTCTCAAATATCTTAGATGATAGCTATATTACCTAATGTTATGTAGTCAGTAAGTTTATTGTTAAATAGTAGATAGTTGTAACGAACAATTGAATCCAAAGATTCTAATAAAAGACCTACACGGGACAGTAAAATCAGGGACATGAGACCCATTTTGATGGCGATAAAATCCTCTCGGCGAGTTCACTATGTGAACACAACCGCGAACTTTACTAAGAAGCGTTCCCTACCAGTGCTCCGATATTGCACCTTAATAACGTAAGGATCTCAGGGTTGTATGTTGTTGTTGGTGTGAGTTAAAGGCTCCCTTATTAAGAAAGCTTGTTCTTCCGTAAAATACACAAAACCGTTCGGTCAATTCAATTCAATTTATTTACTGGAAGTTGTGTACATAATGGTCTTAAGATTATAATAGTTCCAAACATGCCCTACCGTTTCCGGCGTGTAAAATCTTACAATAATATTTATATTACATTATTATCACATTTTTATATTTAAAATTATTATTACAATACATTATTATTTTATTTAAAACTATTAATACAATCCATTATTATCATTTAAATAATCATTTGTGGAATAATAACATTTATTTAGTAATTCTTTAAATAATTTACTTTTAAATTGTTTATTATTCAAATTTCTATAATTGTCTGAAAGATGATTGAATATTTTTATGGCCATACAATATACATTATTTGAAAAAAGTGCCAATCTTTGTTTAGGGACATATAGCTTGTATTTATGTCTACTTCTACTTTCTGGAATGTCACAGTTTCTCTTAAATATATGTGGGTATTTGTCAACGAACATGCACATTTCATATATATACAGACAAGGAAGAGGGAGAATATTAAGTTTTTCAAGTCAATGTTATGTCGACCAAATTGCGTAATTTGGTCGACATAACATTGACCGAACGGTCAGTGTCTTAACTAACTGCAAGGAACAGAGTATGTTCCGCACAGTGGTGGTATTGTTTACAGGGATTGCTACAACCTGATTTTAGTGTCGTCTGTGGGCCAATTTAGTTGTGCCAATATTAAACGATTGTTAAAATTATCTAACAAGGAGAATGCCTATCTGTACAGAAAGGTAAACTCCATGGGCTGTAATACGGTGCGGGTGACAGCTGCGATTTTAACTTATTGTAAAATAACTGTTACGAAGGACTTGGTTGTCAATCCGATAGCCGTGATTCAATCGCCACTCAATACACTAATATTTGTATTAATATTTATTATTATATTAGTCAGTGCATTTTTCTGTTGTAGTATATTATGTAGATGTACGTGGGGACATATTTAAAAATCAGTGTGAATATTTTTTATGTAGGTTGTTTAGAATCCATAGCAGCTTGTATATTACAGTGCAGCATCTAGTCTCGAACTAGGGCAGTACAACAAACCCAATATATAATAATGGATATTGAATAAATAATAATATATAATAATGGATATTGAATTATAATTAGGTTCGTAGATAGGGTATCAATAAAAGAGGAAAATATGTTATATTCACAATGAAGTCTAAATTTACAGTCCTTTAATTTTTATTGTTCTAACGATGACAAGGAATGTACAATTTTCAAATTTATATTTTCCTTATATAAACTAAAGAGTTATTAACAATGGCCTTGTTTGAGGTTACTCCATGTTATATATTATACAGATATTTATAATCAATGTAATAGTTATAATTAACATTTACTACACTCAGTTATCTTCTTGTCAACCTTCATAAACGACCTACGATTTAGCAATTGGTATGCCTGTCACCCGCATCACCTAAAACGGAGAGTATGTGTAGATAAGATCTAAGAGAAATAACTTTGTTCTTAGGATAATACCTACCGATTACAATGCCATATATTTACAGTGTTAATCGTAAAATGTGAAGTTGAAAACCAGTGATAATATTCATGAAAATAAATAACTTTCCAAAGAAAAACAGTGTTTTTTTTCTAAATCGTTATACAAACTTCGCGATCACTTGATCAGTTCAGTGCCCGTTTTACATGAAGAATTAGATCATCCGCCCTGGGGATTACTCGTACTCATTTCATCCAAAATTCATGAAATGTTTTTCTTTTTAATAATAATAATATATCAGGAACGGATTGTTAGTAATGGGAACTAATAATCCCTATTGCTACCAATGTACCATCTTTGGCCGACCTCCGCGTAGTTCCTTGAAACCATCCGTCATAAATTCCTAGTGAATTGTCACGATATGCTAACTGACCTGATCTCGTATTCATCTTATCATCCTCCATTGGTGCCCCGCCAGCCTTAATCCACAAATAAAAAAATTCTCTGGATAATTCACTCAGCGCCATTTAATCCCAAGTTAAGCTATTTAGAGCTTGTATTATGGGTACTATAGAGGTATAAGATAATAAAAATTTTAACAAATGTGGTATAATATACCAAAATAGTAATAATATTTATATTAATAATGTGTCAATAAATATATTTCTTGTTCATGATACCACTCAACTAATCCTTATGATATTAACTTCGTAAAGAATTTATTTTGTTATAATTAATTAACACTATATGAGACACAGACGAAGTCGCAGTAAACACTATTTTTTTTTAAAAGAAACACAGCTTTTTCATTTGATAATTTCCTGTATTAACATTGGTTTTATTTACAAAATATTTGTAAATAAAGTGGTACTATGATACATTTTAGTAAATAATATTAATATAATTATAAAGTATTTAAAACAATTATGGCATTTCATAGGAGTATTTATAGAGATTTCTAATAAAAAAATATATTAGACATAAATTACACAATTACCTGTATGTACATTAAATTTGAAATATGTTTGTGTAAAATAGAAATGGAAAATAATATATTTTAATATAACAAATATCACTGCAAAAGCAGATAAAATGTTGTATGCAATACAAAGAATTGGTATTCACTCATAAAAGTAAACATATATACTTTTTTACACTGTAACACAAAAATTAACTATGTTCTATTATTGTCTATAAAAAAATATAATATCACACTTTATTATTTACAAATCACTTTAACATTTTAAAGTATCATAAAATCAAAAGTCTGTCTCTGTGACCACATGTTCATAATTCACATTGAGCATAAGTTCCGTTCAAAATAACAGCACTTATTACCGTATCACTAATATGTCTCCTATTCTAGTATATTTTGAACTTTGACAAGTAATATATTCACAGTCTTGTGGTATAAAATCTTATAACACTCAGGAACGCGACAGTACGCGAACGTGTGCGAACCCACGCGATCGCACGCGATCACCTGCGGGCAGACGCGATCACACCCGTACACAGAAGTCGAGAACAGTAAGTCTGGTATACCGGAGTGCGGCCACTTCATAGGAAGCTATGCTACGTGGGCGAAGTGGCATAACAACGCTTCACAGTGGCGTCGATATCGACCATCGCGTTGCTTACTTGGTGCGTCGCGGCGCCGATGCTCTCGAACGTCGTCGCAAGCCGGTCTATAGCTCGCGCCTGGAATAAAAATCATTTTATAGAGCTCTTATGGAATAATGGTTACCACTTATGGACTACTGTTGTAGGGTACTACTTATGGATTTCTGTCTTATATATAGTCTACTGATATGAAGTCATGTAAGAGTGCCAATACTTTTAGCTCTAACTCCTATTATTGTTTTGCAATAATAAATTGAGTTGTTTGTAACATTTACCGTGTCACTTCGCAGTGTGATAGAAATAGAAATAATCTTTATTCAACTAAACTTAATGTAAGCACTTTTGAATAGTCAAGTTTTTTTATTCTACCGCTTATTCGGAACGCAGATTCATCACAAGAAGAATAAGCAAGAAACTTGTGTGTTGCTCTTTTAAATAAATATTGATTTACTTACTATTTAATTAACAACAAGGATTAGGCATGCGTCAATCAACATAGAAACCGCTACGCACTTATATCTGTTCAATCAGATAACATTGTCAGCGCTATGAATTTTAAGTTAGATATTTTCTACAAAAACATTATTATCATTTATAAATTCTTCAATTTTATAATAAGCTTTATTACAAAGAAAATATTTTATGACACATTTGAATTTTTTTTCTGGCAAATTGACTAACGATAGTTTCGTTTCTATTTATTTATTTATTAACATGGCGGACTTATTGCCTGATGGGATTCTCTACAGACGCCGTAATGCCATATGGCACTAAGCTCGTCTTTTGTAAACTTTATTGTGCAATAGAGAATTTAAAAACAAGTAAATACCTGTATATGGGATGCTTCCGCTAGCCGCTCCATGGCCTGTGAACTAACCGCTGACGCTTGACCGAGCTGCGCCAGCGCAGTCGCCTGCGAGCTCATCACCGTCAACTGAAAGTTACAAAATGATTAAAGCCCATTGGCATGTTACATTATAAACCAGGTTCAAAAGTAGCCCAAACTTTAGATAATAATGTTTTTGTAATTGTAATGAAATTCTAATTTAAATTCTAGATTAAATTCATCGTTATGAGTACTAGATAACTAATATAAATACTTAGATATTTTTTTTTGTAAATATGTAGGTAATATACATAGATAACACCCAGACCGATACAAATAGTCATACTCATAAATACTGCTCTTTTAGGAAACAAACAATTTAGTAAATAATAAATATATACCAGTTTCTCCATAATAACAATATGTCTTTCATGAACATCAGCAATAGGTTCTTCGAAAGTCAGCACAGGATCAGATTCCACATTGGTTTCATCCATGCTATCTTCATTAAAATTAGTCTCTTCTATATAGTGAGACTCTTGCTTTACAGAGTTTCGAGGCTCTGGAAACACATTTTATTAAGATATCAGTATTGTAGTTTTGTGGGAATCTAGTTTGATCACATATAGTGGTTCTATTTCATATAGTGTATACACTAGGGCATTAACACTTTCTCTGAAAAGCAAACAAGTTATCCAATATAAGATTTGTTTTAATAACTCTTACTTGTAACATCGCTTGATAAAAACAGATCCCATATCTTTTTTTCAACATTGGAGCAGAGACTATTGGGATCACCACCCACTGACATCACTTTTGATCTCACTGTAGACTTCTTATCTGCCCAATACTGTAAGAAGAATCCAGATTTAGTAGTTGAATTTATCAACTGTAACTGTACATAACTTATTAACATTGCATCAACTGCAACCAGTCAAGTTTCTTTAACTCCTTTAGTTCAGTGGGACAAGAGGTTGCTAGTAATGTGGACTGATCACCGGCCCTGTTGCTAGCAATGTACGATGTCAGGTTGACCTCCACTCTGACCTGACCTACCCACAGCTGACCTGACCTTGTGTTCACCTTATTATCCTATACTGGTGCCCTGCCAGCATAAATGATTCATACAGGTGGCTCTTACTGCCCATTCCATTATTATTAGTTAAAAAAATGTCTCCTTTAGCTCCAACCATAAACAATTTATTTATTAACCCATTTCATAAAAATGGAATATTTTTAATTTACAAATGTGTACGATTTTTATTACTCGATCACACATTCCATTTGTAGATTAATTATTTTATATTTTCTTCAATTCTTTGAAATTCATCAAATATCTAAACATGACTGTACATTTTACATATTTTAGACTTGAAGATATATATTAATCCACTCCAGATACATACTTTGATCCAAGATTTCATAGGCCTAATAGGGCCTGTGATATTATTAACAGTCCTTGTGAGTTGAAACCACAGTTTCTTACTCTCATCCCTCCCCTCCAGTCCTCGTAATTGTCCAAGAGCCAGAGCTGGATGCTTCTCCATGAAATCAACAATAGCCAACACTTGGTCAACACTTGGCCGACTCTGAAAATCATATAGAATAAAATTATGTTATTTACATTGTTGCAAAATAGACATAGTGCAAATAATAAATATATTGTATATTAATTTTTACTTATGTTATTAACATATACTAATAACTATATTCTATAAGATTTTCCTATAAAATACTGCTGACTGCCATTATTTAAAATAGACAGTGTAATAATTTATTCGTAATTGACATCATATTTTTTTCATTACAATATCGTTATAATAAAAAATAAATAGGTATAATTGATTATGTTTATTATGCTAAAAATAGATCATATATTAAGGGTTTACATTTTATATATTTGAATCTTTAAGCAACATAATAAATAAAGTTCTTTAAAAGTAGTTGCTGAACATTCACTGACTGAAGTATATTTTTAAAAATAATTATATGAGAGAGAAATAAGCGAAGAATAGCGTAGTACTGCAATGACCATTAAACATAATTAATTATTCAACAAGATAAAACAATAAAATCTAAAAAGAGAACACTAAATAGTAACACCAAAACAAATCGAGTTTGCACAGTAAAATAGTATCGAGATTTCAAGATTTTGTTTATCAACTCACTGCTATGCATCGGTCCGTCATTGTGGAAACTAGTTATTGAATATTATACAATAAACTATCCAATTCCTATTTGTTACATACAAATATATGAAGCCATTAATATGAAATTGGTAACTTTTATACCAATTCACACTAAAAACACTTCAAATTGGACATCGAACTAAAAATAATAGTAATGTAATGACAAGATAACCATTAGTTGGGGCGTCCACAGACTACAATTAGGAAGTATTCAAACTAAATTATATCACTATAGAGGGCACCATTGTGTTATAGTGTAATAAAGCATTATATAGTATTGCAACCATTGTAACTATGTATATTATTCAAATATTGGATCAAACAAATATTAATTTATCAATAATGACGTAATCATATTTTAAAATATCTTCCGACTAACCAATTCATTGTACCTATAGAACGTTATAAATATTTACAACATTTTTAGTTCTTAGCTTTTTTAGAATGAAAGATCATTATCATTTTTAAAATTATATATATACCTTTACGTATGTATATTATCCCAAATGAGATTGTCAGGGGGAACGGGATTATAAGTAATATGGAATGATGACCCCATAACAGATAGACCTCCACGCGTTTCTCCCCGGAAATCGTTGTAATAAACTCCTTGTGAATTTGTCACAATGATGTTTTGAGCTGGCCTCATACTCATCTTAACACCCTCTGGTGCTCGCCCGTCTAAACCGTTAGGGCAGACAAGTGCACCATTCCATTATCATCCTTTAATGGAATAGTCAGAAGTGTTGTCAACAGCGTTATGATGCATACAACTTTTACTAACATGCCAATAAGCCACTCTTATTTATAATAAATAGAACAAAATCTTACAAATTTAATAAAACAAAGAAATTCAATAAAACGTCAATTCCTTAATATCAAAAAAATTTATTGCGTAACAAATATCTTATCTGAATCTACTTATCAACATTGTAGGTAACTAATAAATATTTAGATTTTTGATATTAGGTACTCATTTCTTATTAATCTTGAACTCAACGTTTAAAATTATGTTCTTTCCAAAAAAAGTATATTAAAGCTAATTTAAATAAATAAGATTGAAATTATTCAGCAGTGATATTTAAGAAGGTGTAAGTTGATAACTACAGATAAAAATGGCAAGAAAGACTAGAATTACTAAAAAGTGAGAACAGAGTTCTCGCTAAAGAAATTATTAAAATGAAATTAAAACTACAAGGTACCTGTTAGTAATGGCGCGTCACGTACTAAACAACAAAAACAGCTCACTCAGTGGAATTAATAACTAGACGGGAAGGTAATCATTATCTATAAAGCATTCGTTTAATTTTGGTACTATAGACAATTTTAAAAAACTCTCCGATCAACCGCAACGAATTTATACAATGGTAGTGGATGTACTATATGAGATGAATGTCACTACAGCAGTCTCGTCAAATCGCACCTCCGCTTAAATAGTGTCCTAAATAAAAAATATGAAAAATATTTTTTATTCTAAGATCCTGAAAAAGTAGAATAAATACATTTTAGGGCTTTTTACTCGGCATTACAGAATATAGATATAAAACTTTCTTTTCAATTTAAAATATAAAAAATATATTTTTTGAATTGAGAATTCTTTTCGTTCTCTATCTACATCAAGTTAATAGCAATAATAACATCAATTAAATTAAAACTTATGGAGACACTTTTTTTTTATTGTGACACTATTAAGCGGTATATGTAGTGTGGCATCAGCGGACACGCTTGTCTGTAAGAGGTGGCGCGCGCCCGCGACCACGGCGCGGCCAGAAGCGATGCCGCGCGAAGTAAAGCGCTGCAGCGGCGGCGGCCAGCAGCAAGGCAACCGCTGCGCAGCCGCCAGCGACGCTGCGTAGCCGAGTGTACTCCGGCACGTGCAGCGCGGCTCCACCTCCCGCGCCGCTAGCGCACTCCACCCGCGCCCAGTAGCGCACACCTTCCTCCACGCCATTGACTGTACACATAATCTTAAGTTGTATCTATACAAATTAGTAATTGCCCGATGATAGTCGTAAGTATATCTATGTCCATAATTAATTCAAATTATGAGTTTGAACAATATTAAGGTTCTATTGAAAAAACTAAAGTTTTATGCGTGTGTGTCAAATACTCCATGTATTTAGTGTGGGTAATTTTTTTGTGTGTATTTTTTATTCATAATTTTAATTTTAATGAATGCATCTCTCCACTATCTCTCATCTCTTTCCCTATATAAACTATAGTGTTTGAAATTTCAAACTCCTCCATCCGAGTAATTTTCGTAAAAAGGGGGTACAACATTTTTGCAAAATTTTAATGTCATTTTGTAATTTCGAACTAACAAGTTTTCACTAAATACACGTGAATTTAAAACATTTTTGGCGCTAGGTATGTCGGTTAGTTCTTGTTAATCTCTGAAACGGCCGATTTTCTGTTTTAATAGTCTTTCAGTTAGGGCGGATAATCCAACAAATCAAAGTTAATAAAAATCGGTTCAGCCGTTCCTGAGTTATAAATGTTGTAACTACTATGTTTTACTTATATATAAAGAAAGAAGAAAACGAAGAAGATTACATATAAAACTCACTGAGCATATAGTCATGATGCGTGTGAGCGGTGACCAGCAGACGAGTACCAGGCGCGGAGCCCTCGTACCATCGGACAGTGCAGCGGGATTCGTCGCTCGAGTCACGGCTCCATCGGATGAGCGCACCGTCATCAATGAGTCGTACGCTGACTTCAAGATCATCGAGACCACCGTCTGCTACCGCGGGGTGCCCCTCCGTTACAGCTGCGGCGTATGCTGTTGCCTCTTCCTCTAATATCTCTGGTGCTATGCAACAATTCATACATGTATTTAATAAGAATATATTGAGATTTCTTGATAGTCGACAACGCGCACGGGACACCCCTGCTTCCACGGGCTTCAGTAACTATTTACTATCACATGGGCCGTATACAAAAATATTATAACAATGTTTTATACAACAGAATGGTATAAAAATTTATATTATAACAATGTTTTATACAACAGAATGAGTGAATACACAGAGACAATTTCATTTTTCATATTTTATTATTATATTACAGGTATTTATAATACGAAGGCTGAATTAAATAAATAAATAAAAAAAATAAAAATTAATTAATTCTTCGATTTGAATTGGCAACGTATGTAAAACGCAATTTGCTTGCTTGTTCTTGTGATAAGTCTGCATTCCGAATGAATGGTGGAATAAAAAAAATGAGACAATTCAAAACTGCTTTTATTAAGTTTATATGAACAAAGATTATTTCTATTTCTATGTAGCTGTACCACTGACCTCTCAATATGACGTGATATTCATGTTGATTGAACATCACCATGTATACGGCATGTTTACCACTTACAAGGAGCGGCTATATATAAGCTCTTATCAAGATTATGAGGTCTTTACACTTTTACTGATTTTATGACTTTACAGCATAATTTTGTAACAGCACTAAGTACATTAGTAAACCACATAAGCTCTGCTTAGCTTAAGGACTATATGGCACTGTGTGTAACTAGTAATTGTAGAAGAATTACCGAGAGTCCATACAAAGATCGGCTTGCTGAAGAGACCGTCGCCAATGTGATCCTGGGAGAGAACCCGTAGCTCATACTCTGCGGCGGGGCGTAGTCCCACAAGAGTGGCGTCAGTAACACCGCGTGATAGGATCTTCATGGTCCTCCACTCACTGACTGCTCTCTCACGGTACCATACTGTGTAGTCTACCTCGAGGCCATTATGTCCTGCAGTAATCGTATATTACGATATAAGTGCGTTATAATGGTTATAACACACGCGGCGAAATTTCAACCAGAGGCAATGGCGAGGGCGTAATAGAGCTGTTTAAGTAAACTCAAATATAAAATTGTGTCCCGTAGTTTTCAATCAGCGCGTTGCCTGCTGGCCAGTCATTTCGAAATTAGATACAAAATAGCAAATAATACAGTTATTGAATATAATTGCACTTACGACAAATTGAATTTACATTTTATTATTGTTACTTACGTATGTTAGTGTTACATATTTATAATATACGACGTGTAGCCTGAATGAAATAAAATAAATAAAAAAATACATTAATGACCAACAAAACACGTGATAAATCCGATGGTCGCGGGTTCAATACCAACTATGTATTCATAAGTATGTAAAGCTTGGGACTAGATGGCACTGAGTGTATTGTCCTGAGATATTGTTACTATACTATTAAATATTTTATTTATATCTAACAGTGATGTAAGCACAGATACTAAACGGTAGGAATTGAAAGGTTCAGAGAACAAAGTTATCGTTGGAGCACATCCATCACATGATAAATCTACTTTAACGTTGCAATATTTAATCAATATTCCACGTTTGAATATTCATTTAAAAGTCGAGTATGTAAGTGATATCATTATTACAGTTTACGTATTAAACAATGTGGTTTCAAGGGACTAAAACTGACGTGATGTTTATGATTTGGTTTACAATGTGGTTGTTGCTTTTTCTCTAATTCATTTAAATTTATTATATATGTAAAAATAATCTCAGGACAATTCACACAGCGCCATCTAGATCCTAGTTAAGATAGTTAAAGCTTGTGTTATGGTAACTGATACAAATACATAGCTATGTTTTCATAAATACATACATATTATACATAGAAATTATATAAAAATATATGTTTTTTGCTACTATATTATTATTAAGGGACAGTATTAGGTACATTGGCTGAAATGATAAAGGTTAATCCATTACCTACATATAAAACTACTACTGTTTCTTAGCAATAGCATTGTCAAACATAAGACTCTTTATTTATCTTACCGGGGACCCAAGAAAGATGTATTGAGTGATGAGAAGGTTTGGCGGTAAGGTTGTATGGTGCTCGGGGTGGTACATTCTCGACCAACAATTCCGCCTCGACAGCTACCGCTGCCGCTTCGTTACTGATGGTACAAACATACACGCCGCGGTCCTCCTCCGACACTAAACTGATGGTCAAGTTACCATCAGATAGCGAGTGTCGTCCCTCGGGCAATTCGGCGCCGTCTTTCTGCAAATAGAAGATTGGTACCGAATCACTTTTGGTAGATGGAAAATTTAAAAATTTACACCAAGTACAGAATAAAATTCAAATTTATTTTGGGCATGTGTTAGTCGATATCTTTGCTTGTTCTATAATGACCTTTATGATTGGTTTTACCATCGACAGGCCAAAAAATCCTGTATGAAATCTTAAATTAGTTAAAAAAGAGTTTAACTTACTCTTTTTTAACCAAAAGTTCTATTTTAAACAAAATAATGTAAATGTAAATTTCAAGTGCAGTTTAGGATGCGATCTAGAAGGCATGGTGACAGCGTCGCCGAGCCGAGCAACCTAAAGCGCCAGCTAATTATTTCGTGCACAATATAGGCTTACTCTAGTCCAGAGTTCTTGAGAACGAGATGGTGTTATTGTAGATCGATGGCGCAAGGCATGGTGACAGCGTCGTCGAGCCGTGCCACGTAAAGCGCCAAGTAATTATGTCATGCTCAATATACAGTAATGTATGCTTAGTCTAGTCCAACGCAAGGTGCCAGCGAGATGGATGGTTGTGGGTCGATGGCGCAAATAGGTGACAGCGTTGGCAAGCCGTGCCACGTAAAGCGGTAAGTTATTATTTCACAGTCAATATACAGTAATGTATGCTTACTCTAGTCCAACGTAAGGTGGGAGCGAGATGGTGCGGTTGTGGATCGATGGCGCAAGGCATGGTGACAGCGTCGCCCAGCCGTGCCACGTAAAGCGGCTGCGGACGGGCGCTAAGAGCTGGTGGTCTTTGGACCCTCACTCGAACACTTGGCGACGGACCCTCAGAGCCCAAGGCATTGTACGGCGTACAGGAGTACTGTCCCTCGTGTGATTCGTCTACCTGGAAACGACACCACAAATATGTAATTTTTTAACAATAATAATCTTCTTAATTATAAAAAAATCGTGTCACGTTATTTGCTAGCAATGGAATCCTAAACTACTAAAATGAAATCTATATATATATACATATGGCTTTGGAATTAATAAAAATAATGGGCATGAATAACAAACTAAATGTTTCTACAATTTTTTAGTGAAACTAGCTGTGCTCGCGGTGTCACCCGCGTGAAATTTATGCTGTATTAGCCTGTATTATTCTAATGTATAAGCTATATTTTTGTAAAATTTTATTAATATCCAGTAGTAGTCAGTAGTTTTTTCGTGATTAAATAATAAACATCCATCCATAATTCCATACATCCTCACTCCATCCATCCATCCATATTAGTAAATATCTACGTATCAGATACGTTGAGGCGTTTATACTATTACGTAGAATATCTACGTATCTGATACGTTTTTCTTCCTATGTTAAAATTTTCCTTTTCTAAAATCTCCATAAATTTTAGAAAAGGAAAAGAAATTATTGCTTTCCTCGTCTACTGCAAAATGTTTTTATAATTTAATATTACTGATATCCTCTCTAAGAACACGTACCTACAGAAAACAAAGGCAGAAAAAAGAAAAATATATACGTCACTTGGTTGAAAAGAAGACTCCCGTTTCTGCTGTAAAAAACGCCGGGTACGTTGTAAGGGTCAAAGAGAAAGCCATCTTTCTCCCAACGTAAGTTAGTCAAAGGTGGATTAGCGCTAAAATGGCAGTCGAGGCTGGCTGGTTTCCCAAATGGGAGGTAACGCTCCTGAGGTGCATATACTACTTTCGCCTTATCTGTAATGGAAAGAAATAGAAATAAATCTTTATTCAAATAAACTTAATATAAGCACTTTTGAATAGTCACGTTTTTTTATTCCACCACTCGTTCGGACCGCAGACTCATCACAAGAAGTATGTGCAAGAAACTTGTGTGTTGCTCTTTTAAATAAATGTTGTATGTATATTACATTAGCAAGTATGAGGCATGCGACAATCAATAAAGAAACTGCTACGCACTCAATCTTTATTCAATCAGATAGCCAGCGGAAGTTACATATTTCTGCGAAAACATTATTATCATTTATAAAGTTTTCAATTTTATAATAAGCTTGTTTACAAAGAAAATGTTTTATAAGATGTTTCAACGTCGTTTATGAAAATCACAAGATGAGAATAAAGTAAAATTAATCCTATCGCCTATCATCAAAACTTATTCCTAAAAGCTATTATTTAAGTTTCTTAAGTGAATGTTTTAAATTATGTAGCTACGTAGGATGAGCATAAGAATTTTAGAATGGCTAAGGTGGGGCATGGCACTCAAAATGTTGGGAAACAGTGGTGTAGACGGTAATTACATTTCAGAAGAAGTACAGGCTGTTTGCACACCTATAGTATTAAGTTTGCTGGTTACGATAAGGTAATAGATTACTCACATTGTACATCAAGGTATGCACTGGCAGTCTGAAGTTGGGAATCAGGCGCTCGCACCTGACATTGAAACTCTCCTAAGTCGGTGCTGACCGCCCGACGAATCACGATGCTACCATTGGCAGCCAGCTCGCAGCGCAACATAAGTTCCGGTAGTTCGCTGAGAAGAATGCCATCTTTATACCACTCCACTATCGATTCGGGATCCTTTGGCAAACACTCGAACTCGGCACGGTCTCCCTCCAATACCGTCACGTTCATAGGAGGCGTGACGATCAAGTTGCCACCTGATAAAATAAGATTTTTTTGTTTCTATTCCAGTAATTTCAGTGAAATTGCAGAATTTCAATTTGATTTAGACAAAATTAAAAAATAAATATTATACACAAGACTATTAGTTGTATTTCACATCTTATGTATTTTTTTTCTCTCAGAATAATTCACACAGCGCCGTCTAGTCCTAACCTAAGCAGAGCTTGTATTATGGTTTCTAAACAACTGACATATGTTCTTCATTTTTTTTTGTAAATAAAAACATAATATAAATAGAAAACACCGAGACCAAAACGAACACTATAATACTATACATGAACACCATTAGAACAGGTGGGTGCACCATTTCATTATCACCAATAAAAGAAGGAAAGCAAGGACTTCTGACTTGAAGAGGCATGCAAACGAAGTATGTATTATCCTATATTGCGATATGCCTATGTATAGAAACCTGACCTTCCACTTCGAGGAAGTAGAACGTGCCGTTGTTGCGCTCGGGCGGCGTGCGGTTAGGGAAGGTGACGCGGCACCGATAGAGGCCGGCGTCGGTTTCTCGGACCGCGCTCACGTTGATGGAGCCCCGGCCGAGGCCGAGACGACCGTCTCCCAGCCGCTCCACGCGGCCGCCCCAACGGTCCGCCAGGTGAGCACTTCCTTCGCCGCTATACCACGAGAATATAATCTCACCCTGAGAAACATATAATTGGTTTAATCTATACATATAAATAAAATTGGAGTGTCTCGTTATACCGTTGAAATAACCGTTTTTACTACTTCCATATGGATATAAATACGGTACATACGCCAAAATAACACTTTTTACAATTTTTGTCTGTCTGTCGGTCTATTTGTTCCAGCTAATCTCTGAAATGGTAGGACCGATTTTGACGGGACTTTTTTTGGCAGGTAGCTGACGTAGTAAAGAGTAACTTTTATTTTAGAAAAAATATTTCATTTTAGAAAAATAAAGTTAATTCCACGCGGACGACGTCGCGGGAACAGCTAGTAATAATATCAGGACTCAGGACAATTCACACACTCATAGTCCCAAGCTAAGCAAAGCTTGTGTTATATATACTACTACTGATACAATACTTAAATATATTTGTTTAAGTAAATACATACATAATATACATAGAAAACGAAGAAAACAATCATTCTCATGGTTGCAAATATTTGCACTCAAAGCCGACCGCGACCATTGGAAGTCACCAGACCACCGAAGCTGACAATTGATTCATGGCATGTTATTTACCACTATAATTTCTGTTTTCTTAATCTGTACACAATTTGTACGGAATGTCATAACTTTTATTATCGCTTATATGTTGTACTTCATCTGTACATACCTATTTTTTTTATTGGGTTGTTGGGGCTGTTGTCAGTTGTTTGTAGCACCTGTAGCACTGCGACCTACGTAGATCTATTGTACTCGCCCTTTTTCCGAGTTCGCTACCTAGACCCGTCAGGGACAAGAATTGAAGGATATTCTTAGGAACGATGAATTTTATCTCCTCATTACATAATGTAAAGTCGCTGTCGCTGTCTGTCGTCCCTATGTATGCTTACATCTTTATAACTACGCAACGGATTTTGAACTCTAGAGGAAGGTTTTATATATATAATACATGTACACCCGTGCGAAGCCGGCGCGAGTACCTAGTATTGTATAAAACTAGTCTATATACATATATATATTATTATATAACTCAAAAGGTGACTGACATAGTGATCTATCAACGCACAGCCCAAACCACTGGACGGATCGGGCTAAAATATGGCATGCAGGTAGATGTTATGACGTAGGCATCCGCTATGAAAGGATTTTGATTAATTCTACCCCCAAGGGTATAAATTAGGGGATGAAAGTTTGTATGAAACTTTGTCAATTTTAAACCGATCGGGCTGAAACTTTGCATGCATAAATCTACTATGACGTAGGCATCCCCAAAATATGTTAACGCGAGCGAAGCCGCGGTCAACAGCTAGTATTGTATAAAATAAAATCGCTTTCGCTGTCTATTTGCTTAGATCATTTAAAAACTATGCAAGGAATTTTAATGCAGTTTTCAGCAATCGGTAGAGTCATTCAAGAGCAAGGTTTATATGTATAATACCTATGCGAGGCCGGAGCGGGTAGTTGGTTTATAATATAGTGATATTGACTATTATAAATGCAACAATGTAACACACAGCTTCACCTTGCCATCCCTGCACAATAGAAGTATTCAAGTGTTCATATAACTGGCTGTACTGAGACGATTTATGTATGTTACGTGCACTTAGGTATATATATTTGTTGCATTTCAGCTGCTCTGAGAAGATTATACAGTTACTAAGAACTCGACGTATACTCGTCAGTATATAAGTATTTCTATCATTTATTTATATTTACCTACTAATTGTCATTGTCACAATTGTAACTCCTAGTGGCCGAAATTTGACCATAATAAATTTAACATTAGTCCAATAAAGATTTTTACAAAAAGCAAACATTATAAACAGGCAGTTAGTGAAGTTGAAGGGATTATTATCTCTGGATCCGATGAACCGATTTTGAAACTTCTTTTATTAATAGAAAGCTATGTTATTTATGTGTATTATAGGCTATATAACATTATTCGATATATATTTCGACCAATAGAAGCGGAGCTGTAATGCAAAAACTTGCATTAACGGGGAAAATGTGACTAAGACAAAGTTGCGTGGGTCAGCTAGTAATATATTCATAGGTATTTATTTGTTTATCGATTATATTAATGAGTTTTGAATGTTAGAAATAGAATGACATCGCCATAAACAACTATATTATCTGTTTCTAATATTAGAAATAGACTTACATAGCCATAAACAGTTGTATTATCTGTGGCTATATTGAGCCCACTTTCTTGCAAGATTTATGTGTTCAGTACCCACATGTATACGGAACGTAATTGACAGGAAGAGAGTACTTGGCCGAGGTGTCATATTCTAATTAATTCAATGCGAGACAACGGCACGCGCGACCACACAATTGATATACAAACAACACGGAAAGAATTTAGAAATCATCAACAAAATGCAACCCTTACTATGAATAGTCACCTTTTTGTCATTCTTATTCATATAAAAATACAAGAATTACAGCGTCTAGATCTGGATCTTACCTATATATATAAAATATACAAATAATAATATTCTCAGAGCAATTCACACAGCACCATCTAGACCCATGTTAAGCTAGCTAAATGCTTGTGTTATGAGTACTAGATAGCTGATACAAATACATAGATATTTCTATATATATACGTAAATATATACTTATTATATATAGAAAACACCCAGAACGATACAAACAATCATACTCGTGAATAAAAATGTTTGTGTCGTGCGAGGAATCGAACCGGCGACCATCAGTAACGCAGTGTGCTAAACCGCTAGACCATCGATTCTGTCGAATATATATTGCCATTTGCCAAGAAGGACTAAGTGAATTGACTTTGTGCTCATTTTAACATCCTCCACTAGTACCCCGCCAGCGTAAACTGTTAGCGCAGGCAGATTGGTCTCCACCAAAACAAAGTGTCCCACCATTCTTTTAAAGGGCAAGGACAATAGATCTATGTAGGTCGCAATGCTACTACAGGTCTAAAGCAACTGACAATAGCCCAAACTATATATTATTATATAACTATAGAAGAATACAAATATTTATAAATATAATGTCAAAAAAGTCAGAAATGAGATATAAACAAAGATTTTATTATCTCACTTTTGACTTCTTTGTGATCTCTCTTGGCATACATACATACACACATACATAAACATTTAGTCGTAGTTTTTATTAAATAGTTTTAGTAATTCCGCTACAGTCACATTGTGTCTATACTTGAAATATTTTGTCAACACTCAAGACCCTTCCATTAGTACCCCTCCAGATAACATAGATTTAAGTCGAATGTAAAATTAGTCTACGTCCTGACTCCGCGTCGAATATACGCGTTACTAATAAGCCATGTAGTACACTATCAAATAAACTTATGTATAATACAATAAACAGTACAACTATTTTACCGGTAGGTACTACTTACATACCACTATAAACAAAGAAATTATGTAGCGCCACCTCATCATATATAATGCTACAGTGGTGAAGTGATACCACCGCGCAACAACACCATTATCATCCAAAAAAACTATAAAATGTAATCAGTATGGTTGTATATAAAATGACGTCACAAAACGGATGTACCAGTGGAATACCGAGGCGTGATCACCCGCGCTTTGTGGAGCGCTACGAGCGCGTGGGAGCGCCGGCCGGGTCACGCCGCCTCATCTCAATTGTCTAAGTACTTGTCGCTCTCGAGGAGCGCCACTTCAATCACACTCCTCCCCTATTGTCGTCATACGTTACCGTTGGGTCTTATATTATCAGAACCATTCGGGAGGGCAATAAATCAGAGCAATCACTACTTACTGTACGGAAGTTATAGATAAATTAACTGTGGCCATGGTTTCAGCTGCGTGAAGTTTATAACATACTAGCTGTACCCGCAATTCCGGCCGCATGAAATATAAAGCCTATGTGTTATTTCGGTGTATAAGCTATGTGACTGTAAAATTTCATCAAAATCCGTTCAGTAGTTTTTGCGTGAAAGAGTAACAAACATCCATCCATCCATCCATCTATCGATACTCGCAAATTTTCGAGTTTATAATATTAGCACAGATAACATAAACATATTAGCAAGTTAGGGCATAGGCAAGTTATTTTCAGCAATGCCAAGACATGAAAGTACCATAGCTGTTACTGTAATTGCGATGATATTCATAGTACTGTTAATGTCTCTGTGCGATAGTTACTGTCCATACTTGCTACAATTGGCAAAATACTGACGGTCAGTTAAGTCGTATTATAAAAAAAAACATTAAATTTAATTAAGTTATAGCAAAAGTTTTTACTTATGTAGACGCCATGGTTACTACTTACGAGTACCATTAGGTAATAACTAGTGGTCATCACGTCATCATTTGACACCCTTGATAGCTCTCATGTGTTACCATTCCAGAAGATTAAGATCTCATGCCTCTAATTCTGTATTTCCACTGTCTCATCTAAAGTTGCTTGGCGACTGAATAACTAGACGGGGGTACCCGTCTAGTTATTCAGTCAGGTAGACGAGTTTTTTCAAAGAGCAAGTGTAGGTATTACAGTAAGATATTATATGTGTTGTCTAAATTCACGTAACAGTTAAGTATTCTGTTGTGATTACAATAACTGTTACAGCCTAGCCGCTCAGAGTTTGTATTTCTGACAGAACAGGAGCGAATGGGCGATGTAATTTTGAACCGACGTACAAATTACAGCAAAATTTTAAATATATTTAATTTGCCTTATTAACGAGTGATAACATTAAAATATTTATAAATTATTCCAACTTACAATAAACGCGACGAAATATATGATTATCTATAAATATAAAACAATATTTTTTAAAAGTCAAACCATACCAAACTGCGCTGATTCAAAGTTATTTGGTCACATCACTACAAAAACATACAATTGCCATAAGCATCGACTGTAAATTGATAGATAAATCTAAATCTTAACTAAGCCCATGTAACTATGACCTCCGTGGACTATTGTCAACATGTCCTCTTTGACTCTCGAACAATCACTGCTCCGAATAAATGTACTACGTTAGCCATCGATTGTATATTCCAATTGGAAAACAGAAGGTATCCGGTGCTGCCTCTCCATTATCGGGCGCATTGTGTTTGCACGCAAGTACCTACTGTATGCTGAGTGCCATTACAAATGGTCATTACAATACATCTGCCGGAGGCTATTATGTAGATAGTTAAAGTAGTGCGTAGGCGAAGAATGCTCGAGACAGGACTAGTGGAAATAAATGGGAGCTATTCCACGTCTGTACATCGACCGCATATTTGTACTACTTATGGAAATACCAAACAAACAACAGCTTACCTAATCTAAAGTACTGTGACATAAATTTGACGACCTCGGCGGTCTAGCGGTCTAGCACACGACCAATGGTCGCGGGTTCGATTCCTAGCACGGTACAAACATTTGTATTCATGAGTATGATTGTTTGTATCGGTCTGAGTGTTTTCTATGTATAATATGTATGTATTTACAAAAAATATATATATCTATGTATACGTATCAGTTATCTAGTACCAATAACACAAGCTTTACCTAGCTTAACTTGGGTCTAGATGGCGCTGTGTAAATTATCCTGAGATTATTATTATTAAATCATATATTTTGACAAAAATCAAAGTCAAAGTGAATGAATACAACTGTGCGAATCGAATCCACGACCGTCAGACGTAATGCGGTAACTAAACTGCCGGACCACCGAGGCCGTCAAGTGTGAACGATAAATTGCGTTTTTACAAAATGTTTCATTAATGCTCCGTTCCTCATTTTATAATGATAACATATAAGTATACCCTATAACTTTCCTAGATACCTATCTAGGAAAGTTATAGGGTATACTATATACCTATATAGAATAACCTAGATAAAAAGAAAATAAATTGACCAGTATCTACCTTCCTGAGATTAGCACGTTCAACCAAACAGCATAGGGAGGAAGGGGAACTTTAGCAATGTGGACTAATAACCATATCGCTAGCAATGTACTAGGTTGACCAACACGTGGTTCCCCCTACCGTACACAGTTTTAAAAAACATCACAAACAATACTTATTAGAAAAACAAATTTTAGGCATTCCACAGAAATTTCTTGGCTAGCGGTTGCAATCTCACGTAATGATTTTTAATAAAAAAAATTTCTATGTTACTCTTATTAATATTTTCTTTTTTTCTTTTTATTGATAATTGCCACTTACCACTCAGTTAAAATTATATCAAATTATACTCTGAACTATTTACATTATTTTTATTATACCCACACCGCACAGACAATCACCAATAATATTGCTCCTTTTTATTTTATATTTATTTTAATTATTATTTTCACGTACCTACGTACGTACGTACTTTTTGTATTGCTACAGATCACACATAATAACTAATTTTATAAATCTTATGTTGTATTATGTATTTTATATTCTTATGAACATGTTGTGTGTGATTAGTAACAAACAAATAAACGATATATCTATCTATCTATCTATCTATCTAAAATCATCGTTATATATTCATAAAGACAGCACACTCTCTTATTATCCTCCACTGGTGTCCCGCCAGTATAATCCGTTAGAGCAGCCGGGTGCACCATTCCATTATCATCATATAAGAACCAAACAGTATCGTCACAATTGTAAAGCTAGATGGAATAGTTAGAGGCGTTAACTGGTGTTGTTTTGATAAATGTTAGAATTTAATTAACGGAACAGTTAGGGGAAATTTAACTCAACCTCAAGGATTAATTAGATTTGTCACTGTCAATTGAAATTAGGTCGGACATTAAATTAACATAGAACTTCGGTGTCAGCGAGTTTTAAATACATTTAACGGCTGGCACCAGTGGAGGATGACAAGATGAGCATGAGGTCAGGTCAGTTAGCCCATCATGACACATTCATCAAGAATTTTTCACGAAGGTTTTCAGGAGGAAGAGCGTGACATGGTACATTGCTAGCAATAAGATCAGTCCTCATTACTAACAATCCCCTTTCTTAGTAGTGTTGTCCTGCTAGGTACGTTTTTTTTCTTAGGGATGATAATGGAATTGTGCACCTGCCTGCGCTAATGGTTTACGCTGGCGGAGCACCAGTGAAGAATGATAAGATGAACATGAGGTCAGGTCAGTTGGCCCATGGTGGCGAATTTAGTAGAAATTAACCACGATGGCTTCCGTGGGGAGCCGCGTGGAGGTCAACCTGACATGGTACATTGCTAGAAATGGGGTCAGTCCACATTACTAACATTCCCCTTCTCTCGTTAGTCGTAGTATTTAATAGATAATTATGACAAACCTTACACAAAATGGGGATTCCTTAATAAGAGTTAGTTCCTGATTAAGAGCAGTATTGTTTAAGTACATTAATTAAACAAGATCCCGAGTTTGCCCAATATATCGAAACACATATCTTAAATAAGACGAATCTTTCTATTGTTGTTATATAACATTTGTTTATGTTTTACGAGCTGGGTGACCCAGGAGTTCAGTACACTGCCTGACTCCGATAGTCACAGATTCGCTCTCTGCAATATACACGTATTTATATTCATTCCTTTTGTTTTACACAAAACTAGAGGGTTATTTAAAAGTATTATCTATGCTTGTGTGTACAAAAAATAGTCATGCTAATTATATACATAATACAACATCTGTTTACTTTGGAACTAGATGGAGCTATGTAAGATTGCTAGAGTTATTTATACTGACCACTTCAAAAAGGACTAGGTTTCCGCCTACACGTGGTATATTCAGTACAGAAAAATAGTCCATACGTACATATACATATCTTGAAATTCTACAATAGTATGTTAAACACAAAACTTTTCAAGTGTATATTTTACCTACCTACTACGATTACGCAATATTTTCGCACATTTTATATCACTTTACAGGATTCTTTTTTTTAAATATTAGAGTTTATCACTTTACTTACAGTATCATATTAATTAAACCAATACAAACAGATAAATTTCTTACATCTTTATCCCACTGCAAATGATATGGTATTTCATTGCCAAATGGGAAATCGAGGTGACAGTTCATAACAGCAAATCCACCGACGCTGGCGCTTAGCCGCTCTCCTTCTAGGGGTAGCAACGAACCCCTAACAGGTACCATAACAAAAAGCGTTCCCAGCACTATGGCTGTATACGACACGCTCCACAGCCTTCGCATTCTGTTGAAAACTAACAGCCAGCCAGCACTGCACTATACCACTTGATTACACTTAATTTAAACGTGGAACGGAACGGATTAATGTCGCAATACCGAGGAACATCGTTCGAAATATGAAAATATCATTTGTTTTTATTAATAATTTTTACGACTCTGAATGACAAATATTTAATTATTTATATAAATTACAAAATATTTTCATATTTCGGATTTGAGGTTCCTCGTAGAAAATTGTTCAGTTTTATTAATGATGCATTTCGACTTGTCGTAGGCTGAGTCTACACCTTGCATAACCTGCACACGTTCAACCGCGAACCGTGACACTGGACCGTAAACAACCGTTCGACTATAGAGCGCGGGACCAATTGACCGCTCCTAGCTTTAATAGAGTTAACCTCAGCGGATTAAGCATATAGTGAGTAATGTCCGCAGGCTAGCTATTTACTGAGGGAACCGCGCCCCGCCCTCCGCAAGTTTTGCTATCAGGTCTCTTGTTCGGGCTCTGGATATCTACCACCAACTTTAACAGTAGCGACGAATATCAGGAGGTAACTTTTACATCAATATAAGTTCTTTTCAGTTTTTAACAGCCCTGGTAGTAAAGTACACATTTCACAGTTATAGGGACCTGACTGTCTACCACCAACTTAATTTCGACTACTAGGATATAACTTTTACATCAATATTAGTTCTTCTCTACGGACAGTATAGACAGTTCTGGTAGCAAAGTTAGCATATTAATATTAAGTTCTTGACAGCACTGCAATAATAAATCTCCTTGCACACTGATTGTGCCTGCGCATCACAAGAAATAATACCTACAAACTACTGCTAGTTGTATATTTGCAATTTCAACAGATTTAATAGATACGTCATACAACATAGATTTAAGCTCGGTATAAAGCAGTCTAGATTACGACTCCGCGTCGAGTGTTCGTGTTTCTAATACGCCATTTATCACATGATCAAATAAACTTGCAAATATAGTACAATCATTCCACCTGTATAATCACTACCTAGATAGTACAGGAAACTAATAAATTAAGTAGCGACACCTCATCACATCATAAATAACGCTACAGGTGCATCTGAAGAAACTATAGCCTACAACCATAGCATATAGATACTACCACGCACATCACAAAGTATACTGTGGCGCCCGAAGAAAACTATAAAATCGTGCGTTCAAAATACTTTTTAAATATCTGGTTTCTTCAAAACGTTGTTACTTCTTATTGTATAGTGTACCTACTGACTAATGACAAATGTATTTTTTTATTCTAAATTTGTGTTTAAATTTATAGTTCTTTTATTGTCTTGTTTATACCTTTGAATGTGACAATCGTTCTTAGAATATATCTCCGTATTCCATATGTTTTTCTGTAATTCCTATTTACCTATATACATATAAAATAAAATTCTTAATGATTTTGAGGCAATTGTCATGAATTCTTTATTATGCTTTTGTATGCGATAAAATACAGTCATACAAACATTCGAGAGTATTGTTATGGCGCCCCGCCAGTGAACGTAATTAGCACAAGCTATTAGTAAATACTTTAGCGGTAATCCTTCGAAACAATAAAATGTATACGTTATTTTGTTTTGAACCAACACCAAATATTTCTGTTTCAATTTTGGTCTTCAATTTGCCTTATTTTTTCCATGTACCTACGAGATATTGTTTGCAATTGACAGAGTTCTTCAGAAATCTTAAAAATATTATCAAATAAAATCCTGTTTACGTTCTAAACCTCTCGTATAACATACTTCAATTTACATTTGTTGTATATAACTGTTAAACCTTGATTTGTTATAAAATCTACTTATTCATAATTAATGGCACTCCTAAACTAAAATAACAAAATATTACACTGAAGTATAATCGTAGTATGCCTATTGTGCCATGCCGGCTGGATTTTAGGAAATAATTAATATATGAAGAGAGACTAAATGTTGTTACTTGACAAATCAAATTTAAAACCCATCTTCATATTCTAAATAGGTATCGATTTCATACCTATTTCGAACAAAAGAACTTCGCTACGTTAAAATTAAATTTACAAATACAATAAAAAATCAAAACCTCTATTAAAAGGAACTATCTTGATCAGGTACGCATCATAAACTGTCACACTTTTACGTTTAACTTATAAAAACTTAGATTACCCCTCTTTTTGTGTCAGGACTTATATATAAATCAAAATTCTGTAATAATACTTAAAATATTATAAGTTTATTAATACCAAAGTCGTACACCTGTATAGCTACACTATATATATAACTTACACGAAATCCTTAGTACTATTAATAAATTTTGGAATATTATGAAATGGAAATTGCAGGGAATTATACGTTTCCATATTTAAAATAACAAATTATATAAATTTCAATATAAATTAATTTGTATAAAAATAGACGGTCACTTGTTGACATAAATGCATTCTCGGATGTGACGAGGGGTGCGTGGATGTTTGAAGGGGTTGCACGCTCATCCCTGCATGATCAAATGCACAAAGTTCTCGTAGTTGATGTTGCCCTGGGAGTCCTCCTGCCCTTGCAATAATTGTTCCACCTGTAATTGTTTTAATACATGTATTTAAAGTACAGAGGTCCTAGTAAATTCAATGTTTAAGGAAATAATTGGAGTATTATTTTAATAAAATGATAACAATATTCTATACAAATTATTCTCAGCATTAGCTTTCAAAATTCAAACATTCCAAATATATTTATTTATATGTATGTTATGATACTATAATATATAACTTTAACAGGTAATATACCCAGGAAAATAACTCTAAATTCTGACATGACAGAGACAAATAAACAAAATATAATAAAATAATGGCAAGCCGAACCTCACTATTGTATTTTTGTCTATTATAATTTTGTTTAAGTTGTTTACAGTAAATCATATAGTCTGCGAGGCAGCAAGATTTTGATGGCCAATTTCCTTTCAGGCGAAAACTGGTTAATCATTAATAAGCTCAAAATATTATATTTTAAAGCTGGTAAGAACGTCAGCAGCGGCATCATGGGTGGATTGAGTAGCAGTACCCTCCTCATGAATATGATAAATTGGAAAATAGAAAAAATATGCCTCAATAGGTAACAGCACCACCACATTAATTTCACCAATAGTCTAAGACTCCATTTAGCAAACCTTAGAATACCTTATTAGGAGGTGTTGCATCGGCGCTACCGTGGCAGATTGCCATCGTCAGTGCCGTGACCACAGAGACAATTTATATTTTATAAATACTCCATATTAGTCTATAATATATTTATAATAAGGTAGGGATATTAGTAGCCTGAATAGAATAGAAAATTATTTAATCAAATAAACTTTATTTAAGCAATTTTGAATAGTCAACAATTTTTTTTTAAATCTACCGCTTATTCCGAAAGCTGTCTCATCACAAGAAGAATAAGCAAGAAATTTGTGTGTTGCTCTTTTAAACAATCCTTGTAAGTTCACATTTTACACATAGAAACGTGTGAATACAAACTACCAACCAGCACTAATTCATTTAGGCTCATCATTTAGCCATCACTGCGCTCGATCACATTTTAGGGAGCCCAATGACCCGGCCCACCACGCCGCCACATATCTGGACATTTTAGTGAGCATAACTACTAATTCCACTCAACCTCGTCATAGCTACTTGTTTAAATTAATTATATGGTAGTTACAGAATTAAATAAAGTTAGTTTATACAGGATATACTCATAGTATGTTAAAAGCAATTACGTCAGAAAATTAAATAACCATTACTTATTAATTAAATGTATTGATTACAATTACCTTTAATGGTCAAAGTAATTATTAATCAAGAAATCAGTATTATAAGCCTTTGGCAGAGAAGCAAATTAAAGAACAAAACTACAATAGCGACCTTAGAGTGGCAAAGACAGCAATCAACTTATGTGACAATGAAGAAAGTATAGTATTAAAGCAATTTTAATGAAATAGTCGCCTCTGATCAATCCCCTATTCAATTCAAATGGGTTAGAAATTACAATGTCTGAGCCGAGGTTCTAACCCCAGCGGGCACTTAGACTAAAGTTGTATTGGTCCTTCCATAGGTTTAAAATACTATCTGCAATCACCCCCCTATCGTTCAGTGAAGCTGTAAAGACTAGCTGTGTCCAACAGCATTAATATAGTGAAAAAAAAAAAAACAAATACTGACATTATCTGAAAAGAGATATAATGAAACTCATTATTGTCTAACCTCATCATCACTAAGCTTTTCTCCGAGTGTGGACAGCAGGTGGCGCAGCTCAGCAGAGGATATAAAGCCATTTCCATCCTTGTCAAAGTGACGTAGGCCTTCAATGAAGTCATTAGCTGTATCTGCACTGCGGGCTTTAGTGATGGCCTGCAATACAACATAAATAATTATACCCCTGGACAATTAACACAACGCCATCTAGTACCAAGATAATCAGAGCTGTTATGGGAACTAAACAACTGATTTTAATACAATCTCTTTTTTTTTAATAAATAATAACATACTTTCTACCTTTATAAATATGACCATAGATATAACAATAATGCGGAAGAGTCATAAAGACATTTAATTTGATAACATAATTTATGGTTGGATGTGTCTATTAGATGCTCAAGTATAACATGATTTCAACTTTCTACAAAACAAGACAGTTACATAATATGTATTACATAAGAAATAGTATGCATTACCTGATAGATAGGCAAGAAAACTTCAAAGGATATTCTCTCATCAGGTTTAAGGTGGAGAGTGCATTTCTTAACATCAGATTCAGTAGGATTCTGTCCAAGGGCCCTCAGTGCATCCCCAATTTGTGCCACATGGATCTTGCCATCCCCACGGGAGTCAAATAACTGGAATGCCTCCTGGAACTCTGTAAACATATACATACCTTTACTGTCAAGCAGTTTGGAGATAATTGTAAAAATAAATTGTATAATTGTGTATAAAAATATAACTCTTATACCAGACATAGTAGTGAGTCATACCTTACTTTGTAACAAAGTAAGGCAGTAACAAGGCTACCAACATATCTAAGATTAATTTAGTTGGTTATAGGTAAGTATTTAAATCTCCAGAGTGTTAGCGAGATACAGAAATATGTCCGAACACACATTTTTACATTCATTTTAGCCAGATTCGAATCTTAAATGTGTGTGACTTAGATTCAAACTAAATAGAATATCAGGGAGTCATGTCATTCACCTTATATAAACTACCATTTTTTAATGGATGATCATCAATAGATGCACCTGACAGGGCTAACGGTTAATGGTAGTGGGACACCAATGGAGAATGATAAGATGAACATGAGGTCAGGTCAGTTAGCCCATTCTGACAAATTTGCCAGGAATTTATGATGGTTTCCAGGGGGCACATAGAGGTTGGACCTGACTCAATAATAACAATTCCCTTTCCCCTTTATACAGTGCCAATGAATACTGGTTGTAACTATGTCAAATGGAGATATGACAGTATGTTGTAACAAAGTATACACAGCTGGGGGAGAAAGGGTTAGTTAGTAATGGGAAACAATTGCTCCCATTCCCAATGTACCTAGTCAGGTAGTCCTCCACATGATCCTGTTGGAAACCATTATGACTAAGTACTTGTGAATTTGCTACTATGGGCTAATTAACGTGACGTCATCTTCGTCTTATCATCCCCTAGCGTACCGGCGTGTATAATTAGTACAAGCGAATGCACAAATGCTTATTCATCAATACAAAAGTTGGAAGCAAACTTAAAATAAGTTTGATGACTGTAACTATCACCAGATGCGCTTATAACTCCATAACATACCTTCGACAGATGTCAGCTTGAGCTTGGTAGGTGGTTCGTACACAAACATGTTGCAAGAAAGACGTATGGCAAGTCACTGTGCTTATGCGAGGCCATCAGTTCGAACCCGCCACCAGAATCGCTTTAAAATACCACCATATATGGAAACTAGGGCGCTTGCAATAGCCACCGTTTTCGGTAAAGAAGTTGATTGACATTACTCACCGCGCGACACGCCTAGCATACGTACATACAAAGTATACTCGAATACACGCGAACTCGCAAGCCCGTAGGTCATTTAAGGTTTTAAAACTGTTCAAAAGAGAAAACTATATAATTAACAAGTGATTATTATTTGCTTTACCTGCCAATTGATCTTCAGAATAATTCGCCTGAAACAAAGAACATGACCGTTTTTTAATTTTTCCCAAATTTACAAATAAATTAGTCATGTGTAATAAATTTCATGCTTACCATTGCAAATATGTTCAATTTGTTATGAAAGTTACAATTGTTTTAATTATGTACAGTGAAGTCACAATTACTGACTTATTTAATTTTTGTACTCCAAGAATAAACACAAATTTATTTTTTTTATGGCAACAACAAGTAATAGGCAAAGGTCCTTGTCCTTGAAGTTTGATAAATTATTTTACTCTTTGGTTCCATTTGGATCCTAGTTCATAGATATAAATTATTGAAATGACTAATGTTTTCTAACAACAACAATAACTAATTACTATTTTTGGAATTTTTTGATTTACAGCAAACATCAAATAATTTTTATATATATGTAGTAACAAAATTTGAAAATTTTGTTATAAACGGAATGATTAAAATAGTGTTAAGTAGTCCCTAGTATATAAAAAATATTCAATGTTGGTTAATATTGAATGAATGTTTCTGAGCTTAGAGAAGGCTTTATAACAAAAAGCAAAATAGGAAACAGTATATTATTTGACGATTTAGAATTACGGACATCTGCTATAAAATAATATGACATCGAAATTTTCCTTTCAGTTGAATTCTTACTTTGCTTTAGGTAACTAAAATTTTCTTTTCCTTATCCTCATTTTATCTAGATATATTTATTAAAAAGTATATCCAAGTTGTATTAGCTAGTTTGAGATTATGTTTTTTCGTATATTATAATATTGTGGCGCCACCATTCGTATTGATATCTACCATTATAATACTAGTAGTAGTAGCCCTAAATAGCTTATTAAAATGCGACTTAGCTCTAAATTCTACCAACGAAATAGCAATCTTGTTGCACTTCCTCTAATTTTCAAAATTATATCTAGCAACACTGCATATTAAAAAGATAAATCCAAAATGGTGTTCTCTTCTCTTGGAAGGTTAGTACAAATTATTCATTATCTTTTATTATAAATTGTTATCCAGTAATTATGAAAAATCATGTTTTTCACAAATAGTTTTAACTTAATATCGTCGTATTGTACTTCCATTACAAAGTGTTGAGGTAAGTTCTCAGATTGGGCGCAACTCGACAGCAGTGTTCGGCGTTCGCTTTGTTCCTAAATCCCCACGTGCCTTCCGCCATTTCAAGTCTTAAAATTGCTATATTGACTTTAGAATTCCAAAATTTTTAGATTATCCTTTAATAATAGCCTTCATAGCCTTCTAATTCTATATATTTTTTATAAATTTAATACGATCGGCGTGTAGTTAGACGTGTCGGTTAAACTATTGTGGCGGCGTGGTCATGTCGGGCGGTGGCGGAACCGGCATGTGCTTCGTTTTCTGTCGTCTTCTGGGTCATACTGGACCATGAATAAGCTATACAAGTAATTCCCTGTGACCTTTTACAGGTCATACAGAAGTGAGTTGAAACGCGCCAGCCGGCGCCATGGCTGCCGGAGGCGAGTTCGTCGAGGGCTGGCTCGTCGCGCAGGTGCTTGGTGAAGGAGCCTATGGAGAGTGAGTATTGCACATGCAATTTGAATTATTGACATTTAATTAAATAGGTACATTTTATAATTGATTAATAATTTAAAATTTGTATGTTTTGTATATGATTTAGAAATGTTTTTTTATTATTATTATTTACTTAGTAAATAGTCTTTGTTATCGGTCCTTATATTAATATCGCAAGTGAGACAGCTCTGAGAGACATAATGTTTAATTTACTATTTAAATATGTACCTGCCTATATTTACAATTGTATTAGAACACAAAACGCACGGGAGATATATTGGTTATAGAGAAAATTAAATGGGCAAGTATTATTTTTACTAGTTCAGTAACAATTCACATTGTCTTTGATTGCTGCCACATGTATTTAGATACATACAGATACATATCTATTTATTTTACAGAGGCCTTTGACATCTGGCTCTGTGCATATCTGCTCTGCTAGAATTTTATTGAACATTTTACCTACTCCTTAAACTTTATATAGTATAAAATAAGGATACAGCCGCTCCCCGTTTGCTTATATCTTTTAAATTATGCAACGGATTGTAATGCAGTTTACAGTAATAGATAGAGTGATTCAAGAGCTTTATATGGATAATACATGGGATAGTAAAGAACGAGCTAAGAAATAAAATATTTGTAATGAATCCATCCAAAGGCGGGATGGGTTGCTACTTTACTATAAAAGTTTATCCTGGGGTGGCCATTGGATGATGATGGGAATTGAATGAATTCAAATCAAGTTATAATCAATTGTGAAGTACACTAATTTATATTCATTGACATTTAGTATTCATATACTTTTGAAAAGAATGTATTGAAATGTAAGTTTTTAGTACCTACACATGTAGAACAGCTTAGGTTAGAAGTACAATATACTGCACTGTATGCCCAGGTTTATATATAAGTCAGGACATGCATTAAATAGCACTTAAGGGGTCTACCCTCTTTAGACGGGCAAAGATAAGGCTATTTTCACGAATTTTTTTGACCGGTATACGTCATAAATATGGACATAAAAAGTGTTAGGCCTAAAAAATACACTATTTGATTACACAAGAATTTTTTTTTATATTTATTTTAATCAGTTTTTATACATAAAAATGAGGGAGAAGACTGGTCCAAAAAAAAAAAGATGAGTGTGCGCTGTTGATGAAATATCTGGAATGGATGATCTGAAAAAAAAAAAATAATAGTTTTAGATTCAGTAAGTAAATGGCTATAGCGCATATCATACGATTTTCTTTTTTTTTTTAAATGACAAAACGGCAGCTATCTTTCGAAAAAGTACGAAAAATCACATTTTTTTCGTAGTTCTTTGCCAAAAATAAATAGTTAAACTCAAAATTTCAAAAATCGTATGATATACGCTATAGCTATAGTCATCAAGAACATGTGGTTAAATTTTGGTAAGGTTCGGTTGAATATCGGAGATTTTATCAACAAGCCGTCCAAAAACATCATTCCGAGAAAAACGCGTTTAAAGTTTTCTGTAACGAAAAATCGTGAAAAAATCTTACTTACGTCTAATCAGCGATGTCTGCACCATACATTATGCCTTCATCTTCTTCATAGTGCACATTTTCATCCAAAATAGCCTGCCTTCGTTTCGTTCTGGCTTCCTTAGAGACATCGGTGCTGCGGCGGTTTGCAACTCGTATGCGCGTTCTGTCACAGTCAGCAGCAAACTGTGCGGCGATCGGGCCGATTTTGACGCCCATTACTTCCAAGATTTTTAATACTGGATGAAATCCTTCGTTAAAAATACAAGCAGCTGTTTGACAAGCTATTTCAACAATTTTTTTTCCGCAAAAGATGTGTTTGGGAGCCATTGACCAGACACAGTTGTTGAAAGATTCGTTATTATTCTGCGTGTTGCCACCGAGGCATCTTTCAAGCAGTTCTTGTTTTGTGAAATCGTCGTAGATCGGTTTTAAAACTTCTCGCTGTCCATACTTTGTAAAAGAAATATCTTTATCACAAGTTTTACACTTTAAATACTCTTGCAACGTAGAGAAAACCAGGAAAAACTGTATAATACTGTATCCCGACGTTTGATCCACGTGTACGTCGAAACTGGTATCTTCCGATTGTTGTAACTTCGACGCAGATGCACTAGCATAACTTGTATTTGCCTCGTGGTCATGTGGAAGCACTCCATGAAATTTCCGCTTTTTCGGCTTCGAACCTGGACGTCTCCACTTAGCAGTTTGATTAACACTTTTCTTGTCCATTTCGGTAATCACGAGCACAGATACTGACGGTTGAATTTTTCAAATACGACTAATATAGGGAGAAATTCTAATAGAACGTTATCTAAAGGCTGTACCGCTCCGAGCGGTCCGCATATTAGCGCGCTCAGGTAGCTACGTAAACATCGTCCAAAAGTACAGTTAGACTACTCGGATCTTTATAAATTTTCAGTATGATACTTTTAAATATGTATACTTTCGAAAAATACAAAAAAAAAATCGATTTTTTCAAAATTCTAAAGAGGGTAGATCCCTTAACTGTCTTATGATTCATTCATTCATAATTTAAGAGCCACACTCTGGTTTGGTGATCCTCCTGTCATTTCCTGCAATTTTCCATTAATCTCTTTACTTGTTGATATGACATGACTTTTCCTTGTTCTGCTTAATATAGCATGTCTTGGCCTTCATTTACCCCTCTTTTCTTATAACTATATAGTTGATAAATACCTCAATTATTAAAACTCAACACTACTGTATGCATTGTATATGGGAAAATAAAAAACTAATCACTTGGCTCTATATTAAGGGTATGTGCAAAATTAGATTATCAATATTTAAATGTTTTTACCAGCTGATTGGTTATAGATATACCATACAATTTAATCTAAGTCTCAGTACTGTCAGCTCCATAATTATAATGTTCTATTTAAAAATATTTAATATCCTCAATTTATATTTTTTTAAACAACTAATGATCATTTCATATGTCTTCTCAAAATAGATGCATTATAAATAAATAATAATAATAATATTTATTGCAGTTATAGGTTGTGTTACATAATTAAGTTGTATATAAGAGTCAACACAATTTTAACATACAAGTGTAATTGTGCCATCTGAACTAATATAAAATTATACTGTATCTCAGATGTCACATACCTTCCCAGGGTGCATATTATTTCACTTATTAAATTGAGACTTATAAAGTAAGAAATTTATGCAAATAATTCCATAGTGACAGTATTCTTTTTATTTTCAATATATGATGGAATAGTTAGCCATGAAGATAATTACATAATACCCCACCATCACCAACCGACCATTTCTCCGCCAAAATCGATGGTCTAGCAATTTCTCGCACGGCATAAACATTTGTATTCCAGAGTATCATACTCTAGACTAGATGGCGTTATGTGAATTGTCCAGGGATATTATTCCTTCCCCACATTATTCGCTCTGGAATCCATCGTGGGCCATCCCATTTATTTCACTATAGTATAACCGACCGGAATTTATGCGTATCCTAACATCCTCCACTGGTGCCCCGCCAGCGTATATCGGTAACTAAGGCGGAAGCAACAATCGAAACTTTAAAAAAAGTCAGCTTGTTTGGTAACAAATGCATATATATATAATTATAAAAAGGTTAAAAATGGTTATTAGAATGTTTGGTCATGGCATTTTGCAGGTGGTTTGCATGTTGTACTTTGATACAAAATATTGCAACATATGTATTGTAGTTTGTTATTTGCTATGTTATATAGCTGACTATACTGAATAGTAGAAAGTAGCTACTCAGCTAACTATTTTCTACTATTGAGTTGCAATTTAAAAACATCCAATCTAAATACCCCATTATGGATGCTGACGTTATCATAATTATAATAAATTCGAGAACCAGCTATAATATATAATTTGCATACCTATAACGGTAAATATTGCTGATCAATAATATTTCATTTAACATCTTATCTACTGCACCAATATTTCGTAAATAATCTCATTTAATTTCAAGGTATATTTTTATATACTGCACTTGTTACTGAGAGAGCAAACTTACTGTCACATTTTGTTTGATTGATTGGAATAGGTACACAAATTAAAATGTTAAACTTTTTAATTCCGAACTCCACGCATATATAGATAAGCTACTGCATACAAAACAATATATTCTCTACACATTTTTTTGGTATAAATTTTCTATATTATAAAAAACCTAGTTAAAGATTTGCATTCTACAAATATCGAATACTAACGGTGCCCGCGGTTTTACCCGCGTTAAATTTGAATAAACAATATAGCCTATATGTTATATTACAAACTTTCGCGTTTATAATATTATTATTAAGAACGATTATAGACGCAAATTTGTGACAATGGGCATGTTTATTATTCGTGCATGCAGTTGATACAACCAGTCCGGTTGTAATGACATAGCACCCGGATAAATCATATTCTTGATCGACAAATACTATACTTGAATTCACTGAATGCCGCGAACGACAGCTAGTGTTATTATTTTTCAAATTCATTAAGTGCATTATCATCTGCTTCTTCCTTAGTATAACTACATACAATGATCACGGTATAGTCACTTAAAATAAGGTCTTACAATCCGCATTGTCGTTTTGTATTAGGGTTCCCACCCCAAAATTAAAAGAACCAGTAATTGAAGCTGAAAGAACCGTAATAATTCAGTTGACGCAGTAACAATTACTTTATTTCAATATTTTTCTTATTTTAATAATAAACTAAACGTAGCGTTCTTTTAACTATTCTTATTTTAAATAGATTTTTTTTTCTGAATAAGTGGGTATATATTTTTTTCTTGAGGATCAGTATTCCAACAATTGTGATTATACCATAAAAGTGTTCAGAATACGGAAAATAATATATGTCATTAACACTAACTGTAATAATTATATTATTACATTATACTTTTTTTGATAACCCCAATGTGTACCTTCGGCATTCAATCAGTTCTCTTTGACCTCACAATGAAATTAGTTTGAAAATAGGTAGACGTTTGGCAACACTATTTTATGTTATCAATACCACCAAAGAGTAATATTGAGGTAACTACAACATTGTCGTGCCAACTGATCGCGCATGCAATTAGCACAAACAACGATTACTTTGTTTGATCGCTCGTGCTGTGTTTACGATATTAACCGTTTCAATAATGGCGCAATTGTTCGCCAATTAAATTGACGACGCATAATTAGCGACAGTCTGACATAAATTACCTACATTTTTTATGTATTATCTAATATATAAATTTCTCTTGTCTCGTCTATGTTATATTAAGTAGGTCTGAGTATAGATTTATAACAAATTTTTATACCCTTAAGTGTTAAGGGAGACTCTCACCCCAAACATTTTTTTTTTCTATTGACAAAAAATTTTTGCTCTTCCATTCATCTCGGTTCGTAGTCATCTCGTTATGTACTCCCTTTCTTGTCATATCATCTTTCATACAGTCCATCCATCTCTTTTTTTGTCTTCCTCTGCCTTTATAACCATCCACATACATATGTTAAAATATTATCTTATCATTATTCATCAATCCATCCCTTAAACTGAAATTATACAATACAGTTTACAATTTCGTCTCATTTGTACGTTCTTACTGAAGTTAAAGTTGTAATACTTTATTTTATCTAAATACGCATATAGACAGGCAATAATATAGTTGCGTATAATATTCTGATTTATATATCTACGTGATAATAATGATTGATATGCGCGTCAATTGCCTAATTAGTTAATTTTAATTTATTACTGGTAGGTTCAGACAGCTGAAATTTGTATATATATTTATTTTATAACGCAAATATTAAAGTTTTTTATAAATACGACAGGTGATAACATTACTAACAATGAACCGTGTTAGATTGACCGCCACGAGGTCCTCCTTGGAAACCACTGCTTAATTCTTGGTGACTTCATAATGGTTGGCTGACTTATCGCGTTGAACCTTCCCCTTTTCCTCTGATGTTACAAACTAACAATCAAACCTTTATGATATTGTATTATTATAGTGTGCTTGAAGGAATGGTGTTAACCATTCCATAAATATATATAACGAAATTGCCGTTTAAAAAAAAATAACCGTGGCCTTCACGTGTGCAATCTGTCCAGTAGTTTCGGAGCCTATTCAATCAAACTAACAATCAAATCGTACCTCTTTATGATATTGTATTATTATAGTTAGACTCGTTTCTTGAAGAGTACTCGTTCTACTTGGCGTTTTAATGACTTAGCCAATTATCATGTCGTACATCGTATCGTAATTAAAATAAAAAATAATGACTTAATTTTTAGTCTACCTAATATATTCAAGAATTTATTACTAAATTATTAACACTATAAAATATAACACGATTTGTCTACGACATTCTAGAAAGGGATCCAGGGAACTTTCTACCACTGCTCCGATGTTGGCGCTAATTTTAGAATTTCGATATAGTCGTGTGTAGACTGTTTTAAGGGTTTTCGTTTTAATACTTTAATATAAGCCGCAAGGATATATAATTTTTTGTTACAAATTCTCTTTGGATACAGCAAATTTTGTTTCACAGATAACCACCTACTACTACTTTATTTTAGAATTAAATACGGTTTTCATTACTTGTATAATGAAGAATTATCAAAATAAAACGCCGTTTTACGTACTATAGCATTATTTTACATATTAAATAAACTTATCAATGTAAGTAATAAGGAACGGTTTTAGAATAATATTATTTAGACTAGACTCTTAGAATAGAACGGACTCTTGAAAAAATATCATGAGTCACAGAAACGTCTATGTGTTTCCATTGTCCACCATTTTTATTCTCTTTTTTTAAACTATTTAATAAGAAATTACATTTAAAAGTAACTGAACGCTCCATTTTTAAAATAAAAAATCTCTGACATAAGAATGTTCGTTCAAAAATGAATCAAAACTGTAAAGGCAGGCACTTGCGTCATTCCTTTATTAATCGCAATGGGAACTCGAAAATTATTCCATTTTAAATTCACCACAACACTTTTTAGTGAATCCATTGATAAAAAACCGGCATAAGTGCGAATTGAATGGGGTTCCGTATGTTTTACCGGGTTAGGAATTACTAATTTTGTTTATAACTAAAAATTTAAAGTCATAAATTAATTTATGTGCTAATATAATATATAAGACAGAAAGAGTTTCTTTGTAAGAGTTAATCTCCGGAACCGGTCAGATAAAAAAAGTTTTACCTTTTGATAACCCATTTTTTTTAAATTTTGCACCTATTAAACATGACTTTACGACTATGAGGAGCTTATTAAAAATAAATATAATTATAACAAAATAAATATCAGCGTGCCTGGGTGACGAGATGCGATGCGGGTGGGCCGGGGAACGAGGGTAGGCCCATTTCTTTTAATTTAAATGCCGTGTGATGCGACGGAACATAGCTAGTATTATATATTTTGATAACGCGTTGTTTATTAATTACTATCTGAATATACGCGTTTGAAAGGCCATAACTCGGTTGACGGCTTCAGTGATCTAGTGCTTTGCACACCGTTTTACTTCCGATGGTCGGGCGTTCGATTCATCACGGTACAAAAATTTGTGTTAATGAGTATGTTTGTTTGTATAGGTCTGGGTGTGTTCTATGTGTATTATTTATGTATTTACAACGAAATCTAAGTATTTATATCCGTTGTCAACTACCCATACCACAATCTCTGCTTACCATGGCACTAGATGGTGTTGTGTGAATTGTCCAACGGTATTTTTTATTGTAATTCTGGGTTCAATTCAGTTACATTTAATACGCTTTTAAAATGATGGAACCAAATATTCGTACAGTTCAGGCGATCGTCCGCCACGCAGTCGGAGTGCATAAATACCTAGGTAACTTAATAACTTCCACGAATTGTTTTTGTGAAGTTCATAGACCATCGTTCTCGGCATTACACTTATAAATTTACTACGAGTGCCCGCGGTTTCACCTTCGTTAAATTTTAAATAAATATATAAATTTAAATAAGAAATATAGCCTCTATTATTCTGATGTATACATTATATATTACTATAAAGTTTCATGACAATCCAGTAGTCGTTTTTGCGCGAAAGAATAACAAACATCCATACTTACAAACTTTCGCGTTTATAATATTATTATTTAGATTAAGATTACAAGTTTACCTATAAATTGGAAATTATTTTTGTAAATCTATTCGTTTATGTGTACAGAATTTAAAAAATAACTGTAAAATCGTCAACTATGAATCATAAATGTAATGAATAATAATAATGACTATTTCAGATAGAAACTAGAAATAATAAGAAATGTATGAGTATTAAGTGAAAGTTGAGATTTTGAATCACGCCTTATAATAAGGAAATTCCAGATCAGATCAGATAGATATAAAAAAAACTGCCTTTTCTACACAAAACGAGTTAAATAATTAAACGTCACATAATTAGTTTGCAAAAAGTAAATAATATCTTGGAATATATGAAGGCGTCTACTTAAAAAATCCTTTTTCATTTTCTTTTGTCTAATTTTATTATGGTTTATTATTTATGGTTTCTTGCTAATTTTATTATGATCAAATTCGCTTTATTTTGTGGGATAAAATCTGTAACTTGTTTTTCTTTGTATTATTATCCGAAGTGGCCTTGGCTTTATGTACACCATACAGCGTTTTGAAGGTTGTAAAGAAAAATAAATTCGTGTCTACTTAATTGGCGGTTAGTACGATATACAAGGTATACTGTAAAAAGTATTATATATTTGTTTCACTTATCTGTCAGCCAGCTTTGTAACATTTAAAATTGATGTTTCGGTTGAAGGGTAAGAATTGGAAGAGAAATTTAATTTTTGAGGTCTGATGTTATGTTATGTTTCAGTCGTGTCGGAATGGTAGCTCATGATGTTAACAACGGACGTATACGACTTGATATTGTGTTCATGTATATAGGCGACGATTATCATTTACTATCAAATATGCCGTAATCTTCTTTGCCACACTAGTTACTTAAAATAAAATATCAAGCGATGATCTATACACCATAGTAGATTAGACATAAAACAGATCGTCGGCGATTATGCCGTGGACTCGCCGTAACCACTCAATAGGCGTGACCAAACGTTTTCATAGATGAACGCGGAACTAGATGGAAACTGCAATTGGGAAAGAAAAAACGCTCGTGATGCGAGCTAGCGGCGCATCCTTGAAAGTTTAACCACCCCGCGCGGTCACTGCCGCCGTCGGCGCCGTCGCCGACCGACCGACCACTTGTTTTTCTGTAACTCTGTATTTTCGGCTCTAACGCCTTTGCAATGTTTGATATTAGGCAACCTAACTTGTTCCGTCTAACGATTCAATATTAATATTTGTACTCGCAATAATCGTCTTTAGCGTTAGATGCATCATTCATAATAACACGTGAAAATAATATTGTTGAGACTGAAAATATTTTAGTAATATTTGTTTAAATATCAACTTGAAACAACGTCAATGACTCATGCTTACTGTGGCATTGAAATACAACAAAGGGTTTTAAGCGTTAGACTAATCACAATTGTTTATTTTCAGCTCTACATTATTATTACCAAATAATAATAATCTAGGACTATTAATATTACTGTCTGGTCTCAAACTATACAGAATTTGTACTACTATAGGTATTGGACACAGCAAACAATCATACTCATTAATATAAATATTCGTATCATTCGAGAATTAAACCCCCGACCTTCGGAAGGAAATAATCACTAACTCCACAGAGGTTGTCGAATAGGTTTTCTATATTAACATTAAACAGTAAAACAGTATTTGGGTTGTAAATTTAATGTCTCTAAAACTTCCGATTATTTCACGAGCATATTTTTTCAATCAGGGTGAGGTTACTGGTTCACGCGCGCACCGGTGCAGCGGTAGCTCTGAAGGTGTCTCGCACGGGTGGTACAGACGCGGCTCGCGAGGCGGCGCTCCAACGCGCGTTGCGCCATCCACACGTGCTACGCTGCCTCGGAGAGAGAATACATCAAGAACTGCATTATATGTTTCTGGAGTACGCGCAGGGTGGTGAACTCTTCGATAGAATAGGTGAGGTGCAATCGACCACAAATGTGTCAATTTATGTTTATGTAACTTAAACTACCAATAAGCTGATTACTGGTTACGCGATGGAAAATAGTAAGTCGCCCTAGATGCGTACCGCCACCTGTTGTCGTTGCTGAACCATAAGGTGTCATGTACGCAACAATTTCACTACCAAACCTAAATACCTTAACATACATGGCACTTAGCGACAGAAATAGGTGATGACTTTGTACATATTTTATCTCACGGGACATGAGTTTCTTCAACTAAATATGTATCGTAACATCTTAACATGCACGGCACTGAGCGACAGAAAGGGTGATGATTTTGTACATATTCTATCTCGCGTGAAATAAGTTTCTACAAGTAACATGTATCGCTCGCAGAACCCGACGTGGGCATGAGCGAATCATCGGCACGTCGTTACTGGCGCCAGTTGCTGGCCGGCCTGCAGTATCTGCACGGACGCGGCGTCGCGCACCGTGACATCAAGCCGGAGAACTTGTTGCTCGACCACGATGACAATATCAAGATATCCGACTTCGGGATGGCGACGCTCTTCAGGTGAGGTACGTTCCCCTTTGTTTTTTTTTTCATTAGCGCACCGTGACATTGTAACATCGCGCGTCTGCGAGGCGTGGTGTACGTGATGAACCAATGAATTAGATTCGCTGTTAAAACGCTGGTAGGTGTACCTAAAAGCAACAACGATACGTGACTCTCGTGTCGTATTGGCCAGTGTCGGTTAAAAATTATGTAATTGATTCCCAACACATTGGCTGCTGTTTTGAGATTAAAGATATATCAAGATGAATGTGACTGCTAATAGAGGACCATAGAACAAGTTGGAGACTTGCCCACATGGGACCATATATAAAGAAACCAAATTGTTGTAACTTAAAATAAAAAAAAAAATGTAAAGAATATCTTATTATTAATAATATAAACTCGAAAGTTTGTGAGTATGGACTATGGATGGATGTTTGTTACTCTTTCCAGCAAAAAAAAGAACAACGGAACAGATTTTGATTATACTTTACAGTAATATAGCTTATACATCAAAATCAAATATAGGCTATAAATTTTTCATCATAATCCGTTCAGTAGTTTTGCGTGAAAGAGTAACAAACATCCATCCATACTTACATGAAATTATGCGCATGAAACCGCTGGCACAGTGGAAAATAAAGCTATATCATCAATGATATTTAAAAGCATAGTTTGATGGGCAGACATGGATCACGCGAACGGTTGTTGTCGCGCGTATGCGGTACGGTGCCATACGCCGCGCCCGAGGTGCTATCAGCTTCAGAGAGACCTTATCGTGCTGCACCAGCCGACCTGTGGGCAGCTGGCGTTGTGCTCCTAGCCATGCTCGCTGGAGGTGAGTTTCATACCTTTATACGCCTTTACCGTACCTCTCCCTACCGTGCTACCACGTTCTTTTTGTCATTCACTTTATTACTAGCGATATTGGATATATCGACCTCTACACGGTTTCCTCATAAAATCATCCATATTGTCATGTTCGTTTTGTCAGTGTTGTATTAATTAACCTGCTTAATAGATTTATATTATTTTGTTTAATTCCGGTACAATTAGTATTTGACATATATATTCAGTGCAGAAATTCGGATCACATTCCAACTGTAATTCAGTGTACACTTACATTGCGACATGTCGTCGGTTAAGTAGAGAAATGGCAGTATTCAAAATGTACATTATTTACAAGACAACCATTTAAAGTTTTTAAATTTATTTAAATTATTTTTTCCTTTAGAGTTTTAAATTTACACAGAAGTATTATATATCATTTTTTAAATAGTTAGATAATGATTCAGACGGGGTGGTTAATTTAATTGACTTGTATAAAAGAAGGCATTTCTAGCTTCTAATTTTGAAAACTGCCATTTTTCTGTTTAATTGACGATGTGTTTCGCATCTAAACGAGGCATCACTAATTGACAGGACTGGGTCGTCCGCTGGCATCACCAATTGAATAAACTTTGGTTATAGCTTCTAAACCTAGTGTTGACCGATCGGCGACCGAAACCGCGACTCACGGTTTTGTGGTCTCACAAATGCTAATTGCAGCGGAATTAAACAAAATAATATTAATCAATTAAGTAATGAAATGGAGTCCGCAAAATAACACCTAATTCAATAAAAAAAAATATTTTCCTGATTTCGTCCATTTACGATTCTTTCAATATTATCCCGCTAGCGTATAAAGCTGGCGCTGAACCTGCCTCCTTTTTAACGTTACCATGTCGCAACTCTGAAATCGTACCCACTATTGTCTCGGACCCTGCGCAGGCGCCGCCCGCACTAACCGCATGCGCCGTCGCCACTCTGATGTGGCTCGTATCTTTGGTATCCTAGCTGTAGGAGTGTTGTGTTTACCCTAAAGTTAAGGTACCGAAGTTACGAGTTGCGTCACTCGCTGCTGCAGTTTTTGTTTGTCGTCGAGTTTATGTGGTAAGAATTTGGAACTAATTTTAAAGTTATATTGCGTTGTTTACATACTAATATTTAACTATTAAATTTAATAAAGACGTGTAAGAAGTCGTGTAATGCATATTGTGTGTTTTCTTAACTGTGTTTGTGACGAATTAAACTTTATTTACTTTATACCTTTTTTATAATTAGCAAAGCCAAGTCATTATTTTATAAATAATTAATCCACTTCCTTGGTAGTCGAGACATCTGACGCAACAGCTGACGACTTCCTTTGTAACTTTCGTGTACATGTGATATATATTTTTAAAATATTACCCTTGCCCATGCATTTTTTATTTCTACTGTAATTGTTTTACACTAGAAAAGAAAATTATTACCACATCAATTAGATTTTATTAGTCTTAAAATTTATTAAATTCTTTAAAATATTTATATAATTATTAAGAAAATAAATGTGAGCTATGTTTTTTTTTTACGTATTTTAATTATAATATTAACTAACGAATATAGACTATAGTTAATATATAATTAGCACCAAAATCAATTACTACTGTGAAATTGCTAATACAACGGTATTTAAATCACATAAATACCGCAACAATAATGCATACCATACCTATATGAAAAACTAAAAAAATGATAACTAAAATTATTTGAAAAACATGGTGACATTTTGTGAGTGTTGATGAACCTTCGGTGTAGAGTCTGCCTTATAGTGACTTCGTATGAAAATGTGTTGTGAATGTGTGATCAGAGTTGCCATGGGAACGGGCCAACGTAGCAGACCCTCGGTTCGCGGCGTGGAGTGCTGCGGTGTGCAGCGAAGGTGCATCCAACTCCGCCACCGTCCCCGCTACCGTTCTCAGCGGCGCATGGCGGAAGCTGTCAAGCTCAGCGACCTCGCTACTTCGCCGGGCCTTACAACCCCGCCCCGAGCGGAGACCCCTACTGTCAGCGCTCATGGAGCACCGCTGGATGCAGGAGCATGGTGAGTTTCTTTCAGAGATGGTTATGTCAGCTCTATATTATGTACTTTACATGTGATTTTATACTCTACTACAGTGAAGAGAAGAACTATTTATATATATTCTATAAGTTGTTTATGTTGAATGTTTAGAAGATTTGTAAAAGCCGAACAAGATTTAAGCACCCCTGGGGACTAAAGTTATGCCGTTATAGCATTGCACATTCATGTTTTCTGTTTTATGTACGTTGTTAGCTTTTGTAACATCAAAGCATTTAAGTACCTGGTCAAGCTATTGATGCGATAGCAATAAATGCTATCGTCAGTCCATTCTGCACAAGTTGTGGCCAAAAAGAGGACTGGTTTAGTATTAGTACGTTTAGTTATATTAAGGTATCTGTGCTGTCTAGCTGCCTTTACACGTACGCTCTTTCACGTGGGAAAGAATGTGTATGTAAATGTAGACAAAGGGATCAAGAAAGACTGCGCGCGCCGCCAGCTCGTGTATTCCCGTGTACTACAATCGTGCGTGATTTAGCGCTTCTTTTTTGTAATAATTGGTATTACAAAACGACATTAGAATATTGATAATTTGTAAATCTTAAACGTGTCTTTGGAAAATAAAATCTGTGTAATAAAACACGAATTTTAAGAAACTCTTATCATGCGTGACAGGTAATAACAATAAATCACACAGGATTGAGTGCGCTTATTTTCCCGCGTTAAATCGCGTGCGTTTCTGTTGACGCGTGAAAGTATGTGTCGTCTAAAGGCAGAATATCTCTATCTTGTGTCTGTGCTTTTCCTACTTGTACTTCCTACACTGCTGCAACGTACGAGATGTGAAGACGCGCGGTGTGCCGTGTCAGGTACTAGGTGACTCTGAGTGGCTCTGCGTCTCAGAGCCGCCTCGTGCCTCACAACGGCGCCGCCGCCACCAGAACCATTTGGCGATGACGGCGTTATGCGCGACGTGGCCCTTTGGCGATTTAGCTCCATGACGTTGTGAGTGCTCATAAAGCTAGATTACCAAAGCACTGCGTCGATGCTTTTGCAACGATGATATGGATGTTATGAAGATTTCACAGGTGAGGCGATTGTGTTTTGGACGATTTTCACTCTGTTACTCGTTTAGAAACAGCATGGGCTGTGTGTATTATAACTGGTGCATATTATGTTTTATTGTCATTATGTACATTTGAAAAATTGTAATTGTATAACGAAAGGAATGGTAACTGTGTAGAAAAAAGAAAATTGTAATTGTTTTTAATGCTATTAAGTGTAGAAAAACATTTTGAATGAAATATGTAATTACAGAAAATGTATAATCGGGTATAATCTTTGGGTTTTATATTCTTGTAATGTGTAATACTTCCCTTGGCATTAATTATGAATGTCAACAATATAAATTTTTTATTTGAAAATAGTTTATAGTGTTTTCCATTATTTGTTATATTTTAAGGCATGATGATATAATATAGTTATATATTTTTAGATAACATTTAATCAAAGTAGTCCATTATGTCGATGGGAGTGTTTCGTCACATTAATAAAATAATGTTACATGTTAATTTTCTTTTAATTATCATCACATATTAACAAAGGGAAACAAATACATTCAACTGCCGACGTTTTCTCGAGAGACTACAGTATGGTGTTTTCATGAAGGGTATACTAAGGTTTCTTAAGGGTCCCCAAACACGGACAGTACACCTTGGTACCGTTGGCTAGCATCTGGGCCGTATGTTTGTTTGCCTTCATCGTAGTATAAAAAATTGTTAGTATTACTAATTAACTTAATACGGAAAATAATGTGAATGTCATTCAATGTCTTAATTATCATTATTACATTGTTTATTATCGTGTTTATTGGTTATGTAAAGATGTAATCTTACAAAGTCGATAAACAACTATTTGAAGGTACCTTTTTCCAGAACTGACAACACTTTAAAATAAAAATCTTTTACTTTGTATATCATGAGCGTAAACGCTAAACTGAACTGAACTGAATAACACAATAGAAATAGTTATTCGCGACAATCAAAACCACAAAATTGTAGTTTTTGAATACCTATTCTGTCGAAGTATATCGCAGTGTAATTTTTATAGTGATGAGATATTGGAATAGCCTCTAAAAACAATGAGGGACGCTAGTGGATGATAGGATAAACTTGAACTCGGGTCAGTTAACCCATTATGTCGAATTGACCAGCAATTATCGAGTGGGGGATCGACCTGATTGGTATACTGCTAGCAGTGGGGCACTAGTCCCCGTTACTAATAATCAAATCAAATCAAAAATTATTTATTCATGTAGGACATTTTAGCAGCTTATGAAAGCTTATGAGAGAGGAAATATTTTTCCCTAACGTTCAGTTCAGTATACATATTGAGAACTGGTAAGAAACTCTACTTAATTTCTTTTGTTTTTAAACCAGTTTGTTTATATTGTGTACTTATATAGGTGTCTATGTCTAATGTTAAATTAAATTCCCGTGCATGAATAACAATCCCCTCCCCCCATGTCTATAGTAGTTAATGCTTAATACGTATACAGAGGGTGCTTTCCGCGTGTCGCGGTCTCAGCCAGCTGTGAGCGAGGTAGACGGCGGTGGAGGGGATCTATCGGCTGATGACATGGACGCACTGATGAGCTATTCGCAGCCGAGCGCGGCTGATGACATGCTGCTGGCTTCTCAAGCCGACTCAGTTGGCGCTTGCACGCAGCCAGTGAGTATACGCCAGGAATTTGATTATATAATTATTGGTATTATTCTGTACAGATACATTAGAATCCGGATATAACGACCTTCAAAAGAGACCGGCCATACTATGTCGTACTAACCGGATGACGCACAAAGCGACAGGATTACTTCCTAAACATATATGCATGCCTAACTTACGAATACATATACATACATATTATAAATGCGAATGATTCATGATCATGGTAATTTATTTTAAAATTCTTTGCGAGGGTTTGACTTTTTTCTTCCTTCCTTAAAGCACTTGCGCTTTACAGAAATGATGTTGTCGAGCTTGTTCAACTTCTTATAACAAGTTCAACAAGCTCGACAAAATAATTATAATAGGTGACAAATATTAATATACGCGCGAGAGCGCAACATATTTACATCCATTTATAATATTAGTAACGATTAATTCTTTGAACAAAAATCCCAAGATTATGTATTTTAATTATATGTAATAACTGTTACTAGCAGATAGTAAACTCCATTATGATCCACATTAAAGTGTTTAAAAATTACTATTTTTTTCAGAGCGTAATGCAACGTTTGATGAGACGTATGACCCGTGTGTGGATGTCGTGCGATGAGCAAGCGGCGCTGCAGGCGTTGTGCGCTGTACTGCGTGAAAAGGGATTCGTGTGGCGGCATTTGAATCCTCGTTTGGTTAGTAATTAAAACAAACCTACAATGATGTCTATTTTAGTATATATAGAATAGAATACGTTCTCAGTCCTAAAGGATATCCTATTATTTATTATAGTTTAGGATCAAAATATACTTTTATATTTATGTAATATTTCTGCTGAAATGCGTCTAAAGTGAAATAAATATGTGTTTATATTATCATATCAAGTAAATATAACTACTTATCAATATATGTTGGGAATTCTCCACGTGGGTTCAACTATTTTATCGGTTTCTTAACCAATTATTGATATAAAATATTATAAAGTAATACAAGGAGTTCTCTACCAGTTAACCATTTACACGCTATTATTTTGACGATAAAAAACTGATCCTATCCTATCTAATATAACTATAGGATCAATTACGTCATCTGTCATTTATCGAACATAAAAAACAGCATTCTAATCAGGCCATTCACTTAATAGCGGCAATGTCGCATAGTCATGTCCAATTTCTAACGCATCTTTCATTGTGTTGGTGATTAAAAACCTTATACTGATTTAGTCTGAGAAGGTGCTTACTCTAGTCGTAAGGATATGAAAGTACCCATGGTAACGAACAACTTTCGCTGAAACCGTATAATTTTATAAAGAAAAATTGGTTCAAAGTTGTTACATAATAATTTGTATTTTTTACTTAGCTGGCGATTGAGTGCAGTGCAGAGTTACATATGCGGGCGCAAGTATGCGCTGCTGGGGCGCCAGAGGAGGCCGGGGCGGCGCGCTCGCAGCTCGAGTTCCGGCGGGCGAGGGGCTGCGGATTGCAGTTCAAGCGCTGCTTCATTCAGTTGAGAGCTGCGCTGCAACCGCTTGCTGCTCATTGCTGATATTGATCGTACTTCCAGAGTCGCTATACCATAGAGGTTACATATCGTCCGCGCAGTTGTAGAACTACAGAACTAAAATTTATAATTCTCTTTTGTGGCAATTATTTAATGAAAGGACATTATTATCCGGAATGACTTTGTTTGAAAAGTTTGGGCGGACTGCAGTTTAAGCGCTGCTTCAAACAGTTGGGAGCTGCACTGCAGCCGCTTGCCTTGCTGATATTGATCGTACTGCAAAAGAGTTGCTATACCATAAAGGTTACATAGAAGTGTGAAATTAAAATCTTGTAATTTCTGTTTTTTATGGCAATTAATTTAATGATGAACACTGTCTGATAAGTTTTCACTGTGCATATGTTGTAATTCTCTGTGGCGATGTTACGGGACCAATAATTATATTTTTTTAAGTTTTTTATACCCAACGTTCTTTAGAGTCAAGAGTGTATAGTGATTGTTCAAATTGTTGTTTGTTGACTTGCATGTGTCATTATAGTATGTGATATTTGATCTAATAAGAATAAACGATATTTTTTTACATGTTTTGTTTTTATTTCATTAAGAAGTTTAATAGCATTCACTGATAAATTTTCCCAACATAACATTGTTATATATTAAAAAACCAAAAATGTATTGATGTTTAAGAACTTTAATTATGGAATAAACTTACTTAAACTACACTATAAAATTCATTTTGAAAATATGAGTTTTGTTTAGTTTCAAATATTTTTCCTTGCATACATGTCAAATAATCAAACAGATCTGTGCAAATAAATAGAAGTAAATTGTTATTTTAAATTACCATCTTTACACTAAACGCATGTTTGGTATTTACATTAAAAAATATTTCTAATGTTTAAAAAAACTGGACTTGCAGAAAACTAATTTAAGGAGTAACTTTTGCTATTTTATTTTAGACATTTTCAATATCCTAATAAAATAATGAAATATAAATTCCACCCGAAGACGCGGGTTTCTATTAAATCTCACTTATATAATATGTAGGTTAGATATCTGTCTAAAAGGAGATGAATAAAAATATAATTATAAGTAAAATTGTTTATTACAAAAATGCCTTCAACAGCCGACAGTGGTATTCATCGAGGATATCTCGAATTGTGTTTAAAGTTAATGGCCTTACACAATAATTCTAATTTTATAAGAAATAGGCTGCAATTAGGTCGCATAAGGTAAGTTAGGTGACCAGCAAGTAAGCTGTAATAAATTATCGCACAGCAGTTATGTAAGCATTCTGGAGGACCTTAAGTAGGTATACATCTGTTTTATAGTATTCTCATATCTGTCTCAGATTATGCTAGAAATGCTCACAATATTAACAAATGTATTGCAGTATAATCACGTATTTAGGAATTATGAACTTATCACATAATTCATCATAAATTCGTAGTAATAGATGTTACTAAATAAGTACAAAGTATCAATTGTTTAGGCATACCAGTTTTTATTAAATTACCGGTTAGATCTGGTGAACTTATAAAAAGTGATTACTTTCACAAGTATGATTTTCATATTTTTTAAGTGTTGTGTATTTTTTAAGATTATCTGTTAAGTGGTAACAACACTGTTTAATATTTAAAAACTACTGCATTATCTAACAGGTATCATAGACGAATATTTGAAGCCTTCATCACTGCTGCAATATTTATTAAAGCTTCTAAACGTGATACGATTTGTTACTAGATCAGTCGAGATTGAAACGCGTTTATAGCCAGATGAACTGGACTGGCTTCGTAACTTTCCAAATAGAAAGAATTCGATAAATAGGCCCGACTGGTCGAATACCAAACCTTAAACGTGGTGGAAACACCATAGAACCATTTTGCGGTCACCCGTAACCTTATGTCTAACAATACACACACATTACATGTAATGATATTCAATATTGTGTACTAATAGCTAATAGAGAAGGTACCGCATTAGTCGAAGTTGTTCGAATCAATTACGGCACTACAACCACAATTTGTTTCCGTACTGTGCTAAAAATCATTTGTCTATAATAGAATAACTCAAGACAAGTCAATGTAGAGCTACAAATAAGTTTCTGGTTTTTTACGCGAATGGGTCATGTTTTTACGCAATGTCTTCTAGACTAACTAATACACGAACTAAAAATATATAGTATTAGTACATAGGTATATGCGTGCTGACCGGTACACGTTGAATGAGGCCGTTGTTATAACACTAATCTTATAAGCAATAATACTATTAGACTGTCTGTTACGTGTCTCATGGGCCTTATTCAGCAATTTTCTCGTTTGCACACGTACAATCCATTTGATCTGTTCGTAACATAAGGAAGTAGGGACGTCAAAACTCAGTAAGTAATCGAAGAAATTCAAAGTCAAATGTACCGTCAAGCATACATCTGTGCATCGACCATACGTACCAACGCCGCCCGCTTGATATGTTTATTGCGCGTTTCTATATTTATTTCGGGTATGTTATTTACTACTTACTACTATTTACTTAACATTATATACGTATATATATTACTACATAAGTTAATATATGCCTTGCAAAGTAAAAATGAACGTTTTATTTTTAAATTGTTACTTTCGTTCGAGACATCGTCTTTCTATGTTATATACACGACACCTATGCCAATTCATACTAATTAAAAACGATTACTGATACTTATTTATTTCGACGCCAATAATTTTAATTACGTTCCGCCATTAGGATCTTCCCGGATTTCTTGAACAGTTGAATCCACGAGTCTGGATGAGAATATATTGAACTCTAATACAGAATACAAGTGCCTATAACTGACACGTTTTGGTACTCGTTTCTAATAGATCTTTTCACATTAAAACTGGCCATTATCTGAGTAACTTGCTTGTGAACTACTATGGTTATCTGTGAGTGCTTTAATAAGACATACCAAAATCTTAATATAAACCTACATAGTACGACCACAGATATAATGGTATCAAAGTACAACGCATATATAATCTATACCATCGCAGCGAGTTTCGTAAAAACGCGACAGTCTGTCTCACGTAATTCATTGGTCACTAATTATACAAGCATGCAACTCATTCGACATGTTCTAACAGACATACACGTGCTTATATCACAACGTGCGTGCAGCGCGGCGACGAACAGAGGAGTCTCCGTCGTCACAACTCCGTCACAACATCGCACGCGATCTATTCCACTTATGTTTATTGCCTACAACTAATGAGGAGCCGCGACTCCATGGCTGTCGCGTCCAGCTTCACAGCTCGCAGAAGTTCCGTAAGAAGATTCCATTTATTAATCTACAGGGTTTTCGCTTTTTCTAAAAGTTCGTTGATGAATTTCTGCAAAAGAAGTAGAAAATTACTTAATTATCATATAGGTCTATTCAAGTCAATAGTCAGTCGAAAAGTAATTTGAATTGCGTAGATATGACAAAAAAATGTATTTTTACCAAAGAAAATGAGATTCTGGGAGTTAGTGTCCATCAACAGGAACAACCCATACTGCACATACCATTTGTTTAGAGGTAGAATAATAATATTAGTGGACCATTCAGATAACGACCTCTAGTTCCAAGTCCCGGTAACAACTATCATACTCATGAATACAAATGTTTATACCGTGCGAGGAATCGCACCCTCGACCACCAAACGGTGTTCTATACCACTAGATCATCACACAAACGAGACGAATATAATGAAGTGAGTAGTATCCGCTGACGTTAGTTTGAATATATTTATGCTACAGTAAAAATTCTCGTTCGTCATCGGTTGATCATTTCGAGCTCCCAGGTTCTCGACGAAGTAGGCCATAGGCCATAGACCTAAACCTTAAAGGGACGTGTACACAGACCCCCTTAGTTTGTTTTTTTTCTGCAAAGGATAGGTCACTATAAATATAAGAGTTCAGTACTTACATGTACATCCTTTTGTGGTTTTTTGGCATCCGCTAGTAACGTCTGTAAATTAGAAACGATGAATTTAGAACAAATATTAGACCCTACGTACTTAGGTGTATCGCGTACATAAAAAAGAATAAAATTTCATTTCATATATTTCAGTTCTTTTTACTGTAATTACATCATGTCCTTGTGGTCCAGTAGACTATAGACCTTAAAGATCATCAGGTCAAGAAAAACGGTCACCAACAACATTACATGTTCATTTAATTTTTTATTTATGATGATATATTATTTCCAATTATTGAAAATACTGACAACAAACCAAATAAATACGAGTATAGGCAGTAGGCTCGTCCCTTACTACGTTCAATTTAAATATACCCGACGAGTATAGCGTTCACCAAGACATTGACAGTTAGAATAAAATCTCTAATTTAAAAAAATAAATAACCCAGGACAAATCACACAGCGCCATCTCAAGTCTCAAGCTAAGCAGAACTTGTGTTATCAGACAATTGTTATAAATACATCTTTTTTGTAAATATGTAATAATATATGTACATATGTTATATGTTTGTATTGGTCTTGATCAATTCTTCTACAAACAAACATACTTGTGAATGTGCGAGCAACCCAAAACTGATCGAAGTAAGGCGGTGTGCTAAAGCGCTAGACCATCTGGGATGACAGTCGTGGAGGTGTAATAAGACACTTACAGTAAGGTGCCGCCGACGGTGATCATCGCTGTCCATGTCGAGCAGTTCATCGATGTCGACCTCCACCTCTTGCGTGCTATTGCCGCTTCCGCCACTGCTCTCCTTCTGGAACCATCGAATATCACAATTATAAACCTTGTCTTCAAAACGGTGTGAACCTTCTTTGTGGACGATGACAGAATGGGAAAACCAATATGCGTGCGTGCGGAATAGAATAAAAAATTCTTTATTTAAATAAACTTAATTTTTGAATAGTCATATTTATATTTTAATCTACTGCTCATTCAGAAAGCTGTCTCATTACAAGAAGAACGAGTCAAGAAACTTGTGTTGCTCTTATAGTAGAATAAAATCAGGTCAGGTAGCTCATCATGACTATTCACCAGGAATTAATCACGATGAGGGGTTGTTAGCAATGGCGACATTCATCATCATTATCAACTACATTATTATCTATTTGACTATTTCTCAATTTGACCACAGACTATAACAATAAACAAAAGAGTATACAAATATGCGTGTATGTCAAATAGTGTATGTTTTTTATAGATAAAAAATATTAGCATCTGCACTCCTTCTCTAGATAAAATACTAGGTACTCGCTCCGGCGTCGCTTAGATGTACATGTATTATACGTCTCTTGAGTAACTCTACCTAGTGCTAAAAACTGTACTAAAATCCGTTGGATAGTTTAAAAAATGTAAGCGACCAGACATCGGATGGGACTTCATGTTATAAAAATAAGTGTGCGAAAATTCGTACTCGGTCCGTATAGAAAAATAGGTAATTTTTTGATTATACTGTTTTAAATTTGACGCGGTCATTTCATACATTTATACGTATAATTAGTAAAAATCGCGGGATCTTATCATGATCACGGGTAAACCGGTTAACAAAAAGGGTAAAGTTTACCCGTGATCATGGCGGTTGTAACACTGCCGAAATATCGGGAATTTAATAAATACACGTTTTAACGTGGTAAGATTTTACTAATTATACATATAAATCTTTGATTATTTCATTTTGCTAACCGGAATTTCGTAGAGTTTCTGTAGTTCGTCGTAGAGCCACATTTCGACGGCGAGCCTCTTTCGAATCAGCGCCATCTGGTGACTGCCATACTTTGCAGTGAGGAATTTCTCACGCCTCTCCTTGACCTGAAATCGTATTTAATTTGATATTATGTGGAAAGTTTTGACTGATATGAAACCGGCTTCGATAACTTATATAAATACATATAGATAACATCATTAATACCTACAGTTTAAAGTTTAACTTGGTTAAATATACTTCGCTTCTCGGGTAGGTACATCATCACCTATCATCCGCCAAGTAACTTTCTTTGTAAGCTGTGATTCGTTTGTAGGGTAGGATTAGGCAGTGCAACTACAGGGTAAGAGTCATGATAACCCTTATGACAACCCTTATCACTTAGGGCTATGAAAAATAGATTCTCAGACCTGAACCTGAAACTGACCTGAGCTGAATATACATATAAAATTTCATAAAAATCGGTAAAGCGTTTTGGAGTACACGAGAATTTTATATATATGTAAGATGTTTTCATAATATTTAATCAAATAGCAAAATACGTGACGTCACACCAGGAAGAGCGGCTTTATGGATAACCCCTAAGAGAATGATGAAGTAAGAAGAATGTACTTACCTCGCCCTTATCGCTGAAGTTCACATGAAGGCCAGTCTTGGCTGGCGAGCGTTCGGTGGGTGACAGCGCAGGGTGTGCTGAGTGCGCGGGGGGATACGCCCCCGCTGCAGCTACGCCGCACTCCATGGCGCAAGGTGCTGCGCCGGCGCCGCCGCGACTCTATAACAACAGACATTGAAATGTAAACACCCTGAATCAATATACTTTGTCTTATTTATGTTTGTCTAGACAATCTCATATTATCTAAATATTAAAACAGACGACAGCTACTTTATAAGTTAACTACCCGAACTGTATAAGTAAGGATAATGACAAAGAATCATCATGACTTCCGTAAGAGACCGAAAGTGTTATATATCTTTAGTATAAAAGAAAGTTGCCGCCGCTATCTGTTCGCTTAAATCTTTTAAACTACGAATACATAGAGTAATTATAAGAGGAAGGTTTATATGTGTAGGATGTGATAGTACAGAACACTCCTCCGATCGTACAATTCAAACGGGGATCGAAATTACGACGGCTTGAGCCGAGATTCGAACCCCTAGTGGTGCCCTCAGACTAAAGTCGTATCCGTCAGGTAGGAGTTGGCCTTCAGCCGCTCCATAAGTCCTTCCGCGGGTTTTGAGTGCCATCTGCACTCGCCCCCTAACGTCCAGTGAAGCTGTAAAGGCCAGCTGCGGCCAACAGCATTAGAGTAGTCCGAAAAAAAAGTACAGAACAAGTCGAGAAATGGAAAGATTTGTAATGCATCCGTAAGAAGCTAGCAGGGCTATCTAGTATATTAATAAATAATTGTTGACTTTAACTTTATGACACATATTACAAGTCTTTGGAAATAACCTATATTGTAATAAAAATGATATTAAAAAAAACAAACGATCGTGCAATACTGGAGTCAGAACTCGAAGCCAAACAAACTGCGTCTAAGGAACGACTTAATGATATCCTATTAAACAGATCACATGTACGGAGCCATGTAGTGACCTAGTTTGACTTTGCTGTATGTAATTTGGGATATTCTTCTTCTTATTCGATATACTCTTGATAGAACGGTCGTGGTCATTATGTAGTGGAGTGAGAGGCAGATGCCATCCGTCTTATGACAACTCGCCATTTCTCCCTACTGGCGCCCATTTTGGTACACCCGTGGAGTGGACCGCTTACTGCTGCTTTGACTCGGTCGGACCATCACATGGGCGATCGTCCACGGGGGAGTGGTACCGTCAACCCTACCGTGTATGACAAGCCTTTCTATGGATGTACAATTTCTATACGAGACGTGACCAAAGAAGGTAAGGATGCACGATTGTGTTAATGTAGATAGACGCTGCTTAATGCCGAGTTCTTCGAGGATGGAAACATAAATAATTTGGTAATACAATTTAGGAATGGTTAATGATGATTGACAATTTACTTTATACTACTAATCCCAATATATAACGTAGTAAATAGTCAAGAAATTAGTAGCAGTAGTAAATAGGTAGGTACTTGATAAAACTTAAGAAATTGGTGACTAACAGACAATATTATGATAAGTTCGCCTTTTTTAAATACTTTACTGACATATAATGTGTTAACATTTAAAGCAATTATATTTGCTGATATATTTAAATATCCTCGTAATCAAAGTATATTCATGAAGGAATTAATTTATACCATCTATTTATAATAATATAGTCTAATTCATAGCTAACTTCTGCATGTCAACTTTTGCATCAGTTTTCAGTCAGCAGCATTCAGTCTAACTTTTGCATGTCAATTACAATTTTGGCGGGACATCTAATAACCTACAAATATTATAAAACCTTCATTATATACCGTGTACCCTTGCATATAAATTATTTCATTATATTTCATCTCATCTCATTTTATTTCTTTTCTATAAGAAACTTTAGTTAAATCACAGATAACATAATACTACAGAGTTAAATTATTTACAAATAACAACGCCCATGTGATTTGTTTAAATTGCAGTCAGTTTATTATAGCCATAAATAACAATGTTACTTGAGCGTGCATTCGCTATATGCTCAATAATATCTAATAATAAATAAACTAAAATTGTATATTTATTTGTCTGTCTGACTCTGTGTATGTATTTTCAAATGTATATTTGCGACCAAATCTTAAGTGCGTAAATAATAGATCTGCAAACACGAAACGTGACACGGCGACGTTAATATTTTGGTATACTGCTTATAAACATGTTAAGTTCGTTTTGATTATCCTCTAACGTGTAGAATAAGTGTTAAATTCACCAAAGCGGATTATATTTAGATAGGGAACAAGCTAGGATTGTAGACATGCCAAACAGACAGTTTGCGTGCGGCGATAGAAGAAATAATATTGTTATGAAAATAGGTACGTGTAACTAATCGTCCATCGAATTTACGTTACTTTAATGAATTAGTTTTTATACATTCTGGACAATTAATACAGCGCCTAGTTCGTCGGTAAAAGAGCTTGTGTTATGGGTACTGGACAACTGAAATAAATAATTAGATTTTTATTTGCAAATACGTACATAGTATACATGGAATACACTCCGCCCGATATAAACAATGTAAAATTGATATAAACTCATGAATACAAATGTTTGCACCGTGCGAGGAATCGAACCCTCGACCATCGAAACTTTTACTCGCAGATAGCTAATGTTATAATGAGAATCTTAGGCTACTTTTTTTTTTAAATATCTTAATGAAGATCTTTATTTCATCCTACGAGTTTAAGTGTTTCATAGCTGACAGCCCTGGTGAGTATAGTGCACGACGGTGTCAGTGGTGGCGATGCGAGACGGTTGCCTCCAAGCCACGATAGCAATCGTGCACAACCAACCATGATTCCTGCCTGCCTACCGTAATACATAGACTACTTAAGTATTTACATAAACACGTCACTATTTCATAAAAGTAAAGTTAAAGAAAACTCTAATTATTAACAATACTGAACCCACAGATTATAATACGAGCAGTATCTGTTCCGATCGTGACATTGGCAAAATCATTAAAACTCCAGAGCCATAGAATTAAAAAAAGGTAAAGGAATTTATTATTATTACTTTGTTAGCTATGAATAACATTTTCAAAGACTATGATGTCATAACCTTAATACATTTGAAAAAATCTTAAGAGGCAACAAAGACAGAATATAATATGGTATCTAAATATATGTATATAACTCAAAGGTGACTGACGTAGTGATCTATCAATGGACTGCCCAAACTACTGGACGGATCGGGCTGAAATTTGGCATGCAGGTAGATGTTATGACGTAGGCATCCGCTAAGAAAGGATTTTGATGAATTCTACCCTCAAGGGAATAAAATAGGGGATCAAAGTTTGTATGAAACTTTGTCAATTTTAAACCGATCGGGCTGAGACTTTGCATGCATAAAGCTACTATGACGTAGGCATCCCCTAAGAAAGGAAACAAAAGTAAAGCCGCAAAAACTATACCTAATTAATAATAATAATTCTTAACGCGAGCGAAGCCGCGGGCAAAAGCTATTATTGGAATAAAATGTCAATAAAATTCTGTACCAACTCCTGATGAGGAGAGTACATGCCTACTAGTAGGACGAAACCGAAGGTTTTTTTAATGAATGGTATGGTTCACCCGCCTGTGTTAACTGTATACGCTGGTAAGGCATCAGTGGTGGGTGATAAGACGACCTGATCAGTTAACGCATCGTGATAAATTCACCAGGAATTAACAACGATGGTTTCCACGGAAGACCAAGTGGAGGTAGACCTTCAACTATTTTAACATTGCAATGTTAAAATAGTTTATTTTTTAAAGCATACTGAAAAAGGAAATGACAAATATTGCAAATGACAATTTTGCCTTTCAACATAATGAAATGTACCTAATTAATCAAAAATATTTAGTGCTTAAAGAGTATTACTATATTTTTTATCTAAATTAAAAAAATAAGATGGACACATAAAAAGTATTATACAATAACAAATCATCAATAAACTTGAAAACCTTTTTATTCTACAACCAATTTATACAATTTTATACGGCGTTGTTCCGATAAAACATATGCCAAGATTGTTTAATAAATACTGGCTAATGATAAACAGAATAATATAATTTTAATTTTGTATATACTTCTATGCAATAGGTCTAACATAAAACACAGTTCTAATATAGTTAAAGTAATATTTATTAGGCATTTTTGGACACAACCCAACGCTATCACCGTGAAATGGTTTAAATAAAACAATATAAATTAAAAACTATACATATGTACACAGAGCTCCAATGAGACAAGAAATAGAGCTAAACTTTATTGAAATAATCTCAGAAATGTAATTAGCCTTAACAAAAACGGGAGGAAGAGGTCCAAAAATCAAACGTAATTTAGGATGTATGTCTCTAAAATGTATGAAATTCCAGACCTTTGAAATGGCAACGCATGCCTCATGCCCTTTAGAAAAAATAATATTTGTCGTTCGTATACATAAGCTTGGGTATGGACCAGTGATGTTAGGTCTAACCGAATCCGAAATAAATATTGCGGATAATATCGGATAGGGACGGAGGCTAATTGAGACACGTTATGTAACCACTTGTATTTTACTTTTGAAATTCCTTAAAAAAATAATATCAGTAAACGAAACTATCCGAAAAATAACCGGATAATCCGATATAATTTCATATCCGCATCCGTATCCATATCCGGTATAATAATCATTCCTGTATCCGTAACCTATCCGTATCCGAAATTTCATATCCATAACATCCCTGGTATGGACAACACTGCAGTAAACTAGTAAATAGCAAGAGTAGCAAATTCACTATTATGTAGCTAACTCACAACACTGACGGTCTCGGTGGTATAACGTTTTACACCTCCTTACTTCCTATGGTTGCGGGTTCGAATGCTCACACGGCACCTACATTGTATATTCATGAGTATGATTGTTTGTATCGGTCTGGGTTTCTACTATGTATCTTATGTATTTACAAAAAAAATATGTATATTTATGTCTAGTCTAGTACAGATAACTTAAGCTCTGCTTAACTTGGAAGTAGACGGCGTTTTGTGAATTATCCTGAGATCATTATTGCTTGGTCATTATCCCATTATTTGGAGTCGGCGCAGTATATCATCCTCTGCTACTGATCCCTATCATCCGTTACATTTAACT